CCTAAGCGAATGTGTGAATCTTGGCTTTGTCTCTTGCTGAGGTGTCCAGCTAGCAGGATAGCTCTGGCAGCAAAGACCCGCTCAGGTCTGCAGCAGTGACTGCAGTGTAGATGTACCTTTTCTTTGTGGGGTGTTCTGTTGGTGGCATCTCTCTTTTCAAATACTTGAATGCCTGCAAGCAATGATGTGTTTCAATTTTTGCCAGGAGAAACTGCTTGGCCTGATGTCCCTGCCAACCAAAGATCAGTATGAAGAACTGAAGAAGAGAAGACTGCATATGGTAAGACAGGTTAAGATCTGCTACATCATGGGTCAGGGGCTCCTTCAAAAGCTTAAGCCTCATAGGTGTGTGTGCACGAGTAGCTGGATTTCAGTTTTTCATTTTTTTTTAATGCAAATCGTTCCATGCCTTGTGTAACACAGTCACTGTATCATCCAGAACATAAACAGGTGTGTAGTGAGCAGCTGAACACCTCCAGAAAGCAGCAGTGACTTGGTGGCATGTGCTGTTTCTGCAGCCTTAAACTACGTGTGTTAATCTACATGGGTTTTCAAATTGTATTCTGGAGTTCATTTGCACAAGTAGAATTTGGAGGCTGCTTTTGGTGGTGAAAAAGGATATATGGGAATAAGGATACCTCTTGAGAGAGTTTCTTCAGTTAGGAGGGAGGATATCACTAATTGTAAACTAAAGCAGCTTTATTTTGAGGTAGAAGTTGAGAAATAAGAATTGTTGCACTCCAAAAGCTAATGATATGGATGGCCTTTTAACACAAGATGCTCTACTACAGATGTCTGCTATAGTCAGGTGTGATCCCGTTGCTGTCCAAATCAGTCTTAGAGCACTCTTTGCACAGTTGCATTCAGCATTTCTTGTTCTCTATAAAGCACTGTCACTGCTCTTGCTTGCCTTTAAGTTTGTAGAGGCAGAAGTCATGGGACTTTGCTCAATATCATCACAAACAAACTGAAGGGAAGCATTTGGGTAGTACTATGAAAATAAGTTTTTCTCTGCAAAGTCACCAGAAACGCAGCTGATTCCTTTCAGTGACAGCCAGCAATGTCTAAGATCAGTGAGTTGCTTGTACCTGCAGATGTTTAGAACAGGGTTTTTCATGGTCATGGTGTTCTCTTAGTATGTGTTCTTCACTTTAGGTGGCTCTTGAAACACATGGAAAGCAAGAAGAAAAGCAGAAAGATTTAATCTCCAGATCTGCAGCTGCAGTTAATGGTGATGCAACTCACCTGAAGAAAGAAACTGTCAGGAAATCTGAAGGCTGGTTACCTACATCTAGCATATCACGTGAGAGTGAGATAGCAGACCCTCTTCTTCAGCAGATTGACAATATTACATCCTTTATTAAGCAAGCAAAGGCTGCGAATAGGATAGATGAGGTCCATATGTTGCAAGAGAACCTGAGGCAGCTTCAGGATGAGTATGATCAACAACAAACTCTGAAAGCTATTGAGCTGTCTAAAAAACAGGCAGAAGAGGAAGAGATGCAGAGGGAGGAACTTCAAGTGCTTTGTGAAAAAGAGTGGGAAAGAGAACACCACAAACTCATGTCTCAGCATTCAAGGACACGCTCCTTAGACTTCAGAGAAGTCAAGCAGCATCAGCAGGGAGTTGTAAATGAGAACCATAACTTGACAGCGTGTGCACTGGATTTGGATATTACTCGGGTCAGAGGGGACCCAGGTTTTGAAACTCCTGCTGTTGAGCAGCTGCCAGCTAAAGAGCACTTGATTTTCACGTTTGCACCCCAGAACGTCCCACAGTGTGACAAAGCCCAAGATCAGCCAGCCAGTCTAAACCCCTTTGAAGACGAAGCAGATACCCCTCAGTTAGAGGAAGATCCTGCTAACCCATTTGCCAAAGACACTTCTCCAATGGTTTCTTTCTCTAACACAGCTTTGCAAAGTGATAAAAAGGAATATAATCCATTTGAAAATGAGGAGGAGGAGGAACAAACCAATGGAGCACCTGGCAGTACTTCAAACCCTTTTGAAGAGGATGAAAATCCATTTAAAAAACCAGAGGGCAGCTGGAATTCTGGGAATCCTTTTGAAGAGGGATCTTCTACCAATCCCTTTGAAGTGGAGGACGACAGTGAGAATTCTGGAGAGGAGGCTATAGAGGAAGAACTGCTTCTTCAACAGATAGATAATATCAAAGCTTATATATTTGATGCCAAACATAGTGGACGAATGGATGAGGTGGAGGTACTGACAGAGAACTTAAAGGAATTGAAGCGCACACTAGCAAAGCAGAAGGAGAAATCCAGCTGCTGAAGCAATGGGGCTTGGTAACCATTATTTTAAATCTGCTGTTAAGATATGGGAAGGTAGAGCAGATACTTGCAAAGAGGAGTACAGATCACAAGGGGGAATTGGGGGAGTCTTGACTTTCATGCACTTTCAGCTAGGCATTTCCACTACTACTCAGTCTTGAAGAATCGCTGAGGTATGCTGCTGGTCCCAGACACTTGTGTTAAGGAGTTTTGGAATGACTTGTTACAACAGTGCTGCCTGGTCTTGTTCTGTGTTTATTTTGGTCGCAGTGGCTAAGTGCTAATAGGGAACTGTGATTTGGAAATGGTTGCAATGTTGGTTGTTCTCTTTCCCCCTTTCTGTTACAACAGTATTGGCCTTTCGAGTGGGGGTTTAACTAAAGGGAGACAAAAACTTTTCAAGTTCTGCATCCCAGTAATGTTATGGTGCAGTGCTACAGTGCCTGATGGTGTTAGCAGGAAGTGCTGTAAAAAGGCTACTGTGATTCTTTGAGGTGCGGAATATACAGATCAATTTTGTGCAATGCTAATATGTAAAAGGGATTTTAAGACTGAGAACTTTCTAACTGATCTTAACATGAGTAACTTTTAATATGTTTATAAAAATCTGGATGCTGTGTTTTCATCACCTTTAGTCTCCTTTTTGCTCGGAGCACAAACTACAATAATAGAGCATGCTGGGTTGACTTCAGAGCCCTGCTTCAGGAAGCAAGTACCTACTTGTTTCCGGGGAGAAGAGCATCAGGCTGGCACCATTTCAGACTACAGTAGGAGTGACCCTCCAATTCCTAATTATCTTGTGGAATCTGCACATTCCTTCTCTGGGTGACCGAATGATCACGTGTGTCATTTGTGAGACTGGAACCCTCTTTTTGTAGAATTCAAGGAACAGAAATCTTGTTTACAATGGAGAGCTGCAGTGCCACTGAACTGGAATTCTGTGACAGTTGGGAGACAGTCTGTGGCCATAGGGTCAAATAGCAGTTCTGTTTCATATTTGATTCCCTTTGGAAGTTGTTCTGAGAATCAGGTATGTCTGTTTTAAGTAAGAAGCTCCAAATTTGAGTGATCTTGGGATCCTGTGGTCCAGGGGATGCCTGGGTGATGGCCAGCACTGGTAATGCAGGAGGGCTTAGAGCTGGGCTCTGAAGGTTGGTATCAGAAATGTGGGATCCCTTCAGGTTAGGTCAGCCCGTGTCTTTGCGAGAGATGGGAGTCTGAGCTGCCTGGATTTTTATCTTTGACAGAGGTCCATCATCAGGCATCGGTGTGTGAAAGGGTGGAAGGGAGAAGTTAATCCAAAAGATGTATTTATTTAAAGCTGAAATAAAGGAAATTGTACAGATCACCCTGTATAGCACTAATAGTGGGCTTATTCAGAAGTGTAAACTTTCATGGAATGGGACACGTGTTAACTAAGTCTCTGATAATATATATTAATTAGCACAGCTGTAACCCAAGCGTTGTGTAACATTTTAGAGACACAAATAATTGCACTACCTGGAGAGCGGGGACTCTGGTTTTAGCTCGCTATAAATTGATGGAGGAGGGGATTTGCAGAACTCTTGTTTAAAAAAACCAAGCCACCTCCTCACTTAACAGCACTAGTAACTAATCAAAAATGAGCAGCCCATTAAAGACACTTGATGTTCTTACTGTAGTCTAAATCTGATGTTGAAAGGTGTGCAGAGCAAGACCATGAAGGTTTTATACCAAGATGTTTGATTAGATTTTTAGTCCCTGAGTGTTACTTGGCACCAGGTGAAAGGAGCACAGGATTCTCAAAGCTCATAACCTAATAAAATGTGCCCTGTGGCACCAAATTTACAAAGGTAGGAGAAAACGGATGTTAAGACAGGGAAATGTAACCCCTGGAACTGTTTTAACAGAAGCAGTGTAAGGTAGATATTTAAGGCTGTTCACTGGTCAGGAGGACTGTGCCCTGCACTGTAACCCAGAGCTGTTTTGGAACCAACATGAAAAATAGTTTCAGTGGATTCAGCTTCCATATTTTAAAAGTGTTTTTTCCTTGTTGCAGCTATCCTGCCTTGTTTGTATTTTCAGTCTAATACACTAATAATTAAAGTAGCCTTATTGTACATGTATTTTTACAAGCAGATAACAAACTAGCATACCTCATCTTTTGTCAGTGTTAATGTGACAGACTAGACAACTCATACCTAAAGTCATCTCCAAAGTGAAGACTTTACGCTGATATTTGGGCTGTTGTGAGGCTCACGAGGCACAAAGGAATGAAGACGTCCATAAAGCTCAGTAAATGACTAGCGTTGAATTTTGTTAAAGCTGCATGCGCTGCTCTGTGTGGGAACTTTGTAAAGAGATGAAATAAACCAACATGTTTATTTTGTGCTGTGTTTGGTCTGGACAGTTCTTATAGGACAGGTGAACTGGTGTGAAGTTTTGTACTCGGTCCTTAGCTCCGCAGTCAGCTGCTCCAAATTGCAAGCAATACAGTACAAGCACATGTTTATCTGCTATTAGAGGTATTGTGTGACTGTTTGGTAAGGCAGAAGCTGTGATGATTCAGAAAAGACTTTTAGCCTAGTCTCTATCCAAAACAAACATGATCTCATTATACAACCTTATACATGCAGGCACAAGTAGGATACAGGCGTTGTTTCACTTGTTCTGTTTGCCTTATATGCAGTGTTGACTGTAATGCTTTGTAAAACTGGCACCAAAAAAAGCTGGCTTTCAGCTTCTATTTATTTTTCACTTTAATTATTCTTATTGTAGCTCTGAGAAAACTTTGTCTCCCGTGTATTATATGAACTTGTTTGTTCCTGTTTCCAGGAGCTTTTAGTTCTTTTTCCCACTGAAGTACCTTGATTATCCAGCCCCGAGGAAAAACAACTGCATGGCTTGAGCTTTCAGGCTGATGCTTCATTTTTCATTGCAGCTTTGTATTTTCCCCTCATCTCTTTGGGCAGTGGCACAAAAGCAGGGCAGGGAACCTGGCCTTCAATTTCGCACATACATTCTCGCAGATGGTACTTCTTGGGCCCAAACGTTCCCGGATGTGACAGTTTTTTCTTTTCCTTCTCCTCTTTTTCAAGCGTTTCTCTAGAAACAAGATCCATTTGTTATTATCAGAAGCTTGAATGGTGACATTTCCTCTCCTTCCCCTGGCCCCAGTTTACCAGAAGGACAGATTTACAGTTCCTAGCTCATGCCAAATATATCTGGGAGAAGTTGCATTTCCCTCTGTATACCTGACAGAAGTTTGCAGGGATTGTATTATGACGTATGCAAGAGGGTACAGGAGGTTATTAAGTGTCACTTACTTGCTTTTCCCCAGGATTTTCTTAATGTGCTCAGTAATCTCTTTGTTGGTTTTATCTTCCACATCAACCAAAACTTGTTCTCCATTGTCTGTCAAGACAGATTTGTAATCAGACACTTTCACAATAGCTGGAGAAAAGCGTTCTAAACACCCAGAACTAAGCCATCAGCCTCTCTGCTGCTGTTGGGTAGAGTGTAACGTTTAAGCAGGAAAAGCAAAGAGCATGACTCGGGGCGGAGGCAGAGGGTTGCAGGGGCTTTACTAACCCATGGAGCTGCTTCCCTGCACCCGCTCCCTCCTTCTGCAGCGCAGGCCGCGGCCGGTTCAGACCCCGCTTCCAGCGGGGAAGCCACCGCTGCAGCCGAGGCTGCGCTCAGGCCAAGGCCGGCGGGACCTACCCAGGTAGAACCGGAGGAAGGGCGAGGGGGTCATGTTCTTGAAGAGCATGATCTGCACCCAGGGGTTCTTGTACTGGATCTGCGGGATGTTGAAAAACACAAACTTTCTGGAAGGAAGAAGAACACAGGCGCCAGCCGGGCTGTCTCCGCGAGCCCAGAGGCCGCTGAGGAGGGCGCTGAGCCCCGCGCCCCGTCGCGCCCGCGCTCACCTCGCCCCTTCGCTGAGCTCTCCCCCCGTGTTGTAGTTCACGGTCATCACCTTCACCGAGCTTTTGAAGATGATGTCGCCCTGGTTGAGGTACTGCAGCGTGCGCCGGATGGGGAACCGGCCCTTCATCGGCATGGCGGCGGCCGGAGGTGGCGGGACCCGGAATTGGCGGGAGCCGGAAGTGGAGGAGCCGGAAGTGGCCGGAGCGCAGGCCGGAAATGCATCCGCTGCACCGCCTGTGGGGCGGCGCCGCGCTCGTTTCCTCCGTTGTTAGCCCCACGGGAGCGGGTGAGGGCGCTGGGAGGTTGCTCACCCCGATGGGGTTCTTGGCACGAGCGAGCGCACGTTTCTGTGGGTAACGGGCCCGACCGCTCTGTCAAATGCAAACCCGCGTTTTGTGCCTAAGGAAAACGTGCCCGGCTGGACGCGGGAGTTCACCCGCTGTGCGGAACAGAGCCCGAGCCCGTTACCTCCGTTACAAAGTGTGTGTGAGGGAGCTGAACCGAGACCCAGCGCATCACCTTCACTCAAGAACTGGAAACAGGAAGGAGCTGCCAGGTACAAGAGAGCGTGAAGCACTGGCTGTTAACAGCCAACGGCCTCCTCCAAAACCCGGAGAAAAACAGAAGGCCGAAGAGGATGAATTAAAACCCTGAGGAAAAGGTCCTCCCTCAGGTGGTTCCCTGGTGTCAGGAGGGTTCATGGGACTTACCTTCCCTCTTAAAACCAGTTAAATCACTCAATCACAGCAGTGAAGGGAAAATACAGTTTCCCCCTGAAAGATAATAAATGATGTGTTTGGCTTAGACACCTAATGTTTAAAAAGAAATTAACTGAAGTTAATAATAAAACCCAAGGACACATTTATATTTGTAATTCACTTTAATGGTAAACCTCAAATAGGTAGTATTAAGCCACAACAATATAATGCCACATTACATTAAACAGTTATTAAAACAGCATTTAATAAAATGCATAAGCTAAATCATGCACCGCAATACTCTATATACAAACACAACAATGCAAATCCCTCTTCATGACTGAAGACACAGATCAGATACAAAATTCAGATTAAAAAAGAACATGCTGTTATTTTCGACTGCTGTCGCACATAGTGCTGACTTCACAAAGGAAGCTGTGAGAAATTAACAACTCCTGCAGGATTTTTAACTTGGAATACAGTAACAGAAACAATAGTTTTCTAGATTATCATGAACAAAGACTTCCCAAAAATATCCCAAGGAATTAGATGATTCCTTTTACAAAAACTGCTGTTCTTGTAGGAGCTCAGAACTCCTCGGTATGCCAAATAGACACAACGCATACACAATGTGCAGGCTGCCAGTTAGGAAGCTGAACACAGGCCTGCGATGGATTCTGGAGTAATTACTAAAAAGATTCCCATGTTCACTGTTGACTCCATGTGTGAGAAGGTAACGTGAATGCTCTGCAAGTGACGTGCTTCCTTCTCAAAACACATCCTTTTAATTTGAAATGTCTTCAGACCTGCTTTCAATCCACAGTCATTGAAAGGATTTTAAAATGGACCTGTGCCTTGCTATCATTTATCTACGATGATCAGAAAAACGCACAAGAAGCCAGTTATTCTGGGGTGTTAGAGACCTGGCACGAGATGTGCTTCTCAGAGTTTTGCTCTCTGTGACCAGAGAAAGCTCATTTCACATTCCACAGTTTCCACAGAGCATTACAACAGAGCCTCTGTTGCCACTTACATGTGAGTGCATTTTGTCCTTCGGAATACAAACAATTCAAAAGTGTATATAAAAAAGTTCACAATCTATCTTAAAATATGCTCTTTTCTAAGTTCTCAATTGATCTTTTAAAATGGATTAAATCCTGATCAATACCCCAGCTGGCTTCTTAATCTTTAAAAATGTTCCTGCAGTTCAGTGATGTTAATAGACATTCAGGTTTCCATTCAGCCTTTAAAGAGGAAAGCAAACATTATTCGAACAGCACTAATTGATTGTCAAGACACCAATGAAGGACCATCTGTCACAGGAATTCCTGCCATTAATTTAAATAATTTTCCTGCAGAAAATCTCAATAATAAGGTTTGAAACATTAGAATGGATGCTTTACCATTTTTTTTCCTATATTTGGAACAAAAGTTTACAAACACATACTAAAAGATAAGCAAGAAACAGAGAACATTCTTAGCACTTTGCAGAGCAAAGGCTTTACAAGCAGAGGCGCTGACTCTCAAAGAGGTTTGTGTTTTACTTAAGCTCACATTGTTTTAATTGGTGTCTGCTCATCTGCCCAAGTCTTTGACACATTGAAGATGGCAATAAATGCCCAGAAAATTCCTCTTCACCTTTTTTAATATGACAGAAACGAGACTTGGTGAACTACTCCCCTATGTGGTCTGTGAAATGCTTTTTTAAACAGAGTTAATAGAACTGCTTTACAGAAGGTTTCCTTTGCAACTTAAGTCATCAGAAGGCCAAAGGAACAAGAACTACTTGTATTTTGATAATTGAAATGTTTGAATACTCGCTATGAGTAATTACTTCAAGTCTGATTTCACAAATGCTGCATGTGCCCACCTGTCATGTGAAGAATGGAAACCGCACACAGAGTGCAAGATCTGCAGAGATGACAGGGTCAGGAAAGGATAGAACATGAACATGGACATGGACATTAGTCTGGCGACTAAACGAACTAACCAACTTTGTTCAGTTTAAGCTAGACAATAATGAGAATAACTTTGGAAAGCGAATATACAACTGAAATGCATTGTGAAAAATCTTGATGCTTGCTAAGAAAGAAACTAGGGGCAATTTAATTACCGCTGCAACAGAACTGTCATTGTTTCACTGAGCAGAATCTTGGTTTCATGGTTTGGTTTCATGTTATCATTATGGCCTTACGAGTATTTTTTAAACAGCATCCACTGCATCCTGTTCTGTGTGCTACAGCTCAGTGATAAGGGGCAGCTTGGTTTTCTTCCAGTTAGCCACTGCTGACGACTTAAAAGCAATCAATCCCTTCCAAGCGTCACTGCAAATAAAACTTTTACAAGAAGTCTCTCAGAAGGCTGCAAGACAAGGAGTATGGCTTGGAAACAGGGAGGGCTTTTTTTTATGAGTGTAGTTATGTATTTATAGTATATATTCTATTAACTATTTACTGGCAGACTTCTACACCTCAGATAAAAAAGGGTGAAAGGAGTAACGGAAAAGGACAGAAAATTCATGGAATATATTTGCCAGTTCTGAGCAGAAAATCCTAAAATCAGGCTGGATTTAGAAAAAGGTGCAAATCTCTGAAATTCAGGAGGATTCACCTGCTTAAGTGAGGCTCAGTTTGGGCTAAGAAATAAAAACTAGGAAGCTCTGCATTAGCAAATGAATTAAAAGCTTTAAGAGATAGAATGGTATGAATAAATGGCTACATATCTGTACATATATACATACACTACACACAATCTATACACTGTACATAATATTTAGACAGGTATAAACATATACATTCATACACACAGACATACAACTATGTACATATGCCTTAGCTGCTCAAGTGAGGTTCAGTATTCAACATGCAGAAATGCACAGTGGTGGGAGGCACAAAATAAAGGGGTGTAAAAACTCATCAAATCCTTTAACAAGAAGGAAGACAGGCATGAATGTAACAATTATAAGCCGTTTCCAAAGCGTTCATGTAATCTGGAGGGTAAAACACACTGTGAGAATTATGATGGTATTATCTGTGAGGAACAAACTTACATGACTACACAACATAAAGCTCAGTAACCATTATATGATTCTATGAATAAGGTAATTCAGGGGTTTGTTGTTTTCCAAGTGCAGTATGTATTCAGACTTAGAGCATTTAAACTTTACAAAGAATTTCTCTTTAACCTGCAACCTCATGATAAATAATTTTCTTTTTTTTTCCACATGTATTTCCCATATAATGCTGATCCCATTGACTGCAGCAGAAGCAGAACTGTAGCATTATCTAACAAGAGGGGTTATGGCATTTTTCATCAAACAATAAACTTGAACTTAGTTCAGGGGAATTTACTGTTAAAATGCCTCAGCAGCTTTAGAATCAGGAGGTGCAAAAAGTAAATGCTTTCATTTTCTCCTCTTTGCCATGCCCTCTTGAGAATCTTTCATATAAAGCTGGTTTTTAAACTAATTTTGTGTCATTCAGTATGCAGTAGACACTGGCAGTTTGTCCTTCCTCTCTCTGCCCCTTACTTTCCTCTGTTGGGTGAACATGGCCTCATTTTCTTGATTTTCCATGGACATCTGGAGGCATTAGGACATCTGGAGGATGTTGTGTGCTGCTCTCACAGCAGGCCCATGCTTACCATCAGAGCAAACCACTGCAGCAACTCTTCTGTTGTGGTATGGCAAGTGTGGTAAACTACTGGGACAGATAGTTTGCCACAACCTACTTGTTTGCTTGGTATTTCTCCTTTTTCTATTACAGGCAAGAGTAGAGGCAAAAGAAACAAGCTACCTTATTTGTAACCAAAGGAGAGGATTTCAAACAGAAAATCAACATTTAAAGTGTTTTTCTCTTCAGGATCCTGCAGGTTATTTGCTGGTGCACCTGTGTGTTGCTGACTGGGCTGCCAGCCCTGCTGCTCACACCACGCAAGTCAAACAGGGCTCCACCTGGTGCTGTTAATGCAGAAAGCTGCTTTAGTCCCTGCTTCTCCTGAGCCTGATAATTTCCAGTTCCCTTTTCCTGGCTAAACTGTATCTGATAACCTTGCTATTCATGCTATTCGGTGCTTTTTAAAATTATCCTTTAGTAACTAAATGGTAGGTAATGAAGGAGGAATCCTAACTACCCTCTTAATTTTAGTGAGCAGGGACATGTTCTGGTATCTTCAGCGTCTTGGATGAACTCATTCAGGAAATCTGTGAAAGCCCTGTGTAGCCCTTGCTACACACAGTGAAAACACTCAAGTTTTTTTATAGTCTCTGCCAAAGAAAGAACAGTCAAGATACTGGTTTCACCTAGAAACTTCATCCCTGACTTGTTTTCCCTATCACACCTCAGAATAGGCCCTTTGCCAAAGGGTACAGCAGTGGTAGGGGGAGCCAGCTGTAACCAGCCCAGCAATCTCCAGTCAGTGCTGTTCCCTGGAGTCATTATGGCTGCCCTGCGGACCAAGGGCTTCAGACTGATGGCCGAAAATGGCGTGGTAAATGGTACCAATGTGACCAACAACAGTTTCTTGCCCCAGGGTGTTCTGAGTCAGCCTCCTTAATAATTGGACATTTCAAGGCAGCTAAAACAAAGGCCTGTAGGATTTGTATGATCTCTTTGAAGAATCTCTCCTTGGAGATTTTTATTTTCTACCAGTTTCATGTCAGAGAACTCCACTGGCACCAGCAGCACTGCATCTGGTTTACAATCAGTGTAAACAGGCAGAGAAAGATGACTGTTGCACATGGTCTTAGTTCTGTGTTTCTTTAGTCCACTGTAAGTAAATTAAAGGAAGGAAAGTAGTAAAGCTTCTTGCCCTTGTCACAAATGCAATAAAAATCATCATTATTATAAAGCTAACTCAGAATGCTCCTATGCAGTTCTTGGTCAGTGTTCTTTTACCTACAAGATTCAAATCCAGTTTCTTCTCAAAAGAGAATAGAAAAAAAATTGAAGTGCATGAAGAATGGCCATTACTGTCTCCTTATCGCTCCCTGCATGCCCCAGCCTCAGCCAGTGCAGAATCCTAACATTTGTGTGAAGCAATTATTACCAGTACACACATGTACTGAAGGTCAGAAAGATCTAGTCGGTTTATCGCTATATTTCTACCGAGTTATTTTCCTTTCAAGAGCAGCAGAAACAGGACCTTGAAAATTCTGGAGAGTGAATTTTAGGCACTAAGTAGAGCTTCGGCGAGATGTCACTTTTCTTACAATCTCTTTCAGACTGTGAACCTTTGCTTCCTAGTTCTGTAAACACAAGTTTGGCATTGAAATTTGGCCTTTATGAAAACAAGCTATTTCCAGACATAAAAGTGTAATTGTTACAATAATAAAAAAACCTCTCCTGACCCATATTCATAAGCTAAAGTTTGCACTTGCAAAGAAGAAACAAAATGAAACTGATCTTAAAGCTTGGAAGATGAGCTTGTTACATCTGCTGGTTACTGCAGTTGAAACAAACCTCAGAACCAAAAAAAAAGTGCTGAACTAGATTTTTGTCACATAAAAACACACAAGTAGAAAATGCCTCTTCCATGCAAATGATTCAGCTGATGTGTGCAGCTGATGAGCCAGGAGCAGATACAGGCATTAACTGCCATGACTTTAAAAAAAACAAAAAAAAAACCTTTGTTTAAAATATTTAATGCAAATAATCATAATAAATAATACTAAACTGAAGCAGTGCTAGCAGCTAATGGCCAATATGGAAAACATGTGGATGGCTCATCCCTCTAGACAAAAAGTAGTTAATTTTATAACTCCATGGAATATCAGTCATTAACTGCAGTGGTATATGATTGACTGTAAACGCTATTTATTTTCAGACTAAGTCGTTGTCCTTTTTTAAGCCCAGCCAGTAACTCAGAACCACGCAGCCACTTGCTCCCCCTCTTCTTCCTCCCCCTGCTACCAGAAGGATGGGGAGGAGAATGGAAAGAACGTAACTCCCATGGGTTGAGATAAGAGCAGTCCAGTAACTAAGGTATAACACAAATCACTGCTGCTACCACCAATAATAATAATGATAAGGGAAATAACAAGGGGAGAGAATACAATTGCTCACCACCTGCTGATTGATACCCAGCCTGACCTGAGCAGTGATCTGGGCTGAGTGACTCCCCCCAGCTTCTGTACTGGGCAGGACATGCTGTGGGATGGAATACCCCTTTGTCTAGTTTAGAACAGGTGTCCTGTCTCTGCTTCACCCAGCTTCCTGTGCCCCTCCTCCCTGGCAAAGCATGAGACTGAGAAAGTCCTCGATCAGAGTAAACATTACTTAGCAACAACTAAAAACACTGGTGTCATCAGCGTTGTTCCCAGGCTGAAAGTCAAAAACACAGCACTGCACCAGGTACTAAGAAGGAATAAAAATTACTGCTACTGCTGAACCCAGCACAGCCATAGGAAAGTTGAGAGCACTCAAAAAATGGGAGTGTTGAGTCAGGGAAGGGGGGGGTGTGCAGAAATAAGAGAGCTTTGTAATGCAATGATAGCCAGGGGTTCTACACATTTCAGGTTTTAAACTGGATTGATGATGAGGGTGTTTAAGGGGTACAGAGGAGTAAATTTGGAATTACAAAGAGCATATTCAAAGACATCACACAGCTGTACTTGAAAATGACTGTTCTTCCAGTTAATGACTGATTCTCCCTGCAGAATACCATTTGACATAACTGTGTTGGTCTGAACAGAAACTTTAAAGAACTTGAATATTTCATCATTACTATGGCAAGAAACACATTTTTTTCCTCTTAGTTTGGGTAATTCCTGTAGCACATAATAGTCACTATGACTGCACCATAGAGTGCATTACAGCTGTGCTAATGGTTGCATATAATGTGGATATCTGAGTTCAGAATCCACGTTACTATCTCCTGCAGAACATAACAGCAAGTGATTTTTTTTTGTAGAATAAATGATTGTCTCCTGTAGCATTCTACATTTTCATTGAAATCACTGGCATTCTGACTAAAGACATAAGCAGGTTTTTCATTTTCCATACTCATAAGCAGGATGTTGATGATGTCACTTTGACAAGAAGTGATTACAAAGTGCTAGTATTATTCCCTGGCATTTATTAGATATTAATTCCAAGGATACTTTTAAATATATACATACTGTTCTTTTTACTTTTAAAGTAATTTTACTATTAATCTCTGATATTATAAAACTCTCTTTAACCACCACTAATTTCTAAATACAAAGCATGTGAAAAGTATGTTCAGTAATCTATAGCCTTTTAAATGAAAGGCATCAAAAATATTCCTTGTGGCAGAAAAGGTCCTATAGCAGGTCTTTTAATAGCTGCTTAAATGTTGTCAATGTCAGCAAACAGACAAGGAGAAACCTGACAGGAAACTGGTAACAAGTTGAAAACAGTTGTACATACCAAAACGCTATTCTTTTAGCTTCATAATTCTATGTTTTTGTGAAAACTACTTTGATCCATCTCATTGCGTTGTTCCCACTACGCAGACGTGCCAGTTATTTGACCATTATATTCTGCGGTTTCCATTTTAAGAATGTAGGGTATTATGCTGTCAATGGGAACATTTCCAATGAGACCAGTAAAAAACAGTTCCTCGGTGATGCTAGAGTTCATCAGCCGAAGTGCTGGAAGGCGAACTAGAATCCGGGCTAGCCTGAAAAAGAAGTTCAGTGGATTATAAATACATGTAATACTAGTTTAAAACACTTTGTGGCTGAAGAGCTGTATCTGCTTTTATGATTACCATAACTCACGAATGGGAGTAAAGAGGCAATAAAAGCTAACTGAGCTATCTTAAAAAGAATGGTTGCTTTTCTATCCTGTGAGTGAAATGAAAAGCCACCATTTTCTCTGTGGTTTTCCAAAGAAAAGGATTTTAATGGCCTTTATAGATACAATGTGTATGTACAGACACAGTCCTGGTCTGCTTTTGAAACTCCCAGCTCTCGAAGCACTTCATAGTTCAGGACAATGCTGAGACGAGTAATATTCATACTGACTGTGCGAGAACATTTGCACAGAACTTTAAAAGTAAATCTAATTAGAATTAAACCATAAGCAGAGGAGTCCTCAGTTACTCAGCAAATTAATGCCAAAGCAGATAGCAAGAATGGGACTGGATATGCATAAAAGAAGACAAGAGAATCTGCTTCTGATGCGAAAAGGAATTTGGAGGGATGTGTTGTTACTCATACATATTGCCAAATGCTGTGGGTTTTTATGTACAAGGATGTTAACAGAGATTGAGCATAATGAAGTGATTCTATCGATTTGCTGGACTATCAGTGCATTTGCAATTTAGGACAGTAATGAAAGTGTACCTGCTGTGCTTATATGGCAGACTTTTAACACAAATGCCAAAATAAATACATTTCCTGAATCACAGCCATGTAATAGCAAACCTTAGGCAGCACTGAACACAGGACTCTGGAAAATGCTTGAATACCTGTAGAGGAAATATATGGTCCATTCTGCTAATATGCCATATATTAACTTGATTGCAAAATTGCAACAAGATTCAAGCTATGCTGCTGGTTTTGTGAAAATTAATACTTGTACTTCTATCTCAATTTGTGCCAGCATTCAGTTGCTCAGAAATAATCACATTTGTACTATAAACTTATTTATAGGTCAGTATAGGGCTACAAACAGTATCAATTAAAATACAGGACATTGGAAAATGCCCTGTATTGGAAAACTCTGATTCTCTTCCTTGAGCCACTATTAAGAGAAGTAAGTATATGGAACAAATTCTGTATTTCTTTTTATGGCAGGTATCTAGCTCTCACACATCAAACCAGAATAAATAATTGTACACAGACGAAGAATGTGGGATTTGAGGATATTTCTGAAGTAGAGAATCCCATCTTTACTACACCTAACTGGGAATCTTGATGCCCTTTCTATTGCTTAGAGGATGTTAACTCTGTAAAATGAGTGCAGAGACCAGTCTTTGAGATGAGAGCCTTTTTTGTCTGTTTTTTTAAGGTTACACGCACCTCAGACCTTTCTTAAATGTATGGGATTGTCCTTCTTTATTTGAGGATACTTTTCACAGTAAAAGAGAGTATGTTCCAGGATATATTGCTAGACAGAAGTTAGTTAGAATTTCCTTTGTAGTGCAGAGAAGCATTATGTTGATGAAATTTAAAATAGTTTTGATGGAAACTATTAGAAATAGGAGAATTATTTCTAGCAAGTAAGAAATGGGAACAGTTGAGACGTGAAAAAAACCCAAGGTATTTTCAAATAGAAGTCACTGGAAATTCCAAAAAAATCAAAGGAGAAAATAAGTAGGATGCGGGAATGTCTTATAAACAGAAGCTTAAGAGTTGGTTATTGTTCCCCACATGTAACCTTTGTTTTTCCAAGGTTTAAAAACTGACAGTTCTAATACTTTTCTGCATAAGTAACTTGCCAAAGGGCAATAATAACCTTTAATTCTCTCAACGCCTCTTTGACAACTAACATGAGAAAGGAGGCAGCTTCAACTGAAGAAGTTTGAGGTGGTTAAGGCAGTTATTCTTCAGACTTCTGTTTACTTTTCTAAACATGGCAATGAGACTCTCTCTCTCAAAAATAAAAAAAAGAACAACAAAAACCAGCAAAGGAAAGTAGTCAAGTTTCACTTCCCTGGAAGAAGCAAGGCAGCTGTTCTTGCTTCTAGTTAGTTGTACACAAACCTGCATGCTTTTGTGAACAAGGTTCTAGCTCTTTCTCATCAGCAGTCAAAGAAGAACAGATGTCAGAAAGACAATTTTTACATCAGTGATGTTATTTTGTACTTTTGCCAGCTACGGCCCACAACATTACTTTGGGTACTATAGACAATAAATACCTATAAGTATCTTCTGGATAGGATTTTTGTACATAGTCCTGTAATTCCATCTGTGCCTTCTCCTGGAATTTTTCTATTTGGGTTGAACTGGTCAGACCAGGGTGATCTAAAGAAACAAAACATTTCTGTATGTCGATTGTTTCCCTATACATTATGAAATATATGTCGTTATAAGATTTTTGCATTTAATTTCATTTAAGTATTTCCCTTGTATTGTGATGTTTAACGTGTTAGCACTATAAAGGAAACCACTGAGTTGAGCATTCGTTTCCTGGCTTCAGAATCAGCTTGCTCATTTTTCTCTCTATAGTTGTGTGTATACACAAGAAAGTGGAAAGAGATTAAGCCTGTAGGTATGTACCAGGCTGTGACGCTCCTTGCTTATGCTGCTGTTCTAAATACATTGCCTCTGACTTTGCCTAGGCTGATTGAGCAGTATCTCGGGTTGTTTTCTTGACAGATCAATTTGTTAACCTTCCTGAGTCTGTCTCATGTTTTAATTCCAGCTGGCTCAGCTCCTCAAAGACAGTCACATGATCAAAAGATCCCAGAAAATACCACATACCTGACTATGCCCAAGTATCTTCAGTGTTGTGTTCAAACTGCTCTTCCCTTGAACGGGACAGAGCTAGCTTGAGTTTGGAGAGCTTCTTGCTCCTCCAGCTTGAATAAAAACCCTAATAAACCCAACCCTAATGGTACAATCTGCAAAAAAGTTTCAAAAGCAAATTTCAGGACAGCAATACCTTCTTGTTAAAGCAAGCTGTAAGCTTTACTGCAAAGAGAAAAATAATACCAACTAAAGAAACCCCACCAACCCGAAAAACCTCCAACCCCTGATTACAAGACGCTCTTCTCCTTTGTATTTTGCTAAATTCAAAGTGGTACACACCTTTGAATTAAAGTAAATAATTCACATTTCTGAGCAAGAATTTACCTTTTACTCAGTTCTAAATTAACCTTTGTGTGTCCTAGGAAAATTTTGCCACCTTTGATAAATATACTGTCACTTCCCATTTCTTTAATGTCCCCACCTTATCATTCCAGAAAATCCCAAGTGGAGTCTTTAAGTAAATCCTCTTATCTTATATACACTATTGATCATGCTTTAGTATTCTGCTGTAATTTCTGGGGGTAACAAATGGAGGACAACCTGTTTACATTTAGTTTTGGAGATGTTGTGGAAGTTCCATATAAAATACAGTTGTATTTCTCCTCCTATTTCAGCCATCCCTCTTAGAAGTGTATTAAAAAATGTTGAAATTGAAGCCAGTTTCTTTTTGTCACTGTAAGAATGTACTTCCTCTAATCCTTCCTGCTATTTACTTCACTAATATTGCTAGTACACATCCCAGATAGCTTACTACTCATAGACTCTCAGCTGAAGGTAGTTGAGAGTCTAGTCTTGTAAAGTGGGTGTACAGGAAACACCCGATATATTGGAACTGAAAATAACATGGATGTGTTGCTCCAAAGTTATTTTTAAAACACATACTGTTTGTGATAAATCATTATGGAACAACCATTTTACTTGCAGTTTGACAGATCAGACTCATAGCAAGACATTAACCTCATTAGAAAAACTGCTAAAACATTAGCATATGATTGTTTATGTTACTAAATATCTTACCAGGGCTAAAGAGGACTATAGCTTTAAGGTATGCATATTCATATCCATCAATATCAAGCTTGGCCATGCTGTTACAGAACTCCTGGAGTTTCCAGATGTGTTCCATGACTTGCTTTATTCTGTCTCCAGAAAGTTTATCTGCAAAAAAGATATTGCTTTCTATGTCATGTGAGCTCAAGTACATCTAATGTATTAACCAATATCCTTTTATAAAACAAGTGACATTTTACAGCATTTCCTGTCATTTGCTATCTTAAAACCACTCAACATGTAAGGATGACCTGAATGATCATGGAATTAAAGATTTACAAAGCTGAGTCAGGCACAGGGCTGGCAAACAGGATGTTAACTCTTTCACACGATTTTGCCAGTTTTGCATAATCTGCAACATGAGTCTAATTCCAGTGATGAACTGTTCTGAGCAGAGACTCAAATTATGGTGAATGATTCTACAAACGGCTGGAGTGATTCTGGGAAACAGAAGCACAAAACAAATGCTATCATGCATTCCTAATTTGAAATTCAAACATGAAGAATAAAAGCATAACCTACATGCCTAAAATTCATTAACTGTGATACAAGTGTTTAATTACTCAAGACAGATCAAGATACATGTGATGTAATGTTTTTATTTCTGTATTGAGAAATAATAGTGCAGGAATACTCTGGAAATGTCCACTTGAATTCCAGAGTTTCCAAATAGCTTCATCACTAATATACTTCCTAGATAAAGTTCTGAAATTTCCTCACTTTGTTTTGAATGTTAGAGTTATAATACACAATATAATAATTTTTCAAAATAGATAACAAATCAAACAAAAAAAAATAGATAAAAATAAATCATCAAGAACTCATGATAAAACAGATCCTCCTCTCCTTGCGGCAGGGCTCAGGAGCATGGTATGACTGCAAGTATGGCTTGAAGAACAAATGTCATTTTTTCATTCTTGAGACATGGGAACCAAAGTGAAGCCAGCTTAAGGCTGGAATAGCCCCATCACTTTCTCCTCCAAAACCCTCCGCTTGGGGTGTAGGTGGAACAGACAACTCTGAGATTATTAAAAGCCTAATTCTGTGCAGAACATAACAATGTGCATGTTTCCCTATTGGTCTTTTAAACTATTGCCTCTCTCTCGGTGCAGGAGAGGAGCATCAGTTTGTTGTACTTTGAGGGCTGTCCAGGCTCTCTTAAATTAAAACAAAACACCAAACACACACAGCTCCCAAACACCCCCCGCCCCCATATTTATTATGAAAGCACATTATCAATTTAAGAATCAATTTTCTAATTTATCATAATGAAGCCAATAAAGTAGATTAAACCAAATGTCCTTTACTGGGACTGAAGGGTATTTTTTGATTATCTACTTTTGCACATTTTATAGTTCTACAATGAAGTTTTACTCTCCTCAGTAAAAGCTTATCTTCCAATTTTTGCTGTGTGCACAATAATGGCACCACCAAAATCATCAAACAAATTGGTACCCAATAGTATTCTGTAACTATTTTTAACTCACATTTAAATTTATCTAGCTTTCATGTAATATGCTGTGTTTGCAGAGTTTAAAGCTGCTAGTGCTGTTTTTTTTCCTCCTATTAAAAATGGAATGTTATTTTCATGTAATCAATCATAGTGCTTGGGAGCATCCTTAAAGAGAAAAGAACGAAAAAAAGCAACTATAAGAGGTTGTCATGCATTCCAGATACAGTCATCATTATCAACAGGCCAACACTGAATTAAAAATTAAAATCACATAAGCGTTAAAGAGTGTCAAGAAAATATGCTGTTTAATGCTTCAGAGGGTACTTCAGAATAAATTAGTCATTACTGCATTACAGCAGTATCCAAAACTATTATACCTGCAAGAATATTCTTGTTGCTCACACCATCGCATCCAACTGGGGAACAAGACAGGTCCACCACAGCAGCGACAGATGTTCCTTAGCTGCCTCCCAAGATGAGAACCAGCAGGCCAACCACCTCAAGGGTGTGTATGACCACAGTGGATCCTCTTGCACCCCTCCTGGGAAACCTGCATGCTCAGTAACCTCTCTGAATTGCCTGTACACCAATGCACGCAGAACGGGGAATAAACAGGAAGAATTAGAGAGCTGTGTACGAGCGCAGGGCCATGATCTCATGGTAACTGCAGAGACATGGTGGGATAGCTCGCATGACTGGAATGCTGTCTTAGATGGCTACATAGTACTTAGGAAAGACAGGCCAGCAAGGTGAGGTGGTGGAGTTGCTCTTTATGTAATAAAGCAACTGGAGTTACTGAGCTCTGCCTCAGGGTGGATGAAGAACAAGTTGAGCGCTTAGGGGTCAGAATTAAGCAGCAGGCTAAAATGGGTGGCACGTCTACTACAGGCCACCTAATTAGAAAGTTGATGAGGTCTTGTGCAGGCAGGTGGAAGGAGCCTCACAATCACAGGCTCTGGTTCTCATGGGGGACTGGGGGCATACCTCATCTCATGGGGGATACCTCCCTGGTATCTGCTGGAATGACAACACAGCTAAGTACACACAGTCCACGAGGTTCCTGCAAACCACTGATGATAATGTTTTAACACAGATGATGGAGAAGCCAACCAGGAGAGGTGTACTGCTGGACCTTGTACTAACAAAGAAAGAAGGACTGGTTGGGGATGTGAAGGTTGGGGGCAGCCTTGGCTGCAGTGACCATGAGATGGTGAAGTTCAGGATCCTGTGTGGAGGAAGCAGGGCAATAAGTAGGATTACAACCCTGGACTTCAGGGAAGCTAACAGTGGACTCTTCAAGGACCAACTTGGAGGAATACTGTGGGTTAGGGCTCTAGAAGGTAAGGGAGTTCAAGAGAGCTAGTTAATATTTAAGCATCACTTCCTCAAAGCTCAAGATTGGGGCATCCTGTGGGTTACAAATCAAGCAAAGGGGGCAGGAGACTTGCATGAATGAGCAAGAAACTTCTGGCAGAAATCCTTCAGAAGGAAATCTATAGAATGTGTAAAAAGGGACAGGCCACTTGGGAAGAATATGGGAATGTTGTCACAGTATTCACAGATGTGACAAGGAAGACTAACATCCATCTGGAATTAAATCTGGAAAGGGATGTCAAGGACAACAAGGGCTTCTTCAAGTACCTCAGTAGCAAAAGGAAGACTAGGGAAAATGTGGGAATGCTGCTGAATGAGGTGAGTGCCATGGTGATGAAGGATACAGAGAAGGAGGAGTTACTGAATGCTGCCTTTGCTGCAGTCTTTACTGCCCAGGCCAGCCCTCAGGAATCCCACACCCTGGAAGCAAGACAGAAAGTCTGTAGAAAGGAAGACTTTCCCCTGGTCGAAGAGGACTGGAGATCATTTAGGCAAACCTGAGACCCACACATCCATGGGCCCTGATGGAAGGCACCCATGACTGCTGGGGAAGCTGGGAGACGTTATTGCTAAGCCACTATCCATCACCTTTGAATGGTTATGGAGAACATGATAGGTGCCTGGGGACTGGAGGAAAGCATATGCCACTTCAGTCTTCAAAAAAGGCAAGAAGGAAAACCCAGGAAGCCTCAGGAAACCCAGGAAGGAGAAGAGTCAGCCTCACCTCCGTCCCTGGAAAGGTGATGGAACAGCTCAACGGAAGCTGTAGATCAACAGAGGAAAGGCAATTAACTATGCAAGAGAAGGCTTCTCCTTCCTCTGGATCTTGGGGAACAATTCTGCCACCAATTAGGAAACACATCATGAGACACGTTATACAAATGTCCCTCTAGTGTTGACAGCACTGAACACATGTAAGAATCACACAATGAAAACATACCTTCTTGTATGCTGTTCTGGAGATGGTTGACAATAGCTGCCAGGATAGTAGACAGACTCATCACCTGTGCACACTGTGCCAGGCCTAAGGTAAATAGCTCATTCCAGCAGGCACGCACAAGGCTTGTATTACAGTCCTGCCTACAAAAAACAGAATATCAGACAACTGTAGGTAGTTTTCATATCAGGTTAGTGCTACCCCATGTGTAATTATGTTAATAATAACAATAATAGGGATTAATGTATTGCAAACCACTTTACTGAAAGGCATATATTAGCATATCGCAAGTATTTCAAAATGCAAAAAGCAGAGATAGGCTAAGTACAGAAGACCATTTCAGGTTATCTGTAAAATGGGGCTCACCAGTTCTATACCAAGATATATTTCTACAAATTAAATGCTTGCTTTTGATTTGGCTTTAGCTGCTGTAATTTCAGTAACATCAGATATTGTAGTTATCTTCTCCTCTGGCATCTTCGATTTTAGTATTCAAAGAGGAGAATATTGCAGTCTTTGCACATTTTAAAAAATTCATTGAAATTAAACATTATAATAATTTAAAAAATCAAAATAGCTGAAAAGTATTCTGATCAGTGTTTAAAATTCATTAGGAAGCAAATCACTCAATGGAGTATGTACATTTACCCAAGAGCTTGAAATGCAGGTATGGACCTAGCCCAGTGCATAGAGAGGAAAAGTAGTCGTGATGCTGACTCACAGATGTAGTGTACATTAAGGTACTCCGGCATCGGACTGGGCATTGTCAGCTGCAAAAAATGAAAGTACAGCACAATATATACAGTTCAGACATAAACCCATTTTGATTATCGAGAAGTAATGAGAGAAGACATTCAGACTACTCTCACAGTCTGTCAGATAAACAACTGTGCGACAAGAAACTGTCATGGGAAAACTGTATAACTAACTCACTACTGCTGGCAAGAAATGCAAAATGGGAATAGAAGACAAGAAGTTATGTGGGAGAGTGCTCAAATGTTTACTTTTAAAATGGTTTTATATTATTTTAATAATAAATCTATACATCTTATTGCTCTGTGAAGCGTTGGCCCTTTTCACAGTGCTGTAAAGTATCCTTTACAACTTTTTAAAAAGCAGCAAAATAAAATCTAAAATCTAAGTATCTCAAATGGGAAAGTCATGTAATAGAAATCTACAATCACAAAACACCATTAACGGCAATAAGGAGATTATGACAAAAGTTTGCCTACATTAAGTATCATGTATTTCAGTAACGATCTTTGTATCTCTTGAAACAGTGCAACTTTACTACAACAAGATGAGCACCCTTATTGTTTCTCACACATTGTTTAGTAAGGGGGCTATAGGGATGCTGGGGAGGGACTCTTCATTAGGGACTCTAGTGACAGGACAAGGGGTAACGGGTTAAAACTTAAACAGGTGAAGTTTAGATTGGATATAAGGAAGAAGTTCTTTACTGTAAGGGTGGTGAGGCACCGAAATGGGTTGCCCAGGGAAGTTGTGAATGCTCCATCCCTGGCGGCGTTCAAGGCCAGGCTGGACAGAGCCTTGGGTGAGACAGTTTACTGGGAGGTGTCCCTGCCCATGGCAGGGGGGTTGGAACCAGATGATTTTAAGGTCCTTTCTAACCCTAACGATTCTATGATTCTATAATATGTGTGTATTTGTATTCAATTGAAGCTGAAGCAACACTAAAATGCAAGACCTTGTTCAGTGGTCTAACCAGAGCTAGATCTAAGAAGGCACTGTAACCTCTGTTTATATGAGGAGCCTTTTAGATGAAAGTTTTACACTTAGAATTACAAATGAATTAAGCAAGACATCAGGGATGATACAGAAAATTATTATCAACAGCACTGGAAAGTGAAATGACTTTTAAAGCATCCTCTTGTCTATGAAAAGGTCTTATGAAACAACACCCATCCTCTTTAGATACAGCATGCGAGAGTGAAAATTGTATTAGAAGACACCAGATGTTACCTTAGATTATATTGCCAAAATTAAATATAAGAAATAAGGAAACAGTGACTTAATTTTGGGTTATGTCCTAAGTGTTAGTTTGTTTAGTAAGACATTTAAAGCACGTACCTTAAACGTGACATGTGTATCGGTAAGTAGGGGTCCTTCCACTTCAATAATTGGTGTTGACTGATCTCTACTGATTACATGAATATTCCCTCCTCCTGTAGGATCCATCCCATCTGCCAAGTTATGAGCTGCTGTACCGTCTGTGGTATTAAGTGCTTTAGCCAAAGTATCAAATGCCCTGAAAGAAAAAAAAAAAGTAATAAACAATGAAAGAGTGCTTCCTTGTACCCCAAAGTAACTGAGAGCAGTGGTCAAAATAAGTGCTATAAAGCATTCTCACCAAGAGGTAACCTATACAGGAACTGTCTGTGCTAAGATAGGGCCAGACTTTTAATTACAGTCTGGCCCTGCTGTACTGTTTGGACATTAACAAAAGGAATAGATCTATCTGCCCATATATAGCTGGTAAGAAATGTCTCCTGTAAGGGGGGGTACTTTTTACTACTGTAAATCCTGCTCTGAATGTTTTATGCTAATATTTATACTAGTAAAGCAGTCTCTTGCACTTGCCATTCACTATCCCCTCCTCACCTTGGAATGTTTAACTGATTAAATGATGATTATAGACCAGATGCACTCAGAACACCCTGCAGTCCCTGTCCTTGATGTCCAATTTCTTGGAAGAGTGGAGAATAGAGTGGTTCTCTTCTATGCAACATGCCTGAATTTCCTTTCCCTTAAGATGAGGTGTGGCCAGATGCTCGTGATCTCACAGTACAGACAGAGCCTTAGAAACCTTGACAGTAACAGAAGGGAGACTAGTCCCCTGGACAGCTTTATACTCAAATTGTAGCTGGCCACTGCCAAAATAAAGCAGTGTACATTCCCTTCTTACGGTAACAAGAGCTTAGATTTAAAGAAGAATTTTGTGCTCCAGCTTTAGACCAGTGGACAGTATTATGGTGTAGTGCTGTTTTGCCAATATTTTGATCAAGATGTTATGGGGAGGGGTTTTTGGAATTTTTTTTTTTCTGTTTTAAAGGAAAAGTTCCAAGTGGCTGTAACTCCAAGCTGCAGTGTCAGGGATTTGTGAATACCTGTTCACTTACTTGAAGAGTTTAAATAAAAGACTCAAGAGCCTGAAGTTAAGGTCCTCTTAAAAAAACCTTCTGCTTGAGAAACAATGGACAGTTTTGAGGCCAAGTATTTTTCTTCTTTCACTATACTGCAGATCTATATTGTCCTTCAAACTCTCTCAAAAAAAAACCCCAACTGTAAAAATCTCAATCTCTGCTGAAAATATTAAGATTCCATGTTCCTGTTTCCTGTTTAACTCATCAATAAAGAAGACTTCAAACTCTTTCTAAACATTAAAAATAAAAGAAAATAAAAAAAATGTTTACTCATCTTAGTTCAACATTTTCCCCACATTACCAGCAGGTATTATGGCAGCACAATCTCAAAATGAAATCTGCAGTAATTCAGACCCCTAAAGAGGAGGGCTAAGGGCATTCTGCAAGAGAAGCTTCCATATCACAAGCCTATCAAATAAAACAGTACTGAAGTGTTGCTATTCCCAGAATCTCTCAAGGTCACAAACTAATCATTTATTATTTTTCTGAGTACGAGATCTGCTTTAGCTCCAGAACGTGACCTTGATAACACAGGGGACAGTTTTCCAAAGGAGGACAACAGCCAAACCTGGTTTTCTAAAGAACTGGTTTTGTGTTTCAAAGTAGGGGGCAATCTCTACTGTGGTTGGTGTCATGGTGCTCATTTACTTCAATGAATGTAAGTATACACCATACAAAATAGAAATTGCTAAATAAGATGCAAATATAAATGCATACCGTGTAATCTCACTTGCAGATTGCTCTTCTTGTTGAACTTCAGAAGTGTCTCCATTATTTAGTGACTCACTGAGATTAGCAAGAGACGTTACAACATTTGCTAATGTTCCTAAAGCACCCTGGCTTGTTTCACCCTAAAAAGGAAAAACCATATTAGTACATCAAAGTTATATAAGGTATCACACATAAATTTTGCCCATTTTTAATCTTTCTGTTCTTTTTCCTTTATGTACCTTTTCTTTCCCCCTGAACACCTAAAGGAAGAACAATTGCTCACAATGATCTTTAAACCCTTTTGTAATCATCAGTCCTAGCCTCAGCTGACATACCATGTGGGGAACTATATGTGGCTGACCTGCAGAAATATGCCCATGAAAAGAAAACTTGTTCCTGTTAATCAGCTGATTACCTCCTTTTGTACACATCTTCATACTTATCCCAACTTTTATCTTCCCTGGAGCAAGAATTATTTGTCTCTATGTACATAGCTATAGTAATCCATAATCTGAACAAATTCATATATATGTTTGGAACTTAACTGAAAGAATAATACCTTGGAGTCAGCAGCTAGGAGGACCGTACCATCATCCCTGATCAAAGGCTGCTGAATATTTACAAGCATTCCTGGATCAAGAAGACCTGCTGACCTGTTCAAAAGCATAAGGCATCTGACAGTCAATAGCATTTTACATTAACAACAAGAATATGTAACAACCTATGTCAGAATAAAAGGGATTACCATCTTTTTTAACAATTTAATGAAACTCAGAGTTTATTCATCCAGACTTAAGCCTTTCTGAAACAGTTTCCAAAAAGAAGCTTGAAAGACAAAGACTAGAATGTTTCCCTTTCCTCTGCAAAAGCAATGACAACTTCCCAAATAGATATCCTCTCATTTGCTTGTTAAGAAATAAGTTACGCTGACATAAAAACTTATGTCAAGAAAATGTACTTTATATTCGAAGATACAGTCATAAACAGTCATGTAATCAAGGTCTGCATAAAACTTCTGCTGCCTTTACTTCTGTTACTTTTTGACCAAACATCCCTTCCTGCTGCTCCGTCTAACTTCGGGATGGAGAGGAAAGTCTCTGAAGTCAGCAAGGATAAGTTTATTTGTTACTCATATAATACTCCAAGTCTGCATAACCCAATACAAATGCAGGCATGACAGGTTCAGGCTGCAGGGAGTTTATAGTTTAAGGGGTGTGACACTAACAACTAACATTGTGAACTACCACAGGCAGCAAATCATCATGTGTTATGTGAATCTGAATCTTACACAAATAATAAGAGTCACACTCAATGTCTCTAATATTGTTTATAGGACTGTAAGGGATCTGTAGCACAAGGAAATCTCAAAGAAGCAAATGTGTCTGTGAGCAGTACTTTTGAACAATCTGACTTGCAAACAAGAACACTGAAAAACAGTTCTACAGGAAATTTGCAGCCCAATCTTCCTAACGAATGGCAGTGTCATTTGTTCAACAAAAGATATATATATATATAAACCAAACTAAACATATATATATATATATATAAACTGAATACTGAGATCTGGTGTCTTCAGGTGGCTATTATCCACTCATAAACTAGTTTCTAAACCATGGTATTTAACCTCGAATTCTTTTTTATTCTAGTCAGAAAAAGACAAATCTTGCTTCTATTTATTATGATATGTATTTCCACAACCAGTGCCTATGGAGACAACTGAGAGCAGAGGAACTGTCTTGCAGTATCTTCTATACAGTAAAATGAAGCTGCTGTTACTGAAATTGGTCTCTTGGGACCTGAATCTCAAGAGTCAGTCACTGCAGTCTGTTTTTTAGATCTTTAGGAGAAGGAAGACAGAGTTTGCCATTTGTAGAACTGATTTCAGAGCAGTGAGAACCTGAATGCATCACACACTAAACCTACATGCTTTTTGCTTGAATCTCACTTATCTGCCATACCTGTGCTTTGACCTGGCTGGACAACAGCCAGCTCTAAACTGAAAACCACCCCTGTACTCAGACATGAAAACCTTCATGAGAAGCAGAACAGTCTAGGTTGGTGTTGGTAATGGGAATAGATATTTGTGAAATGGAGCTCTTTTCTGTTCAATCCTTAGAGCAGGGCAGGGAGGAGTACAGGTGTGCAAGGTCATATGCACACAAACCTTAAACTAGATCCATGACGCTGAGGTACTCACCGCGTCCCATCTTTATCTGCCACAAATGTTGGAGTTGCTATTAGTGGGCTTCGAAGATCTTTCCTGATATAGATTTTCTCAGTGGAAGCCGCACAGTTGGTTGGTTTTTCACGCTGCACATCAAAAGGCTTTCTTTCACTTTGAACAGCTACATAAAGACAGAAACATGCTGATTTGAAAGGAAATAATTCAACTGCAAAATGCAACACGAAAGTAAAACTCTCATGGTAGAATTTCAGCTTGCACAGTTATGATTGTGTATCAGCTCAGTGCCAAACTGGAAATACAAAGATCAAAGAAACACAGGCTCCAATTTTACTATACCTATGATTATGTACATTTTTAACTAAGGAAGTCCCAGGTCAATCATCTGCTTTAAGTTTTGCTGAACTGGAGTCAAAGCTTGCTATTTCATTGGCATTGAATGAGATAGAACATTCCAAAAAGTGTGTTTTCAAATTGTTTATTTATTTTTACAGGTAAACCTGTACCTAAATGTTAGATAGATGCAGTCATACTCTGGATGACTTAGAACAATGTAAACCCAGAATTAACCTCCCCCAGAAAAGTCAAGACAGGCAAGCTACATGAGTGATGCAAGTTAATTCCATTGGAGATGAGCCTCTCCATGACAGGAAAACCACTCCCACCCACTCATTCCAGGGAAAACTGTTCCAAAACCAGCCTCTGCAGAATTTAAAATATTTCTACTTGACAACTGGAAAGAAATAAGCTCAGTCTCCATTACGCCAAGCAAGTGCAGCAAATCTTGTCATGAAAATAGTAAGAAACTGTAACTTTGTAATGTCAAAGGAAGTGAAAAATGCATCTTTATAATATTAAGGTATTGTTATTAAACAGTTTACAGAAAGTTATCTGGAATCTAAGTAGCTGCACTTTACAAACTCCTCTATAGCTTGGCATAACATTCAACTGCATCAATTTTTCATTGAAAAAATGAGGATAATAACATGAATAAAACACTATGAAGATAATATAAAGAATTTTTAAATGTGTTCTAATAATATTAATTCTCACAACACTTTGCCAATGTAAGGCATAATATAAATGGAGACAGTATTTCTGCACTATTCGTTGTACCAATTTATCATACAGCAGTTATTGTTCTAGAAGATTAATATTAGTAACAAGCAAACAAAAGAATTCAACCCTCCCCCACAGCCCTTTTGAATGTAACAGTAAAATACATGGATATGTCTCTCTCTGACCTCATAGCCAGCAAGCATTATTTAGTTCCAGATTTTATTTTTGTTAATCCTGTTACTGTCATCAAAATCTAGGGGCTTAAACAGAGGTATATTCATTTTGTTGGCTTGGTAGATACATAAATATTAATCAGAAATCTGACCCAAACCCCAGTGAAGTCAGTGAGCATATATTCTAATCATACTGGGATAACAAAGGTTTAGCTTCAGAAAATGCAGCAGTTTCTCTTAGAATCATAGAATAGGTAGGGTTAGAAAGGACCTTAAGACCATCTAGTTCCAGCCCCTCTGAAATGGGCAGGGACACCTCACACTAAACCACGTCATCCAGGGCTCTGTCCAACCTGGCCTTGAACACCACCAGGGATGGAGCATTTACAACTTCCCTGGGCAACCCATTCCAGTGCCTCACCACCCTTGCAGTAAGGAACTTCCTCCTCATATCTAACCCGAACTTCCCCTGTTTCAGTTTGAACCCGTTACCCCTTGTCCTGTCACTACAGTCCCTAATGAAGAGTCCCTCCCCAGCATACTTGTAGGGCGCCTTCAGATACTGGAAGGCTGCTATGAAGTCTCCACACAGCTTCTCTTCTCCAGGCTGAAGAGCCCCAACTTTCTCAGCCTACCTTCATACGGGAGGTGCTCCAGCCCCTTCTTGTACAAATGTACCCCCTACACTCAGCACACTGTGTGCAAAGCACAACCATCACTGTAGGTCTGGAGTTCCACAGTGAAAATACAACAATGATCTCCCTATTTACAGCTTAATGTTCTGCCTCCCTTGAACTCAGTGGCTGGAATTTACCCTGCCTAAATTAGAGTAGAAAAGTATTTGTTGCTTCACCTTAAATTCTCCAAAAAGTTATCACAAAACAACCAGATAAAAGGCTTCATGAAGTGTTGGACTGAAGTGCTATAAACTGGAAACAAAATACATTTAAAGAGATGTTTGGATGCTAGCACTTCAACTGGACAAAGCACTGCATACAAACAGGAAAGCATATTCGTTTAAATATGGCACTTTCTACAATGCCTCATCATACAATGCTCACAAACAACTCGCATCAAAATTTTTAAAGAAAAATGATGTCAACTACTTTCTATCACTGGTTGAAAAAGCAGCAAAGATAAACTAGAAGGAAAGCAGATTCTGAACACAGAACATTAGACTCACATTTATGTCCACCCATGTCAAAATATTTTGTATTATAAACATACACTGTGTTTGCAACATGCGTTCTAAGCAAGGCTCTAACTGGGCTCCTTGAAGACTGCAGTAGTATGAGACATGGTTCAAACCAAATCACTACTGCACCTCAGACATAAAATAGTAATAAAAGAAAGGTATAGTTGATGCTCTGGCTGCCAAAAGTTCTGTTTCCTTCAAGCAACATACACTGAAATGGAGAAAACACACTAAAAAGTAGTAATGCACATATTTATTATTTGGTAGGCACAGTGTCACATTGGGTACTTAACACTCACATTCCATTTTCATGCCCATCTCTAGACATTTTCTAAGCCTACAAAACTGGCAGCGATTCCGATGGTGTTTATTGATGATACAGTCCTGGTTGCTACGACAACTGTAGGTCAAATTCTTCCTCACACTCCTTTTAAAGAAACCTTTGCATCCCTCACAACTGACAGCACCATAGTGACGACCTAGGAAAACCATATATATTGTTATCAGGTGGAAATTACTTATATTTTAGCACAGAAATATTTACCTTAAGCAAGTAAAACATTGTAAAATTCACCCTTTAAATTTATTTTATATTCTTACCATCATTTTGGACCATGAAAGCACTGTTAAAGTCTTATAGGATGTTTCTTGTTTATCTGTTGTCAGGGCTTTTTAGTGGGAAGTGGAGAGATGAGAGGAAGGCTAAGCCTATTTCTGAATGAGAGGCCTGTAAAGTAGTAGTTCTCATTCTGGACAAATACAGATGCAATTCTATCTGCTGTTACAGATCATACAATACATTAAAAGAACCTACAGGCTAAGAGTCTAAGTAATTTTAGAATATCAGCAATTTTACAATAAAATTTCAAATGCAATCTTTATTGAAAATTCCTACACATATAAATTCTGGCATTGTTTTAATTACATAAACACTTACAGAAATAGAAGTGAGACAGAGACAAAAAGGTGTCTTCTCCATAGCATGAAAGCAGAGTCTGCTTCCTTGGCTAATGCAGAAATTTTACCTCACAGGCTCCTTGTCAGATCCATGTAGATGGATCTGAAACACTGAGAACTCCCTTGATCTCTACTTGCCTTTTTCTCTGATAGCAGAAGACCAAAATCTACCAGGAAGTCTTAAGTTTGTTGGGGAGCACTAAGAAGTGTTTTCCTGGAGCAGGTAGACTTTTCTAGGTGCCATGCTTATTGCATGGTTGTTCATACCTATGGTTGTTCTACCTGACTAAATGCTTCCAGTAGTCCCAGTTACCAAGATCTATTAAATCATCACTGTCTTTCAGAACATGCCAATTTATCATAGTCCAGTTGAAGTACAAACTAATATTCTTCCAAGCAGAGTTTAAATATTCTGTGTGTACAGATACAAAGTATACTGTTTGCTTTTTCCATTTTAGATTCAATTGCTTTTGCCATCAGCATGGCTAGAATCAGTTAAAATACATGAAACCTCCTCCGTTCATCCCAGTCATCCTTTCAACCAAGTTTCTTGAATACTACATCCTATACATCCTTACCTGATGCTTTATCGCCACAAACTACACAATATTCTACTACCTGGGGCCGCTGAACATCAGCTTTTCCCAGCAAACGTTCCACTGAAGCAGAGTCTGTCACTATCTAAAACAAAATTCCAAACAAAAAGAGGCAATTAGCCAATATTTTCTTCAGACATGAAAGTAAGGAGCTTTGCCTACAGAACAGTATATCAACTGAGAAGAGGTGGCTGGATTTGAGAATGACATATGGAACGAAATAAAGTAGTATAAGTTGCAAGTTAATGAGAGTTTTTACTGTCAATAGTGAGACTGTTGGAATGGTCAGAGCAAAGCAAATTCCAAATAAATCTCCTAGCTTTGTTCAGTACAAGTTTCCTCACTTGTGCAGCCAACAATATTCTTCCATTCTTTTAATTCTCAAACAGCTGCTATATTTTAGCCAAAGATGGCTGTACTTCAGATGTGGTTCCCATCTCTTATCTAGTTATTAGGGGTTTATGGTTCAGAGGGGATAGCCTGAAGCTGAGATCCATTATAAAAACAGTTTAGCTTCCAAAGGCCTTGCATTCCAAAGCATCTGTTCAGAACACAACACAGAAAAATTAAAATACCCCAAATGCCTAAAATCCACAAATAAACCACCCCTCTGCAACATCAGGTAACCCATTTGACACAGTGAAAACCATTTTCAAAGACTGTTGATACAATTTTTCCTATACTTATGTAAGAATGATACTTCTTGTAAAATATTCTCTATTGCAAGAGTAGCAATAGGGATAAGGTGCTTTTTATTTCTTTTTAAAAACTACTAGGAAGAAATCTCAAATTTCACTAGAGAGATATTATTGTTTATATAATTTGTTTTGCAAAGCTCCCATTGGTCTATTATGCTCGAGACCCACAAACAACTATAGAAGAGGACAGCTTCTGCTCCAAAGAACTTTTATGGCAGTCTCTTGATACATTGGTACACTGTGAACATAATTAGTTTGCTCAGGTCAGTTGTATCTCTGTGTATCTGTGACTCTTGAACAGACCATCTGAAATCCAGGGCATTCCTCACAAGCACCATCTTTAAGTACTTGCTTATCTCTTCGGAATTGTGGAGAACACCCCACAAGGGGTGATGAGTGCAATGAAATGCATGAGGAATGTGAAGACAGAGAATAATGAGGCCTACGATTAGAATGGTCTAATCCATGTCAGTAGATCTTTACGGAACTATTGCAATTTGTCTTAAAGCAATTAGACTTAAATAACCTAAAAACCAGTAACTGAAAAACAAAAATCTGTGGTCTATCTCAATTACTACATTTACCTGAATTCTGCCTGGCACGATGTTGTCTGTGGTGGTAAAGATAAGCTGTTTGGCATTAGATGTCTCAGGTGTTGCCAATATCACCTTTCCTGCACCAGTTCCATCTGGACTGGCTAAAATAAACTGTTGCTTTGGAGACACAGCTGAGTCCACTGCTGTCACTATTTGGATTTTTTGACCTGTTTGCTGATCTGTCACAATCTGTAAAAAATATTGAAGAAATTTATCAGCCACAGTAAACCTTATGTTTTAAAACCTTTCATTCTGTCTTAGAATGATAGTTGTCCTTGTTATTTATTATTTTGCTACTTCTACATTTATTACACTGGTGCAAAGTTATTGCAGCTACCTACGTAAGTACAAAACAGTAAAATCAAAACAAATACACATGTATGTATGTATGTATACACGTATGTACGCGTATCTATGCACCTACTGCATAGAGGGAAAATACTACACAGAGTTGTGAAAAGCATGAGTCTGCTATTGTTAATAATGGAGAGATATGGGGAGACCTCGTAATCACATTTAACTGTTCAAATGGAGTTAGATATAGTGGCTGTGAAGGACTGCAGCTGATGAATGGCAGGTGTATATGCAGGGTACACTGCCTAGTGAGACAGCAGCACAGACACTGCAGAGAATCATACAATATCTTGAGTTGTAAGCAACCCAATAAGGATCATTAAGTCCAACTCCCTGCTCCTCACATGACTACCCAACAGTAAATCATGTGAGTGAGAATATCGTCCAGACACTCGTGAACTCCAACAGGCTTAATGCTGTGCCCACTTTGTGGGGAGCCTGGTCCAGGGACCAGCCACCCTCTCTGTGAAGAACCTTTTTCTAATGTCTAACCCAAATTTCCCAACACAGCTTCATTCCATTCCCTTCTGTCCTACTGCTGGTCACCAGAGATCAGCACCCCCGTACTTCTCTGCCCCCCTTGACAAAGTTGCAGAATTAGAGAAAGTAAGACATATGCTAATATATAAATAGGAAGATGATGCTAATAGTTTTATGAAGCTAGAATGCCTCAACAAGGCATTAGAACTACCCTAAGCAGGAGCTGAATTACAGAGCTGATGATTTTTCTAGATGAGAAAAACTCTTTGAGAAAGATTCATTTCATTTTGTGACTACAAACCCAAATAAACATGCACAAAGGAAATAGTACTCAAAGCTGGAATGAGGCTAGCCTACTACTGAATTCTGGACTAGACAGAACTTACTCTTTAGATTCTTATATTTACAGAATAGAATAAGCCATTTTAGGACTCATATGCACAAATGATTCAGTGTGTAAGTATACAGAGTCTACAAACATAAAGCTCCAAAGAAGCTTAAAGGTTTAAGTACAACCATTACCCCTTGGTCTCAGTGTTTTAAAACTTAAATTGTTAAGCTCCCCAGAGATTTCTTCTCCCTGTCAAGAGTTCTTGAGCCTTATTTTCATATAGATTTGAACTAAAGGGACAATCCACAGTGAAATCTAATCTTGGACTATGAATGAGAACACTATAATACTGCCTGTATTTGTTTTGAGGAAGCAGGAATACTCTTTTTTCATAGAATCATAGAACGGTTAGGGCTGGAAAGGAACTGAAGATCATCTAGTTCCAAACCCCCTGCCATGCACAGGGACACCTCACACTAGGCCATGTTACCCAAGGATCTGTTCAACCTGGCCTTGAACACTACCTGGGATGGGGCATTAACCACTTCTTTGGACAACATGTGCCAGTGTCTCACCACTCTCACAGTAAAGAACTCCTTCCTTATATCTAACCTGAACTTCCTCTGTTTCAGTTCGAACCCATCACCCTTTGTCCTATCACTACAGTCCCTGATGAAGAGTCCTTCTCCAGCATCCTTATAGGCCCCCTTCAGACACTGGAAGCTGCTCTGAGATCTTCTTTTCTCCAGGCTGAAGAGCCCCAACTTTCTAAGCCCATCTTCGTATGGAAGATGCTTGAGTCCCCTTATCATCTTCATGGCCTCCTCTGGACTTGTTCCAACAGCTCCATATCCTTTCTTTTTATGCTGAGGACACCAGAGATGCACACAGTACTGCAAGTGGGGGTCTCATGAGAGCAGAGTAGAGGGGCAGGATCACCTCCTTCAACCTGCTGCTCACACTGCTTTTGATGCAGCCCAGGATATGGTTGGTTTCTGGGCTGCAAGCACATACTGAAGCTGGGCCATGTTCAGTTTCTCACCGACAAGTTTCTGGTTCATCCTAGTATTCTCCTTCATCATGGAGTTGTATGCACTTTTCAGAACTATCAGTGATGTAAGGAGGCAGATTATTTTGCAGAATTCAACAAAAGTTGCTGTGTGAATGCCTATCTTACAAATGCTGAATATTCATTATGTTTCAGTTATACATGTTGTGAGAACATTTACCTTGCAATGAAATATTGTTATATACTGATATGGTTACTCTATCTGACAACTGTATCAAAATTAGAAACCTTCCATCATAACAGAATCTTAAGAATCAGCATTTGAAACAATAAGGCTGACTGATTCCACCTTTTGGTGATAAATTTAAGGAATAACATCTTAGATAAAACACATAGATAAACATTGTTGGTAACTGAAGAACATCTCTCCGGGTGCTGTCTGTAAAGAAAGATCATAAAGACTTCTTGCAATTTTACATGGATCAGACATAAATACTGATGAAGATAAATAATTAAGAGAAAAAAACTGGCTGAATAAGAATTGAATGATATTTAGGTTTAGATATATTTAGATATCAGTATATTTAGGTTCATAAGAAAAACTAATGATGTATGTCATTATGCATGCTGCAAGCTGAATCTTTGAAAATAACATTACAGAAAAAAATGTATCATGTCTACTAAGTATAATGACAATGTCTAAATCATTTAAAAAACCCACCCACTCTGATCAAGACACATCCCAAGAGAAATCCATGCTGTGATGTGGGCTGCATTGCCAGGAGTGATCCAAATGCCCTGAGTAAAAGACCTTCTTCTCCACCACCACTTCTGTCATAAGTACATGGGACTATTGTACTGGCACAGAACAAGGTAAAGGAAGGCAAAAGCTAAGTATTGCAATACTGCAACACTTTGGTAACATTTATGCTTGACAGTTCTTACATCATTTGTCACTGCATACATTCTGATACATTAATGATATTCTTCTATTATCTATGAGTAACAAGGACCTACTGTGCAGCATTCTCAAAGTTTAACTTTACCCTAAATAAGCTCCTAAATGTGGCAGAGAGAGGGAGAGAGGAATGCCCTTGGAGATGATCTTAGGTGTTGCATTGACAACATCTAGCCATTCACTATGGCTGAAGATCAGGATATTTGTATACATAGGCTAAGTTTAACCTCTGGAAATACTCCTCACTGACCACATCATCAATACAATTAATACAGCCAACTAAACATCACCAAATATATGCTGAGGGAGAAAAACAATCCTAGTTTGCATTAAAAATGATCTGCTCTCACAAAATTTAAAGTCTTCCATAGACTTTAACATGCTTTCGTATAAACCTAAGCGGGAAGAGGATTAAAAACCAGAAGATGTAATAGTTAAGTAATCAGTGGGGTTTTACCTGAATGCGTTGTGGTGAAGCTACAGAGGAGTCTGTGGAAATTATCTGGATACGCTGGGAAGGACTGGTCATCACTGGAGATTCAGATAGTGAAGTCTGAACAGTCTGCACCTGTAAAAAATGCACAGAATTGTAATTTGCTGTTACAGTACTGAATGCTTTAAAAAATACACATATTTAATAAAGATCAGATGGCCCTATAGCATGGAATCTAAATTTATCAGAAAGGTTACAGTCATTAAACCAACTTAGATTTGTTTTTAATGAATTATCAATAGATCCGGGTTTTTTTTGGCAATTAATCTGATGGATTAATTCTGATCCATCAGATTAATGGAACCACAAAAACAACCACCACCAGTCCCCATTCCCCCAGAATAAATCACTGGATAATTGCTATGTGATCCTTCAGCTCACTGAAATGCAGAAATTCTTTTATCAACTTTTGATTACACATTTGCCTAATTTTTTGCTTCTGTAAAATCAAAAAGCACCATATATACAATAAGGTATAATGCTAAATATTTCACCTTTTAATGATTTTTTCAGCATTTTATGAAAAACTTTTTAAATTTTCAAGTAGCCCATTTTTGAAAATCTTTCTCTATGCCCCTAAATAAAGAATGTTCTCAACCCCAGGAACATATATGTTATAAGAGAATCACAGAACCTGCTGGAAAAATGCACAGAACTCCTATCTGATCAAACTGGCTTTTAGTTTTAATGTCTCCAACCTCATTTAATCTATGAAATCTTCTGAAAGTGTGGTGTCTGTACAGCTCACTTGGAGAAAACAGTGACTTCATTTTGAAAAGAAAGCTCCTCATGACACATCAGTGTGCACTCACAGCCCAGAAAACAATCATGCCCTGGGCTGCATCCCCAGCAGCTTGACCAGCTAAAGGCTAGGTTTAGATTATATATAAAGAAGAAGTTCTTGGTATGAGGGTGGTGGGCCACTGGCACAGAGTGCCCAGAGAAGCTTTGGCTGCCCCATCCCTGGCAGTGTTCAAGGCCAGGTTGGATACAGGAGCTTGGAGCACCCTGCTCTAGTGGAAGGTGTCCCTGTCCGTGGCAGGGGGCTGGAACTTTAAGGTCCCTTCAAACCGTTTCCATGATTCTATGATCTGCAGTGACATGTGGCCAAAATTAGGAGTATCACAAGCTGTTTTTATTAAATCCTCTTTTAAGCCATCTTGGAATGATTTATAAAACCTTGATAGCTGGACAACAGTAGTGTCAATTTAGTCACTGCATGGAAAAATCTTGATTATATAAGCTTTCCTGTCCAGCATACAGAAAAGTGCATTTGTGATGTTTAAATATTCAAGTACATATATTTATTAAACTGAAAACAATATTTTAAGCTTCTCTTGGTTGAGAAGATATGGTGCACAAATGGAGAATAATTTGTCTAATATCAGTGCTTTAGTGTGCACGTACACTTTATTTACATACACTTTATGTGTATTTACATACACTTTATTTACATACACTTTATGTACACATGCATACATACTCGTCATGGTGTAGGACTCTGAAATGCAAAATTTTACCTTCTTTGTAGGCTTGACTACTTAATACTGAGGAATAAGAACAACTTATTGTTCTTATATTCCTTAATACTCAGGAATAAGAACAACTTTCAATTTCAGCTGGCTACTAAAAATCTCAGGTCTATTTTCCAGACTGAAAACACATGCCATTGGTTGACAGAGAACGCTCACCATGCTAAAATAAACCAAATTAAATGCAAAAAGGACCATCTTTTTTGAAGTACACAATTTACAAGAGTGAGGGAAAAAAAAACAACAAACCAAAAGAAAATCTTCTGTCATTCTGTTCAACAGCTGAATTTCTACCTTGAGCATCATCATACACATACAAAAGATCAGAATGGATAAATACGCAATGCTTTACTATGGTCCTACACAGTCAACTGCAGCAAATCTCATGTCTTAGGTAAAACCAACGTATTAAAAAAGGGTAATTAAAGAAAAAAAGGAGGAATAGTAGTTCAAGAATATGCAATGCTCTAAAAAATCTTTATGAGGCATTTACAAGGTTAACTTCAGACAGCTCAAATACTATGGGAAAAATTAAGCTATCATTAATTAGACTCCCAAATAAATTGAATCAAAAGTATTCTGAAAGCAAATGGCTTGTAAGTACTTGTATCAGGAAGATAATACAGTTTAACATTCTATTAGGTCCACTTTCAGGATTAAATTAACAATGCTATTCTGGTCTGTTGTTCAGAAGAAACATGATACCACAAAACATGTATTATGCTTAAAGAAGCTGCTCTGGGAGCTGTACATGCAAAGACCTCGTCCCCCAGTGTCAGTGATGGGATGTTTGTTTAATTCTAAAATATATTTTTAAGAATTAAATACAGTTCCATTTCTTTAAAACTGGAAAGAGTCTTGAGTAAGACTTCATCTTCAAGAGATGAGGAAAGAAACAAAGTAGGCCATATACCATAGAAAACTTCAGTGTACCACATCTGTCAGAGGCTTAATCAACAATCTTTTAAAAGTAAGCACTAACACTGTGAAATAGCCAATAGTCAGAAAATAACACATATGATGCAAGATAGCTCAAACCCCGCTAATTTCCCTACACAAAAGACATTTTAAGAGATGTGAAAAATAATCTGCTTTAATACACGTAGTACTGTTTTCTTCACGGAGCTCCCTAGCTGTACACTGTACAGGTTCTAGTACTTACAGTGTCAAATTCTTCCTGCAGTCTTATTTACATTTTTCCTCAGCAAACCTCTGAGGGCACAACAATCCGAGACAAATGTCGAGGTCACTTTTAGTCATACCACAGACATTTTCATCCAGTCTCCACTGCTGAGTATTCCAATCACAGAAAGCAGTCAGTAATGCTTTAAAGTGCCCTCTCTGTGACCCTGTTCCTCTGAAGGTCAAGTGCACTGTCGTTCCCTGTAACCAAGGAAGCAGAATCGATGTGTTCCTGCTGTTTTGCCAGCTGCTGAAGGAGTTTGTCTAATAGTAAGATTAATTTCATCTGGGGAAGACAGTCCTGGGTTACCGAACTTTCCCTTCCTCCTATTCTCTGTTCTTAAGCCCCTCAATTTGCTTATTCTCTGTGAATTGTAAGAGAGCAAAATGGAATCTGAGAAAAGAGTTGGCCTGTATCTTGAGTTAATTTCAAATCAGCAAAATTAAAAGGAAAATCCACCACGTTCCCTGTAGAGCATCTCCAGCCTTACTTATTTTTGCATTAAGGCTAAAGTTTTTTTTGTGCTTTTCAAAAGTTACTCAGGATAAGGAGGATTTGCTAAAATTCCCTCTGAATCCCCTAGCTCCTCCTTCTCTGATCACACGAACAGCAAGCAAAGGCAACTGCAGACGTTAAAAATGTAACTTTCTCACCCAACATGTTCAGAAATGCAACAAGCAACACCACTACAAAGCAGAAGCATGTCACAGCAATGAAACCATCTGAAACCATTACGAGGACAATTTTACAAGGTCCTAACAATACACTAAGTACAAACGTACACGCAATACTGGAGCACGCTCAGTAACTTCTGTGATACATTCACAGTTTCATAGAAGACAAACCTGATGAACCTTGCTCAAGGAAGAAAAACAACATATGGCCTACCTGCATGACAGGGATTTGGTGCTTGGCATCACAGTTTTCAATAAAACCATGCACTAAAGACATAGCTATCTTGAAAAAATCATGCAGATATAGCTAAAACTGCCAATATTTGCCTTAACTTGTTTACAACTTGTCTCTCACCACTGATAATGTAAAATTCAGGGCATGATTCTTTTTCTCCTTGCATTTAATTTTCCTCAATGAAAAATACGATACTCTGAAAAAGCCTCATTTTTTAAGTCCAGTGCCAAGATCCATGTTACATTTTCTCTGAAAAAATGAGCACATAGAATTTTAGCATACCTCAAAAAACTTCGAAATGTATTTGGCTGTATTAAGAACTGTATCTGACTGAAGACACAAATAGCAGGCAGACAGCCATTTATAAAGAAATGGTTCAATGTTAATACAATCATTGCATTAATTAATTCTTAATGAGATAATGCTGCTTATAACTGCCTTTCCATGAACAAAGTTTTCATGGTGCTATGCAGTGGATTTAATTTAAGAAGAAGGTGAATACTATGAAAAGTTGAACCACTGGCCAGGGAGAAATCACAGAGCTTCATACATTCTTGAGATGGAGCAATCTCTTCAGTGGCAAGATAAACCCATCACACTATGGTGCAATGGTGCATTTCTTGCACAAGGAATTAAAATGCCACATAGTTCATGTGTCTCAGATGTGATTACAGCGCTCAAGTTCTACCAAAAAAAGTCTAAGGTTTGCCAGTATTTCCACAGGGTTTTATTTCCATGTTTGTTTGGCAGTGTTTTCAAAAACTGTGGATTGCCAGATTGATACCTGGCCCAGCAAACTAGAGTGAAAATGCACTTGTTGGTTGTCAGTGACACTTTAGAGCTTTTTGAACTGACTCCTTAGATGTTACTTCCAGGTTCCTCACCAAGCCATTTTCCACACTATATCAAAATAATTTTTTTACATCTTTCATAAATATCAAATATTATTTTTTTTAGGGAAAAATGCTGTAAGGAGTCTCAAATCCATCTCAGGAAGCACAATGACGCACATTTCCTTCATAAACAAGGCTGCTTCTTGAACTAAAAATATCTTTTAATATCCAGAAGTAAGGTTAGTTCAGCAGGTCAGTAAAAACCCAAAACTAATGTCTAAAAAGTGGCCTTGACTACAGGTCTCTTAGCCTATTTGCCTTAATTCTTTATGAAATCCCTTAATTGTGTAATCATGTGATAAATGAGAGTAAATTTGAAGGATATTAAACCAAGTGGGTTTAAATAGACAAAAATTCTATTTTATTTTTTGACTGAAGTTTGCAAACTGAAGGAAATAAACAGGTTATTTTCTATCGCCATGATCACATGCAGTTTCAGCATTTGTAAGTTGATGCAGACATTTTAGTTGTTGAGCATCCACACTTCAGTGAATATACATCAAGACATTACTTAATAACAACTAGATTTTGTGCTCTTTTTCCTCATATTTGTAGGCAGAAAATGTAAAGCCTGATTTAAATGAATCACCCTACTGTAAATTCAATCTAAGTGAACTTCAAACACTGTTCTGAATTTAGATGACAACTCAAGAGATGAGCAGAAACCATTTATTTTCCAAAATGGTCAAGCTAATCACTGAATGACCAGAAATTTTGTTGCATTAGTTTTTAAATAATCCATAGTAAAGCCAAGTTTTTCAATAATGCATGTTGAATTTCCTACTTGCATTCGTAATACGGAGGCCACCAGAATAAAGTAAGGTAAACAGACCACATATGGGTTGTGCTGGTTTCTTGTTTGTCCCCAAGTGTAAAGCAATACTGTTCTATAAAGATTTTCTGTTCCATTTATGCTTAACTGTAAACAGCAATTTTGGACTGCCCAATATGATCTTCATTTCAAAAGCTCAGACACCAACTGTTGTGATATCATCTGTCACTCACCTCAGCCACCCGCTGAGTCTCCACTACCTGCTGAGCCAGCACCTCCACATTGGTTGCCATGGTGAAACAAGATCATTAGAGAACCTGTTTGAAAAGATGCCAGCAACTTCCATCAGGCACAAAATTAGGTTTCTTATTATTATTAAAGAAAGCTCCGATATGACTTTTTGATCATTTACAATACTGTTTGACATATAAGAAAATATGCCATGGATGCGTGCATGTGCACACATACATACACATATATGTACAGTACATGCATACTGGAATGATACTGTTCAAAAAGCTGAGGCACATTGTTATCCTTTTACTTTGTAAAGGCTCTAATACACTATTTTTACTAATTCAGCTGCAGAGAAGAGACGTTAGTTTCATAAATTAGAAAGGATTAATTTCAGTGTCAACTACTCATGCAGTTTGTGGAATTCAGATCTCTAAGGTCCTTTCCTCAACAAAAGGGAAGAGAAACCCTAAACTGCTTCTACACTACATGCAGAACAAGGAAACAGCAATCTAAGACCGCTGTTTTGAGCAAATTTTTATTAAGTCATTCTATAAAACTGCCATCTTCTTGCACAAATGGGGGAAATAAGCTTTCACATCTAAAACTTAGATTATCTAAACTAGTTTTATTATAATGTGATAGTATTATCACTCTTAGAAGAATATACTGCAGAATCATTTCATCCTATTTTGAGGATTATATTTTGAGAACTTCACATTCTTCAGGGTTATAAAAAATGCCGCAAAGTGAACAGAAAAAAGGAAGAAACAAAAGAAAAAAAACAACCCCACATTTCCAGTATGTTTTTAATGACCATTATTAGGGCTGTGTTTCTCCAAGGGTAAATTTAACTCAGATTACAAATTCAGGCATCCAGTTTTTAATTGTGACTTGGTCATTAAAGAGCCAGAGTTCTGACCCAGGCGTAGGAAATGAAAAGGCAGCCTGAATGATGGCCCATTCAATGTTTTATTGACAACCTTCTGGTGGTACTTGCAAAGCAATCATTTAGCATAAAATTAAAAAAAAAGATGAACAACAGCAAAATATGTAACGGAAAAATGCATTCATGTCTTTAGCACACCCCTTCTCCCTCCAGTTCAAATGCAACTTCTACAACATTAATGTTGAAATGTCAAAATTAATTCCGATAAAAAGACTAAATCATATAGTGGTAAACGAAATGTGAAAATTATTTTGTATATGTCAAAAGAAAACTATTCTTAACAATGCATAATCAAAATTCAGATTTGCCTATGGAAATCATATTTATGCTGGTTTTTCATGCAGCTTCTCATTTTTCTTCAAGTGTTTTCAATTTGTGCTGTGAAGCATTTGCACCAAAGCCATTTAATATCGAAGCTTGTGGATGGTTTCTCAGTGGTTCAGTAATTCCTTTCAGTGTTTTCTCCTATTTTAAATTCATTTTTTTTTATGTTCAGCAAGGAAGATAACCATATGCTTGTAATATGTGGTTTTCCCAGTGTTTAAAGATGCAGGAAGCTTTAAAGATGAGATATGTTGTTCATACGAATACCCTTCTAAGACACAATGAAGTTTTTGTTGTGGTAAGGCTCTGACAGATTTGCTGTTGGTGTTGTTATCCATCAAGGATTTTTGTACTTTCGACCTTCCCAAAACAGCGATAAGCTGAGGCTATCGGATCAAAAACAACTGGAAGCCCAGAGACTGTACACAGCCACACCAAGTAAGCTGGTTAGTGATACTCATGCCTAGAACGTGACACAACGCAAATAAGCTTCCTAGCAAACCCCTGAGCAGCAGAGGTCATAAAGAGAAAACAAAACAAAACAACCCACAAAACCCAAAGCAAGCCAATAAAACCAGGGGAGCCTAAAATTGCAAGAAGGCAGCCGGGCAGTATCTTCAGTGTAAGAGAGTGGCAGCCGCCTCAGCACGTTTAGACACGCTGCTGTCCCAAGCGGCAAACACCCATTAATTTCTGCCCCAGCTGCAGTGACCCTCAGCAGAAAGTTATACCCTCCGTTTGGGACATCCTGCGGGTATGACCCTGGCAGCATGACACGGCGAAAGGCCGAACTCAGGCTGTCTTGAGGGAACAACGTGCTCACACTGCCTGCCCGGCCGCATCAGCGGGGGTCTGGAAAACCGGGCAGGAAGGGCGGGTCTCGCAGGCCTGGCTCCGCCGGGCACCCCCGCTCACCGTCCCTGTGGCAGGAGCCCGGAAGGACTCCGTGCGGCAACGGACACGGCGCGGAGCCCGAGGAGAGAGCCCCGGCCGGCCGCCCGCTCCTCCCGCCCCACCTGACGGCCGCTTCCTTCCCGCCGCGCCGGCGCCTGCCCCCATTGGCTGTGGCCGCAGACGCGCCAGACCCTCCCGCGCCGTGAAACCACGCCCCTCCCGCTCCAGCCAATGACCTCACTGAAGACGCAGCACTCCCCCACACGCCGCCGATTGGCCGAGGCAACCGCCCGTAAGGGCCGCGGCCCCGCCTCTCGAGCAAGAGGGAAAACACCCGAGGGACGCGACTAAGCACAAGATGGCGGCGCTGGCTGGCCGCCAAGGCTCAGGCGGGGCTGCTGTGGCCGCCATTAGGCCCCCTCCCCCTCCCCGCCGGTACATCCTCATGTCAGGCTATAAGAGGCCCGGGAATGGCAGCAGGGGAGCGGCCGGTAAGATGGCGGCGGTCTCAGCCCCGTATGCAAAGTACCCGCCGCCCCCTCCCCTCCGCCCTCCCGGTGGCAAAGGTAAAAGGGTCGGGTTCAAGCCGCCGCCTCCGCCCGCTCAGACTCCATCTTCTCTCTCAGTGTCCGCGTCCCGAGCTCGTCATCGCCGCGACCCCCCGGACAGCAGGCTGCTCTCACCGAGACCGGACCGGCTCTGAGCTCAGGCGGCCCGCATTCCAGCCCGCCGGCTCCGCAACGGGACTCCCGCACCGGATCGGCCCAGCACCTCACAATGGTCCTCCCTCTCCCGCCAGGAGCTGCAGGCCAGCGAACGGCACAGCTGGCTCTCGCTTACCAGCGAAATACCGGAGTCTTCGCATCCCCCCTCCCCTTAAACAGAGCGCCACCCATCCCCTTTGCCGCTCGCGGGGGTGCCCCGAGCAGGGTCCCGGTGCTCACCCCCCCGCACCCCGTCCCTCCTCCTGGCCCCAACGGGACAAACCCCGCCGGGCCGCCTCAATTTTAAAAACCGTTTGTTTTTTTTTACCTCAGGAACTGGCGCCAAACGTGCCCTGGCGGTGACCCTGACCCGGGCCCCGGCGGGCCGGTGTTGGGCAGCGGTGCCCGGCGGTGGCCCTACCCCCGCAGGGCGGCGGCGGTGGTGAAGGGGCTATCGGGGTGCGGGGGGGCCGGGGCTGTGCTGCGGGGCTGCTGTGCGGGGGGTATGTTTTGGTTTGTGTGCCGTGCCCTGTGAAAGGTCAGAGTTCGTGACCCCGCCCGCCGCTGCCGCCGCCGCCTGAGAGCGTGTCCCCGCTTCCTCGTCCCCGCGCTAGGCCGGCCGCGGCCCCTTCATCCCCCTCGCGGGGCGGGGCTGGGGACGGCGGCGGGGAGGGGCTACCTGGGCCTCTCCGAGCCTCTCCGCGAAGGCTCCGCCGGGCAGCGCGGGCCCTCTCCGTCGGGCTGGCAGCGGCGCATGGAGTGCGGGGCGAGAGAGGAGGCTCCGGGCCTTGGAGGCCGGTGCTGGGTCGCTGCGGCTCCCCGACGGGAGAGGACGCAGGGCGGGCACCTGAGCCTGGACGATCCTGGTTCGCGCCCCACTATGGAACGCGGGGCGACGGTGCTTCCCTGCTCAGAGCAGCCCCCCGCAGCCAGGCCCGCGGCTGGAGGTGACAAGCGGAGGCGGTGATTGAGTGCGGGATGGGTGCTGGTGCCCATGTGTGTGTTCCCGAGAGTTGCTCAGCCGAAGGTGCTCTTGCAGTTGATGCTGGCACAGGGGCCGGCAGCAGGCTGGCCTGGGGTTTTCTTGCCTTCGCTAAGATCGGTGTCGTTGATGGGAGCTCTCCTAGCGGAGCTGGCTTGGGGGGGAAACGTTGTGCTTCCGAGTGAGTGACTGTAGGCATGAGCAGATGTGGTTCAGGACCTTACCTGCCACCTCCCGGTGCTTGTCATCTCTTCCTGGGGCTGTCCAATGTTGGCCTGTGACCCCGGTTTGCTGTTGTAGCTGTGTGTAGCTATTTCTTAACTTGCCCTTGTCAGGATATCTTGGTACTTCTACTAAGTTTCTGTTAAGTCTAGTTATTTTGGCAGAAGCTAACTTAAAGAGTGGTCGGATGAAAAAAAACCTTGAAGATCTGAAGTGATAGTAACTCTTGAAAGGAAACATGCAGGAGAAAGCAGCTGAATGTAGCAATCGCTGAAACAGGAGCTGCTGTTCAAGAAGCAGCCTAATTTGTTTGGGGTTTTTGGTTTTGTTTTTGGTCGGTTTTGTTAGAACAGGCTCTTTGGGGCAGGGAGATGAGAAATGAGGAATCGTGTATGAATTGCAGTCTTGTTACAAAACTGGAGTTAACATTCAAGCACGTGTATTTGCAATACATGAATAAAGGATAATGTTTTAAAAAATGTCTTGGGTGTTCACTACTGCAATGTTAAATATATGAAGAATCTTCAAATTCTCAAAATATGGACATGCACATCCCTTCAAAAGCAAATTTTTTTTTTTTTACTTCATAAAACATAGTATCATAGTGTAAGTATTTTTCTGTAACACACATAAATTTAGGGATTTTCCAAATTCTCATAACAGTAGGTTAGATGTTAGGGTAAGGATGTGTTTTCTTGTTATAAATCAAGGACAATGACTTGTGGAGCAGCTTGTATGAGTACAGCATATTTTTTAAATAGAGGATTTGGAAAAAAAAGCCCACCTTTTTAAAGTGAAATAAGGGAACAAACTGTTAGTCTGGCTTTAAACTGTGTGATGTGCATCTGTTGGATCATAGTTGTAAGTGAATTTAAACAATCTGGTTTTGTTCTTTATTTGCTATCCTAAAATGTTTTTATCAGAATTTTAAAAAAAAAAATATATTTTGATTACTTTTTTCACACCAGTTGTGTGTTCATAGTTAGGTAGAAAAGGATTTGAATCTTGTAGTCAGAGAATTCTCTAACAAGGCATAATATTGACAATGGTTATCTTGAGTTGTGCACTCTTCAGTGAACGGTTGTCGCTGAATAAACCAGAGGAGAGTCCAACTGTGAATAAAGATGCTTTTGATTTTGAGAGTTATTTTTATGAACAGGAATATTAGAATGTATAGAATGGGGAGGAAGTAGGCTAGGATGCTTTCAGTTAAATTTCTGCTTTATATAAACATCTCATTTTGAGCTCTTCAGGGAAATAATGTGTTATTTTTTTCCTTGGTAATTATATTTAATTTTGTTTTGCTGACTAGCAGATTCTCTTCCCTACACGCCTTAAAAGGGAGGGCCAGCATTTCAGTAGCTTTTGACTGCTAACCTGCTTGTTTCTACTTTTCTGATCTCTACCTGTCAGTATTTGGAGTAGGTTGAAATTTTGAGGTTTTCAGCTGATGCGTAGAGAGAGCCAGGACTTTTCAGTGACTTGCTGCATGTTTGTGTTTTGCCAGTTGTTAACTTTTCTGCAGTTGTTGTTCTATAATTGCTTACTAGATAAGTCATTTTCCCTCAGTAGGTCTTCTAAATCCTTTTCACTACTCCATGTTCAGAAGTATGCAAGAGTATCCTTGGAGGGGGATGTGTGTGTGTGTGTGTGCCTTTTTTTAACTGGCTTGGTTAAAGGCATGTTAGCTGTCATGACAAAGCTTTGCCAGTGGTCGTGGTGCATCTGAGAATTTACCAATTGGCTTAGCTCTGATAAATTAGAGGGATGAACTCTTGTTTATTGGTTTGCTCACCTCCATCTGTTCTGTCTTACAGTTGTGTTGTAACCTCTTTTGACATAGGTTGCTTTTCTTCTGGCTTTGTATATTGAAAACTGGTGTGATTCTGCACTCAGGCACTGCAGCAATAGCCTTGTGTGCCCTCTGCCCTTCTGCTGTATGGCAGTCCATCAGGCCTCCTGGCTGGGGAGGCTACTTCTCTTGCCTATGTAACTGCTGCTGTTGTTTCTTGGCCTTTTCAAGTGTTCTGCCTCAGCGTTGTGTTTAAGAATGCATCTCTGACTTGTCACTACTTTTTTTTTAATATGAACAGAATTCTTGTTAAAGTAACTTTGGTATTTGTCTGAGAAAAGACTGGAAATACAAGCATGCACATCTGAAGGCTCTACAAGTGCTGTCAAGGATTCTTACATAAACCTGCACAATTAATGATCTGCACTATCAATAGGTATTAATAATCTTTGGTAACTCAAGAGAAAATGAAAACATTTGTGTCTATAAACTGGTGTTAGTTTCTGAAGGATTTTCTTGATAATATGGTATATATTGGTAACTGGATGCATGTGTACTTGTGAAAGTGTTGCTGTGGCATAATGAAGTAGAACAGAAAAGGCCAGCAATCACTGGGATGCTAAGCCTATAAAGCAGGTGTGTGCCGATGATAATTTCCAGGCATGTTATATCATCACCCCACTGGATGCGTACCTGAGTGTACGGCCTGTTTCAGCAGGGTTTCCTCTCCTAGAGGCTTATGCATTGTGAGAATTTTGCTGTGGGAGGACCTTAGCACTGAAGATTGCTCACTTTAGATCCTAACTGATCTAGCAGCCTAGAGAAAAGGTGGGTTTATCTGTTCACATCACCATGCTTTTGAGCATACATGTTTTACTTCCTTGTTAAAGCCCAAGGTCTGAGGTACTTTGGGAAGCAGGGTATTCCACTTAGACCAGTGGTCTAGACTAGACTGTTAAAGCAAAATTCTGTAGCTTGAATGTTGTAGTAATTCTGGTTTGTTTTGAATATTGTGGATGAATAAATTGGCTATTGATTGCTGGAAGACAAATGCTTTAATGCTTTAAAGTTGTATTTTTCTGAGTGGTACTGGAAATGAAAATACAGTGTTGAGAATTCTGTATCTTAGGCAAAATCTGCAGATACCCTACTGGATGTTTTGCACATTTGAATTTGAAAAACCAAGTAAGATTGCTTAGTGTTACCTTGCAAAAATGTTCCAAGGTGTATATGCATGGATAGTTGTGAGGATTGGGGGAGGTGTTCATGAGTTAAAATGACATGCTTTCATAGTATTAATGATTTTATTGAAATAAAAGTACTGGTGTGTCATAACTTCTGAGTGTGTGATTTAGTTTGTTTCTTGTGTTTAAAAATAGTGAGCAAATTCTGAGTTCTGTTGTGCTAATCTCAACTGCGTGAAATTTTGGAAATGTTGAATTTGCAGCTCACAGGTAGTTAGTTGTAATAGTGGGAGGCTCTTATTTCTGTTATTGTTGTTATTTTTTGGGATGCCTCTAGAAGTAGGTGACACAAATGTACTACCTGTGCCCTAGTGAGACAAATGTCTTCTCTGTGGGCTTATTTAAAGTTAGTTAATAGCTAAAAAATACTGTAACTCCAAAATTCTGTGTGTTATGCCAAATTAAATGTAACAAATGGTTATAGATTCTTTAGCGTAGCTTTTAGTTGATGTCCCATCTTCTTTCATTCCTTTTTCATAAACTCCTCGTTCCACTTGCTGGCAAGTCTCTGACTGAAAGAAAGAATGGAAAGATGCTAGAATCAGAGATAATATGCTGCTTTTGCCTCCTCTGCTTCCTGCTCGGCAAGCTGAGGAAAGGTCTGGAGGACAGGAGTTATCTCCTTGTTCTTCCTTGTGTCTGCCACCCAAGAGAAGGCCTTGCAGCAGGTTTACTCTTAAGTTGTGGTGCGGAGTGCAGTCCTGCTTGCTGTGCAGCTGCACTGTGCGCGCTGAGGTTGGCAACAAGAAACGCAGTGATTCTGACAAATTTTGCTGTAGCTCTTGCAATAACTTCAGTGAAATATAGAATGTGTAGGCCCTTAACTGATTTAATAAGGAATACAGTATTGGATAACTCTGAAATTTGCTAAGTTTATTTAACAAACTTCTAAAAGAGCATTAGTAAACCATGCTTGTATAGCCCCTTTTTGGCTTTAGCTGTGACTAGAGAGAAATACGATCAATAGAAGATGCTGGAGGTTAAAAAGATGAGAGAGCACTGGGACACTCTAGAAGTAAAGGTTAATAACTTGATTGGCAGCAAAGAAAATAATGAAATCTGTCTACCATGCTGCGGTGAGCTGACCTTGGATTGCAGCCAGATGCTGACCCAGTCCCTCACTTCCCCCTCCTAAACAGGACAGGGGAAGAAAATGGGATGAAAACACTTGCAGGTTGAGGTAAAGACAGGTCACTTGCCAGTTAGTGTCATGGGCAAAACAGGCTTGACTTGGGGGAAGTGAATTTAACTAATTACCAGTTAAAATGGATTCGGATGGGGCAAAAAAACCCAAAAATTAACCAGTGCCTTCCCCTGCTGACCGTTTCTGCCGGGCCCCGTTTCACTCCTTGCCCCGGACCGCTCCACCTTGCCCTTCCGCTCCCACCCTCACGGTGGTGCGTGGGCGGCGGGGGCTCCAGCCGGGGCCTCACACCGCGTTTCACCTGTAGCCGTGAGAGCTCCTCTCCGCAGGCAGCCGTTCCTCTCAGGAAGTATTTACTGGTCCCAGCCGTGGTTCAGAGAGGGGTTTAGTGATGGTCTTTTTCAAACTGTTCCGCTGGTCACAGGGACCCTTTGGCTGTTCCCTCCGCGATAGCCGCCTCAAAAGAAGAAAAGGCTGTGCAACGCTGCCACCTGAGGAAGAGACCCTGTGGAAGTTGCACATCGCCCAGGAGAGCCGATTGAATTCCTCACTGACCAGAGGTAAGATGGGAGATGTGCACGCTTACAGGGATGGAAAGATGTTTTAGGTGTGGAAACAGGTGCTTTGATGCAAAGGTGAGCTGTGTAACTGCTCAGGCCAAAAATCCTTTGGTTGTGGTGGTGGTGGTGTTGGCAGTACAAGTACGTAATGGACTAAGAGAGGGTCAAAAGTCAGGGCAGGCAAAGAAACACAAAATAAAAGCAGGATTTAGTGTTATTCATGTGTTTGTAATGTTTGGGATTGACAGTATGGTAGAGCTCTCTTGGGCTGAGTTTTTTTGTTGTTGGATTTTGGTGGGTTTTGTTTGTTTTGGTGTGGGTTTTGGGGTTTTTTGTTCGTTTGTTGTTGTTAGTTTTGGTTTGTTGGTTTTGTTTGTTTGTTTTGTTTTAAGTTGTCATTTCAGGTGCTTAAAATCTTCATATAATTTTCCTGAAGCTTTTGAGGTAAAATTTAAAGAGCAAAGCTGGTATCTAGCATGGAAGAATCCACAGTTACAAGTGACTGAGAACGTTTTAACAGTATAAACTGTACAGCCTTGTTAATGCCACATTCAATTTAAATCTTTAATTGTTGTTAGATGACTTTTGAAGTATGAGTCTTTGTGCCTTGTGTTTGGGTTTTAATGGCGGGCAGGGCTGAGGGAAGCTGGTGACCTCCATCTTGTGGGCTTTTTGCCCTCGTATCTCTGTCACTGTCTCTTAGCAAAAGCGGGCTTGTTGTCTGCTCTAGCAGCACAGCATCGGCTCAGGAAGGGTACTGGTGTAGTCCAGGGCTAGACCAGCGGTGCTTGTGTGCCTGGCATGGGGTCTTGTCCTGTCTGAGCGCTCTCCAGCTCTAGAGTGACTTGAACTTTGTTTGAAGAAATAATGTAGCTGATGAAAAAAAAAGATTTTAAGTAGGCATATACTGTAAGATAGATCTCAATATTAATAGTAGATAATGGCTAATAAATTTAATGCTTTTCCATGAGTGGCAAAGTAAGCAGAAAATGAGATCAGCTTGCATCTGAGCTATTGACAGAGTAGCTAGTACATTGTGGCTTCCTACAGATCTGCTTTTTGTAACATTTGTGAAGGCGTGGAACTAAATCTTTGTTTTGAAAGACTAATACTAGCTACAGCTTAGGAAGAAAGAGGCGTTTGCAGGTAAATGGCATCTGGTAAACTGAGTATGTATCTCTAAGATGTTAAAATTTTCTAAAAGGTGATTGAAATGAGGGTAATTTCTGTCTGGTACTTGGCTTTGCTCAAATTAGATTAACAGTTGGACTGAAGTTGTGAGAATGTTTAAAGTTTTTTTTCCTCTTTCTTTGTGCTGTATTGAAACCATTTGTACCTGTAACTGAAGTAGAGTTGATTGGTAGGCGAGCTCTACAGGAGGTAAATGCAGCCTGGACTGAAATATGCCGTTGTAGCAATTAGGTCTAAATCCTGTTTCTACCAGAAGGCCTCCATTACCATATTATGATTTGATGCTCTTTCTTAGTTTGCCAGAGAATTGGTTAATAGGTGTCTGTTAACAGCAGCAAGAACTCCAAAGCTGGAATTAAAGAAGGTAAAAATAGTATAAAGGAAAAGCCTGTAGAACTGCATTTATGTTTTGCTCTTTTATTTTTCCACATTACTTGAAACAATGTTCAATAGCACTGTATCTTATTTTTTACAACAAAATAATTTCATGTATTAATTTCCTGCTTATAACTGAAAACGTCATATGACAGTCACTAAATGTCAGCACCTAAATCTTCATAATACTGTTGTTCTGTAATGCAGTTTTCTTTTGTCTGGGACCATGGTTAGAGATTTCAGTCTGTTGTCAACATAGTCTCTTTTTCTTTTTTCTCCTTTTTTTTTTTTTTTTTTTTGCCAGTGCAAAATATTTTTAAGGGAGGATAAACATTTACAGTGTATTGGTAGCAAGGCTATGGTTGTAACATGAGGGAGGAGTAACATTTACAGTGTATTGGTAGCAAGGCCATGATAACATGAAACAAAGAGTGTTCATTGATGAACATTGGTTTTCATCTATTAACTAAATACAAAAGTTTTACTTTTCTCATACATGGTTTCTGTTTGCTTTATGAAACTAACAGACTCAGATGTATCAACCCCAAAACAACTATATTTTTATTTAGTGGTAGGCATTTGGGGTTTTTAAGCTTATTTTTCCAGGTGATAAATTGAACTACCTTTATCATTTTGATACATATTATAGACCTTTAAAAATTCAGATAATTCTAAACAGTTTGTTAGGGTCAGAAATTCAGATATCCATTAAGCTTCTTGAAGAAAGGTAAAAAAGTAATAAAAATCCACCCCTGAATATATTTTAATGTAAGTAAATTCTTGAACATGGTATTTTTATACAAAGATATATTTTAATCATAAATGCAGTTCTATTCTTCAATCAAATATTATGACAAATATAGGACATAAAACCATTTTATTGTAATGGTTAAAACACAACTTCTCAACCTTCTTTATAGAAAAAAAAAAAGAAACACAACCCCCCCAACCCCCAAAATAAAATAAAATTCAAAATAAAAAACAAACCCAAAACAAACAAATTCAAACCCCCCCGAACTCCAGAGGTCTGTATCCTCAGCTGTTATAAAGCAGCACAGCATCTTTGAAGTCACAGACGCTTGGCTGCTGAGAATCCAGCCCTGGAGATATAGTGCACAACAGCAGTCTGATGGAAGATGCATTTAGCCACAGGAGTTCCAAGCACTCCAGCTGAGCAGGTTCAGACAAGTGCATTTCAGCCCACCAGCATATTGCAAATGGTGTGCTGGTTATATGGATTAAACTTTTGATGACATTTTTCATAACAAGAACAGCAGAAACAATAGGAGCTTTGGAAACAAGGATAGACTATTTAAATAGATGATAGTAAAAATCTTAACACTACTAGGTAGACTAGTGTTAAATAAAAACTGTCTGCAGCTTTATAATAAATTAAAAATAACCTTTGGATTTGAGTCTGATGCAGTATCTAGGGAGAAAAGATATAATTCAATGTTTGGATATTTAGAGCTACTAGAGTGCATTTCAAAGTACTGCAGTGGTATGAAATTAAACCCTTCAACATAAATTAACAGTGATCTTTGTAAAATCATAGATTGATGGTAAGTGATTATCCTGGGTCATAGTCAGTGAAGCATTGATAGACCAGGTCAATTGAATGTGGTGTTCATTTTCTGTGGAGGCATTTTAGCATACACTGGGCATAATTTCACACTGGCACTTGTTACTGGATGAGTAATAAGTTGGGCCACAAAACTCCTTCGAAACATGAAAAACTGAAGTTATAGTTCAATAAAAATAAAGTGCTTTAAATGAGCATTTGTTGTTTACTACATTGTCTCATTTCATGGTAGACATCAAAACCAATCCAATTAAATATGACAGTGCTCTAGAGTGAGTAAAACTAAGCCTGTTACTTACTGTAGTCAGTATTTCCATGTGTTTTCTTGTCTTGATGTTAGACTTAGTTTACTATGGAATTGGAGAAGAAGCTTATAGTGCAGGTTGAACTTGCACAGATATAAAGATCACCATAAATATTATCTATGCGAATGTAAGAAGGAGGAAGGAAAAGGAGCGATCTGGAAACAGTTCATATCCAGTGTACGTAGCCAGTTTGCCTGAAATACACTGTTCAGTTTTGTAAGATAGGGAGTGTTGCTGGAAAAGTATAAAAGTCTGAGAATTTGTTCCAAGTTCATTGAGTGATAGCTGCTATAATATGGATGCTTCTTCCATGGCTTCAATCCACCTAAAAAGGGCAGGAAAGAAAGAATGATGCATATAAAATTATATGCATTACAGAGAAAATACATATTTTAAGGAAAACATTCCTATATTTAATATTTATATTAAATATATTTAATAGAAGTAATTATATTTTAATTATTTAAATATAAGTATTAAATATAAAACTTATATTTAATACTTAAATAAGTATTTTTATCTTCAAACAATACGTGTTTTAAGAAAGTAAAGCCAGAAAAGGACTGGATCTCCTATTGCAGCTCTAATGAGAAGTTACAGTTTTGTTATTAAAGCAGGGAACTGGGTACTGGAACACAAGAGTCCCAGTACAATCTTTACCAGTAATTTATTGTAAAATCACAAAGATAATACAAGTGCTGTCTTACAATAGGAAAGGTGAAACCACTGAAGTATGTTTAAAAGCAAGAAAACCCCACAACTCTCATAGACTCTCACTTCCTTCCCTGTGTGTCTTGGGGTGCTAGCATTTTTATTACTAATGTTATAATAACTTTTATTGTGTGGAAGCAGTAGCATTAGAATGGGAAATCTAAACCATTATTTGTTGATGAGGAAACTAAGAGATGGATAAATAGAACAGATAGAGAAGTTTATGTAAGTAACCATATGTGGTGAGCTTCTAGGCATAACTCTTGAGACTAAGCCTCCTCTTTACCTATACCAAGGATCAAATTCTCCTTCCTGAAGGAAATGAAAAACACCAGGTGGGTTTTTAATGTCACCCATGCCAGTCACGTGACTGGACTTAATCAGCACTCTGAAAGCTGTTTGTTTCGTCTTACGAAAGCCTTCTAAAGTGAAGGAGAGGGAAGAGCTTTTGGACCCGTGCACTGGCTTCCACTAGTGTGGAAGTCTACCCCCGTACCTTTGTGCTGAATTGTTATCCTCTGCTCGGAAGCTATAAAAGAGAGTCTGCTTGTGGTAGAGATGGAAAACTGTATCCGTATTTCCTTCCTCCTTTTCTGGGGTGATGGTGAAACCCAGCAAAGGCAAACTTTCTGTGGCAACTTTGTCCTAAAAGCAAACAAGAAGTGAACCAAAATTCAGAGAAGGCTTGTAACAGTCTGAGGGCTCTTTCTGAAAACAAATAAGGATACAACCCCTCTCTGACATGGCTGCAAAAGCAGTAGTGTGAATCTTCTGCTGGACTTGTGGCTCTTGCCTAACCAGGAGCAGTGTATGTGTGCTGCATGGACTTATCTAGCCTTGGTCCAGAATTCGAATGCTGCCTCTGAAAGTCCAGTTCTTTGTGATCATCCATATGACCATGAAGGCCAAATTAGCCATTACTTTAATCACGTTGACATAATGGTCCAGGAGGTGAACTAGAGGTTACTGAGAGTATGGGACAGGACAGCAACAGTTCTGACAGTCTGAAACCCACGTGCAGTTAGGTTCCTTTTAACCGTTTTTACTGTAAGCACAAATCATAGTCTTTTTGGTACCTTGTCATTTCCTTTCATAGCACTGGCAACTTTTTTAGAGATCTGCGCTGTCTCTGACAGCATACTGGCTTTTCCAAAATGCTGCTTTGAAATTTCTGAGCTGGTAATGCAATTAACTTGCTCCCAAGAAACATCCATTAATTTTGCTTGCCAGACACTGCTTTGTACAAGGTAAAGAAAACAATAATACTTACTCAAACTGCAGTCTAGCTGTTACTGACAGCTGCAGGTTTGGTCACTGTATTTAGCTTTTAGAAGCTAAATTGCAAACTGGGAATATAAAGTGTAATGAAGCGTCTATTGCTTTTTCCCTACTGTTGAACCAGAAATTGTCACTCTTAAGGTTAGCAGAGGTAAGAGAAATGAATTAGATACAGTTTTTGATGCTAATGGTCTTAATTGCTTATTTAAAGGGGATAATATTGTTTCATGCAACTGTCACAATGGTGATGGAAGTGTAAATAAATAATGTTTGCAAAGTATTTTGAAGGCTTAAAGTACCAAATATTGCTGCTACAGCAGTTCTTGCATTCTGTGTCTTTTGTTCAGCACAGTGAATTTTTATGCTTCTGTTTATGAAATCTGCCAGTTATCATCAGACTTTATATTATACTTCCTTGAAGTTTATTTGTTTTGCAGCTCTTCACAAAGGAGAAGAAATTAAGAAAAGGGACTGGGAGGAGACAAAATACATAAAAATAATCTAGCTAATATCCAGCCTCATTAGCTGTAAGGAAGAGCCTACAGGTCAATACACAAGGCGTTACTCTCACCTCTGCAGACTGCTTCCTATCTTTCCCTGTTGGTACTAGTAGGGCAAATATGTTCTGGTTTTAGTTGCAGAGCTACAAGTTTCTCTTCCCCACCAGAAATGGATCATAGCACCATCTATTTTCAAAATATGTGGGAGTTACTAGGTAACCAGAGAATGTGGAAGGACCTTGAAGTCTTTAGGTGTAAATATGTAGACGAAGGTTCACTCTTTATAGTAGCATAAAGAGCAAGAAGTTAAATAATGAAGAGCAGTTTGTGAGGAGGGTTGCCAAGGTCCAGCTGGACTGCTCCCTGGAGACTCAGTCTGTTAGCACCAGGGCTCAGAAGCCATGTAGTTGTGACAACTGCCATTTATACCTTTCACATTTATTTGTGCTGCCTGCAGGGAGTAAAGAAGAGAACACAGGAAACTATTTCAAGTCAGATTGCACAGTACCTCATTTGCTATGTAGGTGTAGAGGACTTTGCCTTTGATAACAAACCAGCGTTTCTTCCATTGTCTTTTGCCTCTCTTAGATCTGCTGAGGTAACCGCTGATGGTAGCTCCCTCTTCTGAGGCTGCCACCTGGAGCATCATAGGAGAAATTAGGATTTATAACAGCAAAAGCTTTTCCCCTCCCAATTATGAGTGTTTGCCTCACACCAGACAACCAGGTCTATGTCTGTTAAATCATAAGTAGACCATTAAAAATACTGAGACAGGAAAGATGCAAGCATGGTATTACAGATCCTTTTAACTGTTTAAAGATTTCTGGTTAAACTTGCTTCTTGGTAACTCTGATGGAAAATATGCAGTCAAGTTACTATTGAGTTCAGCAAGTTTACAGCTATGTTCTGAGGGGCCAAACTTGTCCTCTTTCTTAGTCCTGGTTGTTTTGGTTTTTTCTTGTTTTGTTTTTGTTTTTTTGTAGTGAAAGTACCTGCTTCCAAAAGGGGATTACAGTCTTGTAGTTGAACACTTTCAAAGATGTGGGCTTATCTAGGACATTGCAATGGTTTTACATGAGTTTACGTTAGTCACTTGACTATGACTTGGTTTCATTTGTGAAATAATATTTCTGAGAAGAGTTAACTCTCTCAGAAGTGAGATCTAAGCACTTAATGTTCTTAAAGATCCTGGTTTTGAGTAGATGGGACTATACACACACACGCAATGCAGTGTGTCGTTAGTTACAGTAGTAAACTGCAGTAGTATTGGATTTAGAAACAACATACAGAGAGTCAAAACCAGCTTTTGCAGCACTGTCAGAAGAGAAGACTGGAGCAGGGTAGGAGAAATCAGGAAGCATGTGTTTAGCAGCAGAACAGAAATGTTCCAAGACCTGGGTAAAGCAGGCTGGAAAAAGTTGTGGGGCGATGCCACTGTGAGACAGTTCCTGCTGCTAGACACATGCTGCCTCCTTGGAAACAGAGAAGCAATGCTTTAATGCCCATTCTTTCAGTATTCCATTAGTGTGTCTGTACTACATGCTTGTATCCTTGGCTCAGTTTCACCTCAGCACAAACAAACCTCAAGAAATTCCAGTGCCTGAGCTGTATAATGAGTTCAGCAAGATATTTGCCACCCTCTTCTCTTTGATACAACAACAAATACCTGCTGGTAGCTACCTAGACTATATCAAGGTGATTGGCACCTTGTTCCTGAATAGCTGGGAAAACACTATTGTGAAAAACAGAATAAAAGTAATTGTATGATGAAAGTAGACCAGGGCATGGGCTGAGACCACTGCACACAGAACAGATTATGGACAGAGCTGCTGAACTACAAGCACAGAGTTTTCTACAGTTCCTTGCCTTTCTCAGGCTGCCTGGTCCTACCTCTGTAAGAGCTGAAGGAATTTTCTTCTGTTTCTTAAAAGATGAATAATGCATATTGTGGAAGACAGAGGAGAAGGCACTGCTTGAACACCTGGATGAAGTTGGAGGGAAGCTCACACTCAGTGGCCGCTCTGCAAGGTTGAGAAAATTCAGAAAGGGAAGGGGGAAATGGATGAATTGGTACATATCGGATTAGGGCTAAGAAACACATGCTAATGCAAGTGACTAAGGAAAATGCAAATGTTACTCCATACCTAGTTTTTATCTTAGCTTTTCTTTCAAATTGCCCCTTTAAGTATGATTACCTGGGTAGATTTTGTGTCACCCTAGGTTAATGGTAATAATCTGCAGCTACTTGAATGAAGCCTGCAAGAAAGCTAACAAAACACAGCTTGTTTTCGTCTAATTTAAAATTAGCTTTAAGCAAACGGCTTTTCCATCTGTCTCTGCTCTGTAACACCTTTGCAGGATAGATTTGCTAGTGGGACATTTTTTCTGTATGAACTATTCTCTTTGAGTTCTGCATGGGAGAGAGCTATCCTGGCAATCTCCATCAGTCCCACTTCTCTGAGTTCTTATCTTCATGATCTCACTTTGGCAGTGCACGCTATTTGGAAGCTCTTAGTAAAGCACAATGTTGTTTTAGCACAAATCTGAGTTATCACTTCTTGGACACACAGCGGCTTGGGGATGCTTTTTTGGCTGTTGTGACAATATCTGTTCACATGTTTGCCTAGCTAGTGATGAATTTCTTAAATCGTGATAGAGAAACAAGTTCATCTGTCTCCTCCACCTTTTTATCCTTGCCAGTATAATGTGCCTACTTTTAGAGACTCTACATGAATAGCTGTGCAAGAATGTTATTTCATGTTTGGTCTCTGTTCATATATATATAACCCATGCTTCCCCTTTTATCTTTGATTTGGATGTGTATTTAAATTGGAGAAGGGATGTGTATAGTAGGACAATAATATGGAGTTACAGGTAGGCAGTAACTCTTCTGCTTTGAATTTATGCTTTCATCTGTAGACAGATCAACTCGCCATGTGGAAAGCACTTAGTGACTCTGCAGTTTACTTCAGCATTTCTTTTTGTAAAAGCTACTACATGGATGAGGACAGTGAGCAACTGTAAAGCCATTGTTTTATTTAAATGGATAATTCATTAGAAATTATGGAGAAAAGTTACCGCCTATAATTACATCACAGAATAGAACAGTTCAGTTGGAAGGAACCTCAGGGCTTCCCAAAAGTTAAAGGATGTTATTAAGGGCATTGTCCTAATGCTTCATAAATGTTGACAGGCATGGTGCATTGACCACCTCTCTAGAAAGCCTGTTCCAGTGTTTGACCACCCTCTGGGTCAAGAAATGTTTCCTCATGTCAAGTCAGGACCTCCCCTGACAAAGCTTTGAATCATTTCCATGTGTTCTGTCACTGGATGTCAGGGAAGAGAGATCAGCAGCTCTGTCTCTACCTGCTTAGGAAGCTATGGAGAGCAATGAGGTCACTCCTCAGCCTCCTTTTCTCCAAACTAGACAAACCCTGTGCCCTCAACAGCTCCTTACAGGACATAGTTTTTATTGTTGTTCTGGTTCATCAAAGGCCCTCAGAGAACCTGCCTTGCTAAAACAGTTTTAGCTGTCATGCAGCCTGCCACTCATGGGACCTCAATACACACGCCTTGTGCTTGAACAGAACATGGTAGGCAGATCCTAAAGCCTCCCCATCATACAGACAGGAAATTGTCAGTTTTGCCAAGAACGAAGGAATCTTACCTCTTTTCTTAAGTTCCCCATAGCAGCTATCACAGACTTTGGCTGCTTGATCTTTGAGGTACTTCATAGGGTACTTGTTTCTTGAACAGTTTCGGCATACAATCTGTTCCAGCAAGGAGAGATGCACATAAATATAATTTAAATGGATATATATGCAGGTACAAACAAATCCTCTGAGGTGGTTGGGAGAGGAAGATGGATAGGGGACCACGTATGACTCTCTCCTAAAAATGTGGCAATTGGGGTAAGTCTGTTGACTGGAATGTGATTGTTGTAGATGTGTGCTGTTATAAACCAAGCAGAATTGATCACTGTATTTGGCTGCACATCATTGCTGTACACCTCTTCCCAGGAACTTACACCTTCCGTACTAGCGAATCACAGAAAGACCACTTTAATATTACTTCTGGTTTCATAGGTTTGTTAATAATACTTGTGGTTTTAAGCAAGGTTGCACATTCCCGCTGTCCCTATGTAGGTACAGGTTAATTTTTCTCTGTGGAATTAGAAAAAAGATTAAAAAAATACAGCCATGGCTTAAAACAGGACTGCAGGTTTATGTGTAGGAACAAATCCCTAAGAGTCAGTGATAAAGGGACAAAACCAAGAAAGCTTATAGATCCTCTTGGCTTCAGAACAAAAGGCAGCAGCTCTTCAACGGAGCATAAAGGAAACTTCTCTTTGGTCACTGATCAAACCATGCTCCGCTGCTGAGTTTTTTCACTCGCCTTGGAAGAGATTTTTACTAGCTGCTATTAGGGCCAGGACATGGACTAGATATGCTACTGCTCTGGTCCAGAACAGAGCTTATATTTTTAGTGTGTTGCTTCACTGTCTCGAGCTAGCTAAGATATAATGGCTGGACTTGGCGGCCTTCAACTACTGGCCTTTAGGGGTTAATTTGACCCTCAAAGGAAGGTTACTGTTGTTCCTACTAAAGTCATTGGAAACCTAATTTAGCAAAGCACTAACAAGTTCTGTGAGAAAGCAAATTCTGGTCTTGATGTTGCTAGAAGTTTGCAGCAGTTACAGAACGGAAGCCAGTGTCCTAGAGGTGTGCATAAAGCCTCCTTGAGAAGCTTGTACAGCTCTTACCTTCCCACATGCATGGCAGTGATGTCGTCTCAAAGTGAGGGTAAAGTCGCAGCCACAGTTCATGCACATCATGACGTGGGACACAGGTACCAGAGTGGGAGGCCTCTCACCCAAGGGTATTCCAAGCCTTTCCCTTAGCTTAAAATCAAACAAGAACAAATGAAGCATCTACACTTACAAAGTCCACATAGTCAACCCTGCTCCATCACATGCAATTCTCTCATTTTTGTCTACCTTTACCTGCTAAGATCCCTAAATTTTCTAATTCCTAATGCACCTTGTGAGTGAGAGCTGCTTCAGCACTGAAAGAGTGTGGCCAGTCAGTTCATGGTGCTGTATAGCCAGAGTCACAAAAGGTAAAAATCCACATAAATCTATTACTGGCCAGGCACTGGCACTTCCACATCAGACAAGGATCTGAGTCATTGTTTATACAAATGCCAGGTAAGAATGTGAGTTAAAGCCACCTTTTTATTAGCAGCTTTTGAAGTAATATCCGTAAAAAGCTCTCAGCTTTCAGTCAGAAAGGGCCTTTGAAGGTCATTTAGTCCAAGCACCCCTTTCAGGCGGGGCCACCTAGAGCCAGTTGGCCGGGACCATATCTAGCACTTTTGAATATCTCCAAGGATGGAGACTCCACAATCTCCCTGGGGAACCTGTGCCAACCCTCAGTCACCTTTGGAGTGAAAAACTGTATCCTGACGTTTAAGGGAACGTCCCGTCTTTCACTTCGGGCCCATTGCCTCTAGTCCTGTCACTGGGCACCACTGAGAAGAGCCTGACTCCATCTTCTTTGTAGCCTCACTTCAGGTATCTGTACACATTGATGTGATCCCCCTGAACCTTCCCTTCTCCAGGCTGAACAGCCCCAGCTCTCAGCCTTTCCTCAAGATGGCTGATGAAGAGATGCTTCATTCCCTTAATCATCTCTCTGACCCTTTGTTGAATTCTTTCCAAGGTTTCCATGTCTCTCTCACACTGAGAAGCTCACCACTGAATGTAGTACTCCAGCTGTGGTCTCGTCAGCACTCTTTTTAACTTAGTTAATTTTATTTAGTAAAACTGGGGTTCTACATAACCTAAAATAGCATTTTTACTATTTGTCAGATGCATTTTTAGTGTTCTTTACTGGGAGTAGTACAACTGAAATTGATGACAGTCATATATATGAATTGTGCTGGTGCAATTAGACTGTTGCTGGTGGGTTTTGCAGTGGCTACTGTGTGTATGACGTTAGTGTAACTACTGAGTAGGTTTGTTTTCTTAAAATTTAAAAAGTTTATAGGCATTTTTAGTTCATCCAAACTAATTACCTTTAGGACAAAATAATCTTCCTCCAAAACTCCTATTTAAGGAAAGCCCACAGAGTATAGAGTGCGATTAACATGTCACTGGTGACCCATGAGTGTTGTTTAAGTCTGGCATACTGGTCTAAATGAAGTTATTAAGAACATCTTGCCACTAGGAACTCTGCATTTTATAACCCTCCTCCTTTCCTCTCTCTTTCTCATCCCTCTTTGCCTTTCCAGCATTGAAAGACTTAGCCTCCTTTTACCTCCACGCTGCTGTGAAAAGTGGAAGCGTTGTGAGCTTTGTAGTCATCTGGGATGTGTCTGCTTATGCAGCTGTACCAGTCATCCCTTTCCGAGCAAGAGCTGTGGAATGAAATACAGCAGACCAGTCAATGCTATGCACAGCAGGGACTGAAACAGGGAGTTTTTGGATCAGAGGAGAAAAGTTTTGCTTTATGAATGTTTGTTTTCCCTCACTACTGCATTTAACTGGTCATTTTCTGACCAGAAACAAAATTGACTGTTTGACACATTCAGCAGAATGATTAGTGTAGACCCATGGTTAGGACTGTCACTGAGAAGGAACTAAATGCCCAGATTTTTTTTTCCAAGTAGTCTCTGACTTTACTATAAGCTGCTCAATCCTGGATCACATAGGATGACATGAAATGTCTTTTTTTTTTTATTTTTACAATGTCTGCCCTAGATTTTAGACACTCAAGGCATGTATTGTTGGCATGGGTTGCTCAAAGTAAGCATGTTTATGCTCATCTCTACAGTGGGATGCTCAGATGATATTCATGTTGGGAAATACAGAAGTTATGGTGGAGATGTGAATGCTTTCATTTTCCTCTGGCTCCATCACAGACAATCTCCAGTCTCGTGACAAGAGGCCAGGACAACAATTTGGGGAGGGAGTTCTGCACTCTCCCTCTGCTGTTCTGCATGGAGGCCAGTAGTTCTCCAGACTGGCCCCTAGATGCCCCCTTTGCACAAGGCAAAACAAGTGATCACATTGTACTTCCATATCAATCCAGCTGTCCCCCAAAAAAGAAGCAGGGCTCTTACGGTGCCTGTTACTTCCCAGATGCTTTTGTTCTGTTACAGCCATAAGCTGTCCTGCTTGCATTAGCTGTTTTTCCTGCTGTGACTTCAAACTGCATGCTTCCTGTCCACCTGATACTGTGCACTTTAGCTGTTCCCAGCATCAGTCACGGAGGCAATGCAATTCAGCATGGTCTCCCCACCCTAAGCCATGCCAGCCACTCACATTAAAGCTACCTACTAGACTTTGTTGTAAAAATGAGCAGTGGCATAATTGCCAGCTGCTGTTCAGCTGGGATTTCCTCACACTGTCCTCATGAAGGCACCAAACCAGACATCTGAGAACAATTTGCCTGTTGTGGTCTTAAAAAAAAACGGGGGATGGGGGTGGGGACATGTGACACAAAAAAAGAGAGGAAATGCCAGATTTATCGAGGATCTCTGACTCAGCATACCTCTGTACTTCGAGCATAAGCCCTTGTCTGAAAAACACCAGCCTCTGTAAATTTCAAGGAGCCTGGAACAGAAACTGAGCCAGTGTAACTACTGCATATAGGCTAACCTCTGCAAGCCACAACCCTGTGTTACAGGAGATCATCCCTGGCAAGAGCCACACTACTAGTCAGTCGTCTTTACTACCAAAAGTCCTGTCAAATTACCCTTTCTAAGAAGTCTGAAGATGTCTATTTTCTAGACAAATCGTGTTTGCAGCCTGGAAAACACTAAAAGAAGTTTTGGCTTTAACCTTTTTCTTGCTGATTCCTTTTTGGAAATTCTCTTCACTTGAGAATGAAGGTACGATTTACAGAATAGGATTTAAAAACCCTAAAGGAAATCATGGCCAATATAGTGCTGTAAATTAAAACCTCTTTGGGAAAGACAGGTAAAAGGGACAATCTGGTATTAAATGTCTGATACCTAACTGGCCCCTTTAGCCTCTTCTCCACTTCCTTAAACATCTCTAGGCATAGGTTATTAGTGTCTAAATGTGGGAATAACACCTGTCTGCTGGTGAGTAAGATAAATTATCTCAATTGACACCAGCCAGCCTGTTCTTAATCAGCTATTTCTCTGCTTGCATGAAGGCTCAAAGGGATTTTTACTTAACCTCTGATGCTCAGAGAAGCTCAGACCTTGATTCACCATTGCAACATTGGTTCCTTCTGTGATTTTTGGGCTGCATCTTTTGTGCTGAGCTATCATATCTCTGTTGGCTCATATATTCTTCCTTAAGCAAATAGAGGGTCAAATTGTCATTGCAGTCTCCTGAACAGTAGGAGACATCCATGGAACACAGAAACCGGACTGGGATGGGATTTTGTTGCCATGATATCACTGTCATTCTGTTCCTTTTGATGAGTGTAGCAGGCCAAGAATGTTGTGCAGTGGGGTTAGGAAGAGCATGCTGTCCCACTGGTGTCTCACCAGTGCTGCCAGCCAGTACAGAAAGAGAGGAAAAAAATGTTCTTGGGTGACTTTTACAGCAGTTTGGTCCCAGAATGAGCAGTACAAGGAAGGGAAAGGGGCTCTATCTGCTCTGGTAAGAGCCAGTCTCTGTCTGGCTCTTATCAGAAGGGCAGCCTTAGTCTCAGGCCCTGATTCTGTCTGCTACCAAAGAAACACAGCTCATAGTGGCCCTTGGCCTAAACATGCTTTGTTTAGGCTTACTAAGCAGAGACTTGATATGAGTACAGAAGGCCAAGAAACAACATAACACTTCAAGCAGAACATTCCAAGCTTCTCACTAGGGATGCCAACCTCAGCCGTCCTGAATAAATGGAACATGCAGCAGTTATTTCCCTTCTCCAGTACAGAAGGATTGTACATATCCTCCTTTTGTAACTGACAGCAGGTACTTCAGAAGTCCTGTGTATGTTCTGAGGGGTTTGATGAGCATGCAGCTCTAAGAAAATCTCAGACATCTTCTCGTTTGCTGGTTATAAAAGGAAATGAATACAAAGGCTTTGTCAGGTATCTGAGCACTGCCCACAGGTGGCAAGTGCTCTGGGAAACCTGAGAGCTCCAAATTCTGATTCTGAGTAATAAGTACTCTCCCTGCCTTTCTATTGCACTGTGTAATTCAGGGAAGTCTGTTGTGGTTCCAGCCATGCTGTAACTGGAGACTGATGGTGGAAAAGTCAGTACTTAAAAGCAGTGAAGACTTAATTTTAGTATCACTGCTAGTATTTTATAGTGAACTACACCTGAAAATCAAGTCAACCACCCTTCTGCTATAGCTTTAAGTAAATTGGCATGATAATTTTGAGCTAGAAGCATGAAAAAATACAGTACACTGCTATATTCCAATCAGAAGCCGACCTACAATTTCTTTCTGACATTAGCTTATGATTCCTGGCCAGGGATCCCGACTCCCAGTTGCAATCAGTATGGGCACTACACAAACTCATTAGTGGAATTCCTTTTGAGGAACCCATGAGGTTGCCAGTAAGGTTAAGTTTGGCTTTGTCATTGAAGCACAATTAAATGCTTTTATATCTGTTGCATGGTGTTACTTAATAACTGTTTTTACCAGCAGTTTTGCAACCCTAGTGATACGAGGTAACAAGTGAACCTTATAAAAAGGAGATAAAACGTACTCTCAATGTCACAGGGGAAAAGTGTGAAAGATAATGGAAAGCACTTGGGCTTCTTAGTAACAGACTTTCTTCTCTTTCCTTTAAGATGTTCTGAAGACCCAACTGCTAGTCTTTAGTCAGTAGATGAATTGAATTAGTTATAGTTTATGGGCTTTTTTGCATTTATAACGAATACCTTCATGGCATAATCCCGCACTCATCCATTGTTTGTCACAACAGCACAGACTGAAACTGAGTCAAAAAAGAATGAGGCACTAGTTAAGTCTTAGGTGTTGGTTAGACTAATGTAGAGAGACAGCTCTAGAATGTAACGTGCTCTGCCATGACTGTCTGGGAGCAGTACCTTGCGGACAGGGTCAGGCAGTATTCATCACATTCAATCTTCAGGACGTTTTGGGCTTTTTCTGTCACTAGACGGCTGACCTAGAAACAAATGCCATGAACATGAGTGTGTACATGAGTTAAACTGTCTATAAGCAGTACACCATAGGAGTCTCAGTGCATATGGATTTATGATATCCCAGCCATCTGTTTAATATTTCAATGCAAAGAGATGGGCAGGTAGGGTTTTCTGTCTTGCATTGCTGGAGTAATGAGGAATGCTCTCTACTTCAGTATGGTGGTGGTGCTAAAGGAAAAAATAAATCATTTAATCCAGCTAGAAAAGTAAAGTACCAACGAAGGTTCAATTTTAATGCAACAAGCTTAGGAGAGGTTTAGTCTGACTGACAAGTGTCAGAGCATTTTGGGCAAAAGTTTTGGCTGTTCTTGGAATGAATGGAGATAACTTTCTTCATGACATGCAGGCATTATACACTGAAGCACTGCAGTGAATGCCAGTCTGCCATAAGGCTCTGCAAGAGCAAAACAAACCCTTAAAGCTACAGCTCAGCTAAAACCTTCTCCCTGCCATGTAGTGTATTAGTTGCCTACTAATAGCAACAGCCGCTTAAGAGAAACACAGCTTCATGGTACTAGTGGTACTAGCCAATGAATGCTTAGGGAGTGTAAAACCAGCACAATTGTGTCCAGTTTCTGTAATATGCAATTTAGACATTTCCTGAAGAAGAGACTGTGTTTATGTCATTGCATGTAATAGCTCCCATTGCACCCTTTCCCCCATAAAGTTGGCTAATCATTTTTTGAACCCATTAATGCTTTTGGTGAAACCGGTTGAAGGACACATGAAAACCAAGCATATGAAAGCTTATGTAAATTTCGAGTGGCAGGAGTTTAAAACCAGGCGGACTAAGCCCTAATGAATCTCTTGTAGGGAACAGCCATGCATTGGCTGGAGACATGAAGATAGGAATGGACAAAATGGGATAATAAATCTTTTCTCTCTCCAGTTTCATGATCAGATGGTAAATCTGATTTTAGCTTGCCTTATTTATGCAGCCTGTCATACTATTATGGCCGTCGTACTAAGTCACAGCCTTATGGCTAATCTTTTATATGTTTGCTTTATATTATTTTTCCTTCTATCTATCTGCAGTAAGAGGCAAGGGAATCCCCTGATAACAGGTCTATCCTTTCTTTCCTTTTGCTGGATATGAGACATAAACCAGCAAAGCATTAGCAGCCCACTACACAACTTTAATTCCAGCCTGTAATACAGATGAGGCATTACCTTCATGCCTGACACAGCGAAGGTCTTTTTCAGTCTGTATTTGCCATCCTTCTGGGGATATGTGTACAGCAGAACATCATTCATCTATATGAAGAAAAAGACAAAATCCGTAATTTGCAATATGGCTTGCAGGCCTGTGCATTACTCTTGCGAGGGATACCCAGAGCAAGTAGTAACTTAATTAACTGCTAGGACTGTTACTAAAGACAGGCCTAAGCTGCAGAGCTTAGCTCAAGACCTGCATTTCCACAAAACTCTGGGGAGTCTGCATCGAGGACTTGACTTCTTCCCATTTTTGACTGTCACTATTGGCTAAACAAGTAGATAATCAGCTCTTTTTTATTCATCTTGGGTGAAACAGCTGCTTGTTTTCAGCGCAGTGCCACGTCCAAGCTGCAAAGGCAGGCTCTGCATTTACTACCAGGCAATACCAACTAACTGCCCAGGATGCTGCAGCTCTGGCTCTCTCGAGGTGTGTCCCCCTGTCTCCCCCCCTTGAAAGGTGAAGAGGAGGTGAGGCAAAAAGGAAGTGGAAGTGAGGAGAGGTTCTGCAGTCTGGAGGACTGATTTAAGGAGGAATGGTTTGTGTATTTTGAAATCAGTAACTGTACTTCACTGCTGGCAAAACTTTTCTATACCTCTGACAGCTCTGCTGAGTCTGTGGGCTGCAGCAGAGACCATGGGAGGGCAAAAATGAGAAACTTTATTTCATTTTATGTGGGGAAAAAAATCTGTATCTTAACATCCCAAATATTTACATAATTCTCACAACTCCTTGCAGAATGCATGTTTTTCAAACAGCTTCATACTAAATGGGATAAGTTCTTCTTTGCTGTCTGCCTAACTTTATCAGTTAGACGTTACTGCAGCCTTTCACCTTTGTGCCAAAAATATATGAGGCCAGGTTGGATGAGGCTTGAAGCAAGCTGCTCTAGTGGAAGGTGTCCCTGCCCATGGCAAGGGGCTGGAGCTGGATGAACTTTAAGGTCCCTTCCAACCCGAACCAGTGTGTGGTTCTATGAAACAGCAGAACTGGACCTTGTAGGTCTTTGCTAGCCTCTCTTCCCCTTACTACTAGCAGGAATAGCAGTATCAGTGAACCATAACATTGCCAAAGTAATGCTTGTGTGTATGCATTCTCTGCTTTCCTTGAACGGACAGGTCATGTTCTCTTGTTGTCTTTCCCAGGCCTCACAACAGTATCAATATGCATAGACTCAGTCAGCCCCCTGATCACTGTACTGGGATTCTATGAGCAAAGATGTGCAAGGCAGTGTAAAACCAAGGCACAGGTAATACTTTGTGATGCCAGAGACAAGGCATCTTAAGTGCAGAAATTCTCAAAAAATTAAGTAGTATATGAAAACCAGCTTCATTTGGATTCCACTGTGACAGACATTTAAATACAGCCAATTGGGTGCTAATACTATATTTTTGAATTAAAGCTGTGAAGAGAGATGCAGAGAAGAGAGAAGACAGCAATAATAGAGAGCAGTGCAAGTTTTCTAACCTGCAGTGTCCAAATTTCTTGATCCCAACAAGCTTATCTATGCCATGCTGAACTGCTGGCATCCATATGTAATGCACTCTCTGTCTAAAAGCTTCTACCACATGTTTGTCTTTTCTGAATGTTTTAAAGGGTAATTCATTATGAACCCTGTGGTGTTCTATTCAAGTCTGTGTTAAAACATCCCCCGAGTGTCAGCGAAGCAGCCTGAATGTGTGCTGGGGCTGCATTTTCCAAACTCTTACTCCAAAGCCTCCTGTATTCCAGCCCCGCCAGTTAGAGCACTAAACAGTCTCCCATTTGATAGCAGCTTCCTGCACTCCACTAGCAACACAAGCAGCCTTTGTAGAGAAATTCTTGGGAGGGTGAGATAAGAGACAGTGTCTGAGTTGCTAAGGCCCGTGGTTGGGGGGTAGTTAGGGAGCCTGCCAGTGTCAGCAGCCCATACTGTGCTGCAAAGAGGCCCCAGCATCCTTGTAAACAGAGACTGGACTCAGGAAACAGGCACACAGCAAACATCCTGCCAGGAAGCACCAGATTCAACAATACCAGCAGCGTGGACAAAACAGCCAGCTCAAGTAACCTTGTGATACACACAACATACACCCACAGAAACATATGCACATCAAAAGCCCCTAAATGTGTGTCCTACACACTCATGCCTATATGGGCTTTGCACAGACATAGATCGCTCCTTATGAGCATATATTAGAGCACAAGCACACACACAGCATCAAAGCACACCCTGAACACACAGGCCAAGTAGGAGTCTGGGACACAGCCAATTTTTGTGGCATATTCCAGCTACAACTTTAGTTTGGTGTGCTCTTCTCCTGGATGTGTCAGGGTTAAATTCTCAGGGTTATCCTTCAGTGTATGCTTCTCCACAGAAATTCTCTCCAGGTCCTGAGCTTGATTTAGCTTCAGTCAGAGGAAGTTCACTGCTAAGAACTTCAGGAAATGCTGTTTATGTAAAAATGTAGCTTGGATAGCCGAGGCAAATCCACTTATTTCACCCAAAGCTACACCAGCCGCCACCTGTGCAAGTGTTTCGCGCGAGCTCTGTGAGTGGCAGCTCACATGTGAAGAATCAAAAATAAATAAGTCAGTTCTGAAAGAGGCTTTTTTATTACTACACTGGGACAAATTCCCACCAGGGATCTGCCAGTGGCTGCAAAGGGTTATCGTACGGTCCTTAGAAGAAAAGGGCTTTAAGTAAATGTGGGGCTTAAGAGACGGTGTTTAGGAGATTATTCTAGTCTTTGGGGTTTATGGTTTTGGGTTTTTTAATCACACAGTCTCCCCAGGCATCAGGACCAAGACAGAGCGTTGGGTGGGCTAGATGCACTGCCAGAAGGAAGGGTGTGTTTATGCAGGCCTTGGCTGTTACAAAATGTGTTGGCAGTGATTAGTAGAGCCTTAAGACTGATGCAGTAAAGATACTACATGTCAAGATGAAAACACGTTGCCGTAACTACGCAATAGTTGTCTTAATGTATCCACATTATAGCATGCATGAGTGGTAGCGGCTTGAGTGGTGGTGGTACAGCAGATAATCCACAGCATTAGCAGTGACAAGCAGATAATGCAAAACCAATATTCCACAGTGACTGGCTTTCCTGCAATTTTGCCATACCCCTGAGGAGCTTCAAGGGAGGGGAGACTGAGTAAAAAAATCATTGAACCTAAGCGCAGGTATTTGCCAATAAGTTTGCAGCTGTTTCCAAGCTCAAATCACCCCCGCCACAACAGGAGGCATAACACAGGAAGCCTGAAGTGGTTGCAACTTTTATGTGTTAAAGCAGGAAAGAAGCCAGCTCTGTGTGCCCCTTGTTCTTGAAAGTGGCTACTAGGGTTTAGTCTAGCTTCACCACTTACTTTGCATGACAGCATGTTTTGCCACAGCTTGCCTTTCTGACTGAAAGAAAGACGGAAACGCTGTTTCTGAATACTGAGAGCATCTATCAGCAACAGGGCACTGGCTACTGTAATGTCTTCAGCTGCCAAGAGACACTTCTCTCTTTGCAGTTAACATCTGTGTTTGAGCAGCTGAATCTCCCCAGGAATCAAAAATAGTTTCTAATCTAGAAAGTGCCAGAAACTCACTTCTGTGCTTTGTTCCTGTAATACAGCCTCTTGTAACCTTTAAGCTGGTAGAACCATTCTGGACTACTTGAAACGTATCTCAGTTTATCCCAAGTTTAAATGAATTTCATCTCAATATGTTTTACCAACCAGATATCTGATCTCCCTTTAAAAATTCTCTATATTGGTTACAATAACTAGGTTTCTGACATTTCAGTATTTGCCATAGGTAGTGGATTATGATGGCAGTTACAAACTCACCAGGAGACAAAATGGTAACAACTTTGAATTTGGTCCCAGCTTTAGCCACAGCTTCAGGATATTTTTCCTAATACTAGAAGAGGCAAGTGTTTGAGAAGAGAGATCAGCAAGGAAGCAAGTACCATCTGTTAGGAAGTACTCATCAGTAGGCTTCAGAGTTACTACTGCTGAGATCACTATTTCTTAAAACTAGCTCCTGGAGATTCTGGAATGGCCACTTTCCCTACAGCCCTGTTAGCCACAAAAAACTGACTCAGCACATCTCTGCTGGTGGTTAAATGACTTGCAGCATGAAAGTTTTCTGCCAGGGTTCAGGGCTGCACATAAGTGCAGGAAAAAATACGAGACAGTAAAAATGTAAAAGCAGTCTTACCAAGAACAAGTGCCGAGGGTGTCTGTGTTTGCCAGAGACTTTCATCAGTGTTCCTTCTTTAACAAAGATCTGAAGGAGAAAACAGCAGACTGTAATCCTGAGACTTCTCATTCTGAATCTTACTGAGAAAAGAAAATATTCCTCCTGGGGAAAAGTACTCTCACTGCTTTCATCAGCACAGGAAGAGGTAAATAGTTCAACACTTGCTTCTAGCCTTACTCGTCTTTGCCTGGGTTAGCCCTTCTGCTCTTCACGGCTTGCGCATGTATCAGTACTGAGTTGGACAGAAACCCACTTGTGTCAGCCCACTGCTTCTTCACTGTGGACAGTGCTCAGAGGTGACTGTCACAGATTGCAAAGCTGACATATAATGAGCTTCAAAAAATAACTCTTGTCCTTTAAAATCCACTAAAATAGACCAAAAAGAAAGCCTGAGACCTTGGGTTTCAACACACTACATGCCTGCCAACATAGTCTGTACATACTTGCAAACACAATACTTTGTTAGTCCACACTTTTACTATGTATGTAGACAGGACTATGTATGTAAGCAGCTAAACCAACATACTATAACTTGATTGCAGTAACATTTGAAAAGGTGTAGAATAACTGAACTACATCAGTGGATTAACAGCCGTCTCCTCTTTTTGGATGGAGAACAGAATCTGGCGTAGTTTTTCACTCTACAAGAGTTTACAGTCAGAGAGACCAATCCTGCAAATTCTGTATGCTGGGCTTTGCAGAATTTGTTTAAGCATTACCTGGCTAGGACAGGTGAAAATACTGATGTCAGAGAAAAAAAAACCAGAGGTTGACTCCAGTATTTGGCTGATGAGGATTCTTATACTCTGAGTATACATGCCTTGAAAATCGCTTCATGACTTTTGCTAAAGATATTGGTGGACTGAAGGGAAAGTCAGAGTTGCAGAACTCAAGAAAGAAGTCTCCTGAAGTGTAGAGGCAGGCTGGAGCTGAGGAGACAACGGGTTTAAAAGCCAGGAGAAGAAATGTGCATTTGATGTGGATGGCAAGATGGAGATATGCACTCTCCCATGCTTACGTTCATGTGTGGCTTCTAAACAATGTCTTGCATTAAGAGCACCACTGGGGAATGGGGGGAATAAAAATTTTAAAACAAGTAATTTCCCCTGATTTAAGGCTCTTACCCAGCCAAGTAAAACTCCAAGTCTTTCCAGGCTGCAAGAGATTCCTGCTCATGTTGCAACCTTTTAACAGGAGTATATAGGGAGAAAAACAGCAGCTCCATCAAAACACACTACTCATGGGGTGGCTGAGGACAACTGGAGTGGAAAGTGAAATGCTGCTCTGTGTGAAGGCAGGGCCAATACATGTCTTTCCCAGCCTAAGGCTCTCAGCACACCTCTGTACACTGCCAGAGTGATGGCTTTTTACACAAAGCAGAGCTCTGACCCTTATCACAGTAGCTCATTAAACAATACTTCTAGATGTCTGAAATCTGGCCTTCCACACACCAGAAATACAGCTGGCTGTAAACAATGCCCTTTTCAGCATAGGTCTGCCTGCAGCACTCACCCTTCCTGGCTGGAGGAGACCGCTCTGCCCTCTCACACTGTGCTCAATGTGTATCAGCTTCTGCAAGTTTTCCTGGGGAGGAGAGAAAGAGTGCTTAGAAAACAGCATGGTGGCAACCCTTCCCTCACCCCTCCTTACCACTTCATTTCCCTGAAAATGGTATTACAGAATTCAGTTTCAGTGAGAACTGAGCCCAGGGGTTTTATGCCCAGAAAGTCTTCTTCCAGCCTTACAGATTTTATAAAACCTCATTACCTGCAGTCACATCTGCTGTGGTCTTTGACAGTCCTGTTACCTCTGATACCTCAGTTCACCTTCCAAATGGCCTGCTAGCTCCATACTGTGTTTATACATTGGCCTCTTTGCTGACTTTGTTGCTCTGGGAACTAATAAGCTGGAAGCAGGGACTAAGTATGATATCCACTCCAAAGGCCTGTGCATTAGTGGCATGACACGGATAACCCAGAGATTTATATTCTGTGATAAGGGATTAATGGTTTTGCAATACAGGATTTAGAAGGTTAACTAGTAAGCAGATTTGCCCTGGACTTCAGGTGATACAACTAATGTACCTATCGCAGCTTGCTTTTCCCAGCATGTCTGAAGTGCCTCAGTATGTTACTGCCCTGGTGAAATATAACACTTCTTTAGCATGATGCTAAGTTTAGTTCTTAATCAGTAACCATATATCAAGCAGATGGAAACACCTACAAGCCTTGAACAGCACAAGACTGCATTATGACCATGCAGTGTAACTGGTGATTGACACATTTTCAAGAATTTCAGCCATCAAGTATCTATTTTGCAATGCAGGAAGTAACAAATGGAAATTTTCAGGTCCCTTTTAAAATACTATAGGCTAGCAAAATGGAAACAGAATGTATAAACTAATAGGACAGAAAATACCAGGGACCAGGACAGCTGACATTTGCAAAGAACTTTCCCATCACTAAAGGGTATTTTAGCCCTAGCAAAACTTGTCACATTGATAGCTTCCACAATGGAAACCTGTCCTTCAGCCACAGAAAAAGCAGTGCCCTCCTGTGAGCATTGTTCTCATGGCCAGTGCTAGTATTGGGGTTTCTACAAGAGGGAGAAGAGAAGTTGCTGCAGCTCAGATACACCTCAGCTTTTCTTAGGACTGCTGGCAGAGGCGCCTGCTGTAATGCTGATGTGTGCAGTGTGGACACATGTTCACCAGGAAATGGACAGAGTTGTTTCCAACTAATTTCCTGTAGGAAGTCAAACAGCCATCACATGTGAAGGACAGTCATTTATCTGGGAATTTGGGCAGCAGAGGGGGTGTATAATGTCTTTACAGTAACCCCTAAATTCCCTGTTCAGATAGTTTTTTTCATTCTCTTTAAAACTATCATCATTCTCCTTTCAAATATCCTTCAATTAAAAAACGAAAGCGAAGCTTTGCCCAGCTGGTACTGCAGATGTGGGTGGCTGAAATCCTCTGGTCATTTTAACAGTGAACTGCAGCCTCCATCCTGTTATCATTACGTCCATGTAGGAGGAGCACCTCCCCAAGGAATTTACCAGCTGTTAATGCCAACAATGATTTATAGCTCTGAACATCTAAGGGCCTCTAACAGATTGGAGAAGTTCAGAAAGCAATACACGCCCTGCTTAGTTCAAGTAGTGAATGTCTCCTAGAGTTACAGATAGGCAATGCTATGTGGTGGTGGTACTCCTTACTCCTCTGTTTGCGCAACTGAAAATTGTGAACAGTATTTTTTTGCTTGATGAAAATGCCATGGAGACAGTTAATATCATAATGTGTCTGAAAATCCTGAGTTAATAGATGCCAGGAAAAAACTGCTGGAGTGTTACTCTCATAAAACAAACCAGCTAATCATGAATCACTGTTATTCTGTAGAAAATGTACAGCATAATTCAATGCTCCTGTCAGATTCTAGGAGTGTAGTTTGATGAGTTGATAAGTGGCAGCAGAAATCTTCCTCCTTCCAGGTACATGCCAAGTCTAAATTACTGCTTAGAAGTTCAACCAGATACATGACAAGTTCTGAACGCCCTCTCTCAAGTGGCATTGTTCAGTCTATTCTGGAAGTAGAGCTAGTTCTTAAGTTCTTTGCATTTTTTAAAAAGCTGAGAGAAAGAAAAGAATTGATTGTGACTTTGTAACTTTGATGGTTAAAATCATTGCATGGTAATGCAACACAGCAAATGTGATTTTGGCCACTGAAGGATACTGCTAACTTCAGAAAAGCATTCATACAGGTCTCCCATAAATCTGAGTGAAATCTAAGGAAGCAGAGATGCCAGAAAAGATGTGTAACCTTGATTTGTTAGGAGCTGAGCTCTTACAGTTCTCAACCTCTAATACAGGTATCCCTTAAGTTCTTAGATAATTGTGAAAGCTTTTCTTGAGATCTCAGGTTTATAATGAAGTATGTATTATTTTCATACAAAGAATGCTTAATAATGGAAAAGTAGGGTTATAAATTCTTTGCCTGAGGGGAAAAAAAATCTCAAAATCAACCCTGTTGAAAACTTTCCTTGGTAACTGTAGTTTCAGAGTCATTCTGTAGAGAGCCCAGATGACATTTTTCTTTATGATAAAACTCTAGTCTTGTTAGGCCACATCCTCCCTGCAATCTACATCTGTTCATTTGTCTTGGAGACAGAATAGTGTTTATGTAGCAATTAACTACTAGTTATTACTGTCAGTGCTGAACATCACTCAGAATTAGTCTGTAGTTACATCATCATTTCTAGGTACTTGCTGTTCTGTCAAGTCTTTTTGCTTTTTTCTTTCCCTCTCCTGCTTCACCATTACATTTGGCTGTAAAGCACTGCCATTTCATCTGTAAATACCTCCATCCCAACTTTTGCCCCATCCTATCTGGTGTAATGGCTATGACAAAATAGTTTGTGCTGGTACCCAAAGTATCTTTAAATAAAGCTGAGCGTAAGGAACCAAAGAGCCCAGCACAGCTGATAGTTTATATTCAGCAGAGGTGTTCAGGCTGTCTGCTTGCTGAAGCGGAGTGTGCTGCTTTGTTTACACACGATTCATGTTTGGAACTTCTTCTCAGCAGTCAGGAGCAATAAAAAAAGTTCTGTCTTTAAAATGAAGGTTTGAATGTTTTGGGTTGTCACAGAGCCACAGCAACACAGCAAATGAGCTGATATTACTGTATGAAGGGGGAATGCACTCTGAGGTAGATGTGCCAGGATAGGGTTGGGGGTGGAAAAGCTTGGGGCAGAAAAGCAGAAATGGACTTAAAGCAAATAAGCAGGTCCATACTTTTTACGAAAGCAAATAGACAGGTGCAAGCCTTTTTATGTTTGCACTGAGTGAAAATACAGATCTGAATTTTAAGTTTTGACGTTAAAAACCTTGACCTTCAGAATGCTCAAAATCTTGGGTCATTTGTCATGGCTTGAGGTCATCTCTGCACAAAACCAGAAACCCACTGATGCTGATCTGTGTTATTTTGCCACTAACTTTTGGAGAAGCAGGTTCAGAGCCTCCATCTCAATTTCCAGCTATCAGCTGGGGAAGGAGGCAGATCCATGAAGACAGGTTTCTCTGTTCAGGAAATAGTGGGATTTTTTTAACTACAATTATCCTTTTCTGATACAAATATTAGAAAGCTTGGGTTTTGTCTGTCACTGGCCATGAGAAGATCCTCACTGAATGTGGTGTTCTGAAACAGGCCATAAGCACACAAAGCTCCATTTTTTACCTTGGCACATGTATCAGAGACATGGCTTTTAAACCTGAGCAGCAGAGATTTTCAGATGTGAGCATACGTTAACCTTCTTGGCTCTTGGGTTCATTTGGTGCAAGCAGAGTGCTTCCACTCCTCTGAATGGAGCATGAAAGCTCTGGTTTTAACAGATGAGGGGCACCTTGAGGTTTTTTTTATCTCCCAAGCTGTTGCAGAAGACATCTTTAATCTAGTTTTTAGCATGTCACAATCTGAATTCACTGCGTCACCCAGTGCTTCCATTCCCCTGCAGTCAGAGGGCAAAGGCACTGAAGGGAATATGCTAAGTCAGCAGTGCTGTAGTGACCTCCACCCTAGTTGTAGTGACCTCCCTAACAATTCCTGTGCATTAAGCCTTTTAACCTAAAGTCCTACTTGAAAACAAGCACTTAATAAAAAGGCTACTACCTAGTTTCTTCCCTTTGTCTGCAATGATGCCCAGTGTTTTGGTGCCTGAGTGATTATTAACAACCCGCTGTCTGTTCAGTAAATGAAATGATAAAGAAGTGAATTGATACTAACCATAGGGAAGGATGGTTGCAATATAATTTAGCAAAGGTACAGCAAAATCCCAGTGCAGGGTGCTAAATTCAGCAGTGTTCAAATGAAAAGTAAAATGTGGAAGCTTCCCCAAAAATATGATACATTTCAAATCACTTGAAATCCCTATGACCCAATGCAATGACAAAATACTTCAGATGAGACACCTTTTGAGAAGAAACACTTCAGCGTAACCACTCACTACTGGATGAAATGCAGGATGTCTGGAATGAGGTGCTTTGTTCTCTAACAAGCATGCTCTTGAGCACAGACCACCTAACAGTCAAGATCTTCCTTAGCATCTGCACATCTCCTTAGTGATGAAAATGCCTTAAAAAGGAGTGCTTAAAACAGCATTTGTTGAAATTTGGGGCTGTATTTTGACTATTTCCTTGGTCTGACAAGCCTAGAGTTTTATCACAGAAAGAAATGTAATCTGGCCACTCTACAGAATTGCTCTGAAACTGAGCGACATTTCATTGGACTGTAAAGAATGTAGGTACTTCTTCCTAACTACTTGAAGTGAATGCAGGGCCTGTGCAGGTAATGCAAACATGGCTCTCAGGAGAGAATTTAGCTGCTGGGGTGGGTGGCTGGTATAACAAAAAGAAAAGCACTGCTTTTAGTTATCACCCAGAGATCCACCAAGCTGAATTCCTCTGGAACCTCTTGGATCCTGTGTCTCGAGTTTCTCTGGTGCCTCCTATGCCTCCCAACACCGCTTCCTGATGTCAATAGAAAACTTGTATCATCTTAGACACAAACCAGACCTAGGTCCTTGTAAACAAATCATAAGACCAGCTACATGCAGGCAACCTTTATCAGTAAATTAGGACTCTAATATCACATAAGTGATATTCATAAATCACAGTGACCCTACCGAAATTGTTCATTACTTTGGAAAGCTATGTAACTTACTTAGATACCTAAATCTGTATTTAGACATGAGTTCTAACCTACAAAAGTCTTGGCCAGTCTATTCAATTATGTGATCGTTTGCAAGACTATAAATCGTGACCTATTCTTCTGAATTCTGGATTCCAGAATTGTGGAAAAATCACAAAAGTGAGCTCAGAATATATCTTTTCACAGTACATTTGTGACATCTTCAACAATTCATATCTAAAACCATCCCAGGCTAGAAACAGAACCATAAAAATTCCCATCTCTCACTTCATTGCTCCATATACCATTCCAGCAACCCCAAGATGCTGCTTGCTGTGATGACTTACATCTTGCACAGGGACACTACAGGGCACAGCCCCGCTCCATGTCCACAATACTGTAAACCAGATCTGTATAAGCCCTTCAGTATCACCCTGGAGGAGGCTTCAGAATTTAGCAGAGATATGTATTCACTTCAGCAGATGTGCAGAAAAGAGACTATCAATCAGGAGAGCTTGTGTCTTGGTGGCACTCACCGCTTGGAGCATGCTGTCATTGGCTCGGTCTGTGATTTCAGAAACGATGAATAAGGCAGCTGAGGGATGAAGCAAAACAAACACCATAAATCACATAAAAGAGTAGGAAAATAACCCAAATCCCTTCTGTTTGCAAGGGCATCTTTTTTGTAAAAAGGAAACAGCATCCCCAGCAGCAGCTGCTTTAACTTCTTTGGCACCTTTAGAATGCAACTGCTGAGCAAATTTCGGATATGGCACAGTGCTGTCATTTCCCCTTCACTATTACCATTATCTTGTGTGAAACTCTGCAATCATACTTGTGCCAACCAAGAAAGGTCATGAGGTCCCTTTTTAAGCACCTAGCACAGCACAAAATCTTTTTGTGATGTTTTCTAGTTGCAAGATTTTTGACAGTTGGAGCTTATAGCAGGGAGACATTTATGTAACCTACCTTTAGCCATCCAAAAGCATGGCAGTCTAAGGTGATCTGTTTCCCCTGACTGCCAAGGGAGAGGAGGAGAGGACAGGTCATCCATTCCTGATGGAAGTTGTATGGTGGTATGAATTAACACCTGGCTTGTCCACTGGCAAATGACCTAGGCCAGGGCATGACAGATAGCCCTGACAGTAGTGGCATAACATGGCTCAGATCTTTGTCGCAAATCTCTTCCTCTGTAGAACAGGGCATCCTTTCCATTTCTGTGTGTAATCTGAGAGCATGCTCACCATTGTTTGATAACCACAAACAACACAGGCAATTGTGGCCACAGGCATTGAGCATCTGCCCTGGCCTTGTTTAAACTACTGGTGTGGGTGTAGTCCCACCGTCAGTGACCAGGGCCCTAAATCGTGCATGAGACGACTCTTGAGCAGAAAAGACTGACCTTCAGCCAGCCACAGACCTTATTAGTGTGAGTTGGTTTGGATTTATACTCAGAGTAACACGGGTGAACTGGTTTCTTTCATTAATACAATGCTATTCATGTTTACTCCAGCCTGGAAAATACTCCCAGTGAGGCCACAGCTAAACCTTGCTTTGACTTCAGTGGGAGTAACAGACTTCTATTTTGTCCATTTTACGTGTGGAAAGGATGGTGTTAACAGCTGAACATCTGGATTTGTTCTTGATTGTGCAGAACTGATTTTTATGCAATGTCTTTCAAGTTTACTTAAGCTTAAGAAATCAGAATACAGATACACAATTAAAACCTCCTGGGTTTCTCACAGCAGGCATACCACAGCCAACCAGGTGGAACCATCCCAATCGACTTTACAATGACCAGGCTAAATACAGATGGAGCCAAAAAGGACCAGGATTTCCCCAATGACTAAGCTACTACTGAATGCTTGTGCAGATGATTATTTCTTGTACAAGTTCATTATGCCAAAACCACAGGAAGCCCAGGTTTCAATGAAAAAAAGATGGGGTTCTTGCCCTAAATAATTTATCTGAATCAGTGATCCGTTCTTACAGATTTTATAGCTAACATATTAACAGAAAATCTTAAAAATATCCTCTTCCATATACTGCAGTATAGATCCTGTACCTCTTTAGAAGCAGAGTTAGCAAAGCCGAATACTTGCTCTACTCATATCTTTTTACCTTGTGTGGCTTCATACTCTGTAGAATCAGGGCAAAGATTATTCAAGTAATCTGTAGAAAATAATCAAACACACACAGACATCCAGTAATCAGAATACTGATCCACATGATTTACATTGTTATTAGCTAAAACATAATCTATCTTAATTATAGAATCCCAGACTGGTTTGGGTTGAAGGTTTCTTAAAGCTCCTCCACTTCCAACGCCCTGCCACAGTCAGGGACACCTTCCATTAGACCAAGTTGCTTCAAGCCCCATCCAAAGTGGCCTTTTCTTCTCATCTGTTTACTTCTGAGCTGACTTTACAAATAGCTGACCACAACTGCTTCAGCAAGGAAAGGTTAGGGGTCCAACCTCCATCCTCACACCTTCACAAGTACTGGTGAATTCTTGAGGAGCAAGCACCCTCCTGCCAGAAGCAGATGATGAATCCAGGCTCCTAAATTCTGCATCCAAGCACTGGGCCTCTGTGCTGAGAATAGTGCTGTGCATGGATAGCCATTCCCTTGAATATCCTATCAATATACCATATCCATATTCCCTCAAATATCCTATCCATAGACTTTCTAGTGCTGTGTCCTCCCTGGCATCCTGAAATCTACCTGGCTGTTACATGCTATTCAGGAAAGCATCTGCCTCTACTCAGACAGGCAGGAAGGGGTTGTGTGATGTTACCAGGCAATATTTAGCATTCCTTTTCACAGCTGTAAGCTCTGTCCTTGGCTATGGACGTTTAACTGAGTGGGCAACTCCTCTTGGCTGAAGTGCAGTAATTGGCAACCAATATCCTCATAAAATACCTTTCCTTCTCTGGTAGAAACTGTTATGGACACATAAACATACTTGCACGTTTGAAATTTTTTTCGTTGTCTGGTGAATCTGACTGCAGTTTCAGACCCACTCTGTTCTAGGAGGCAAAGAGGGGCTTGGTTTCCTGAGGTGAAGAATTGAAGCAGTAAACCTATTTCCTGGAATATCTTACTCCAGCAGACCTTACTACATACAAAAGCTTTCATTTTCCCAGTTAGTGCCAGTACCAGGGACAAAGAGGAGCTGAAGTTGCTTCAAACATAGATGGAATCCAATCAATGGAGCTGCACTGAAACCCTTCCAGCTCTCTCACAAAATACCATGCTTGAGGATTGCAAGCAAACCTCTGTTGGACCACAGAGATGGGCAGAGAAAATGGAGCATAGTGGAGCTGTTTCTGACAGGGACTCGTCAAGTCCTTTTTCATAGGTGCAGTGTTCGTGTGCCTGTGCTAAATCCACTATAAGTCTGTTGTGAGCCTGTGAGGTACTGCCTGGAGAAGGGCTTCAACAGAGACATGGCCAGGGAGGACAGAACAGAACAAAAGTCCTGCTATTGACATTCAGTGTTCATTTGTATTGCTTGTACTAAAAAAAAAAACAAAACAAAAGCAGCTGTGAATAATGAGTTGCATCCTTGATGAAAGCATCTGGAGCAAGATGAAACTGCTGCTAATCTGCTGTGAGTAAAAATTTCATATGGTCACTTTGTTCTGCTGCATTTGTAGGAGTCCTTTCTAATATGCTGTGCCCTTCATTGGCTGCTGAGTATGGGCAGGGTTTATGGCTTCCTTTTTACTGTCCCACGCATAACTCATCTTCACCCACACATGTACATACTCCCAAAGCATTTCTTCATCTTTATGTCTATGGATCATTGCTCTTTTGGGTTCTGACTTGACTAAATCACATAACAGCACTGAGACTCATTGTTACGTTTCACCATTTCTTTCACCAAGACATGTTCATTAGTCACACACCTAAACTTCACAGTTCTTTCTAGGGCCCACATCCTGCTTCAGAAAGCTTGCTCCTCTCACAGGCGCTGTGGCTTGCAGAGAACAAGCCACCAGAGGGAACACAACCCCCTCAGAGAGACTCCAGGTGGGAGTGATAGGGATGGTCCTGAATATAAAGGGTGTTAGTGTAAATGTAAGATCTGTAAATGTACTCTTAATGTAGGTTTGAATCTCTGCTTACTACGGTGTGGAGAAATTGGGCTGGGATTTTGACTTAAATTCATCACTAGCATTAGGTTACTGCACATAGGACTTAGGGTGCAGTACTGGACACAACTGCTTTGTTGATGGAGTAGAAAGAGATGGTGCTTGCCACTGTCATCCAGGATGCAGTGCAGAGATCCCTTGCTGGGGACTGCTGTCCCCTACTGCCTCTGATAATTGCCCCTGACAAATAACATCAAAGCCATTTGCTGGCAGTGAGGCTGAACTCTGTGTCTCCTAATTCACAGAAGGAAAAAGACAAGAAGGAATGGCTGAAAGCACCTGACTTTACAGTTTTTTGTGACCTGAAAGGTTGTGCTGAAGAAGTGTGTGCTCCTTCCCAGGCTCCCTGACATTTCCTGAATCCTGTATTAAGCGCATTGAAGTTCCCAGGAAATCCCACACTGCTTCAGCCCTATTTTAGATGTCTTGGCATCAACTCGTGGCACAGTGGAGGTACAGAACATCATGGGAGGGTTTCCACTGAGTGCCTTTGAGAGTGAATTTACTGACCTGTGAGCAGCACACGATACTGAAAGACACGCTGCACCACTTTCAAGAGCTGGTGTTTCACACTCTGAGGGCTGCTACCAGAGCTCTGCTGTCCTCAATGGAAGGAAAAGGAAACACAAGATCAGGGATGTCTGAACTCAGCAGCAAACTGTCATTTCCACCTGATGGTACTGTGAAAATTTACTACCAGTTGCATACACAAATTCCACTGAACCATTCTAATTTACCCAGGTTGCTTTGTGACTATAAAGAAGTCCTGTAAACACCTTATTTCATGTGGCATTATTCACAAATAGTTTGGACTCAGATGGAAATGGGAGGAAACCAAGTATTGTTTAGAAGGTAAAGCTTGGGTAAAGATTTTAGGATAGCATTTAAAGACAGAGGTATCAGATCCTAATGAAGCTTGTCATCATGCCTTTTTTGGACTGGAAGTTTTTTTCAGCCCTATTTCAAGACATAGAATTGAGCAAAATACAGCAAAGCATCTCCCTGTGATTGAGTTGGAACTCAATATTTGGAGAGTGTTTACAAGAAATAATACAAGGTTGTGATCTGCTTTAACACACACATGGAAAAGCAGTACCATTTTTTTCTTTACCTTTACTGCTACCACATATCAGGCCCAGTCAACAAGAGACAGCATTTTCTAAGGCAGAAGAGATGTTGTATTTTACTGTATTACTCCTCTAACTGGCTGGCTAATCTCAACAAATGTGCATTCAGGGTTTTGCTAAGCATTCCCAGTCCCCCATACTCAGGTCAGAGGTGCCAGCAAAAAAAGGATGAGGCCCTAAATTCTGTATTGTTAGACTGGAAATCTGATGGTGGTCATGCTTTAAGAAAATGCTGAAGGGAAGTCTTGAGACATGCCCTCCCCCCCCCCCCCCCCCCCCATTTGTGTGTGCATTCATGCATGCAAGACGGCAAGAAGTTACAGAGCCCACTGATTCCAGAGCTAAATCCTGCTGATCTCATCCTAGGAAAAGCCTCATCTGCTTGCTTAGAAATAAAAGCTAATTCTCAAGGTTAAGAGTTAGGCGTGTGGCTGGGAGGGATGCTGTGAATACAGGCTCTCAGTAGAGAGCCTCTATTTGCCAAGTTCTTGTTCAGAGCAGCGTAAGCCCTCAGAGCTCCACTCAGCTGATAACCGGAAATCATTGTGGTGACTGCAAGGTGTCTGTCTGTAAGTGCTAGCTTCCAAATGTCTTTTGGAATTAATTGTTATCTTTAATATTTTACATGTGCTGCAGAGAAAAACACAATCCATGCCCCACAGAGCTGGCGTTATAAATAACCTTTAAGGTCTGATCACTAATTTATTCCTACAGCCGCTCTGCCACTGAAGTAAACGTTGCTTTTTTTACCAGATAAAGATAATAAGAAACAGGGTTTATAGACAACAATAAAGCAGCATAGCTTTTAACAATTTTAACTGCATAGAGTCAGTGTAGCCCAGCTGAGCTTTCCATCCACATATGGGTTTATGCTTTTGAAGTTATGTGAAGTGGTTACATTGCCAGTACTTTAAAATGTAATCAGGAATCATGGATTTTGTAATATGTATCTTGATGGTGTTTTTCAGTTATTCAGCACGGGTGACTGAGTTAACACAACTGAAAAATGTGTGTTTCTTCCTACACGGCCAGAGGTTATAGGACTAGAGGTTACAGATCATTCAGGGAATGCAGATGAAAAGAATCCTGTATGTGACTGGCCAGTGGAGGCTGTGTCTTCCTGTGCAGTTCAGTATTGCCTGTCACAACATCCTCTGTAAACAGAGGAAGCAGTTAGCAGGCATTTAAAATGCAGAGAAGTGCAATTGTAAAGATGTGGGTTGATCACTGTCAGCAGCCAAGCACCTATACAGGCTAACCCTAACTTCAACCTGCCTAGACTACAAAAGAAAGGATGGAAAATGCAGTGAAAGCAGAGGAGATACAAAGAAATTGTAATAATAATATTAACTCTAACACATCCTCAGAGACCTTACTAAGTTAATATGTGACCGAGAAACTACTCCACTATGTGCATATATTTCACAAAATATACTCAGAACTGTAGATTCACAAATATACATTCTCTGTGCACAGACATGGCTGTATGGGCAGCAGACACACAAACACATCATGTGCACGTGAACATCTCACTTTTAGCACTGGAATGTGTGAAGAGAGCTATTCTCCTACTCAGTGTGAACACTGGTGGAGTTGCAGAAAAAAATATCTTTGATTAAGCCCTGTGGCACAACCATGAGTGGATGCAGGTAAAAAACCATGGGAGCCTTACCTCAAACTCCTGAATTATGGCAGCCGCTTGGGAACATTTAACGCAGGTTTCATCCAGCAAAGCCAAATTCCTATCAAACTGCATAATGTATGCTGTGTGGTGATTCAGCCTTGATTTTCTGGAGAGAAAAACATCGGCAACTTTCTGGTGTTCCTCCCTAGGGGCACAGAAAGAAAAGAACCAGCAAATAAGTAAATATGTAAATAAAAAGGAAAGAAGAGCTGTTACTTCTTTCTCACTGTATCAGACCCACAATGGCTAAAGGCATTGTGCTGCTAAAACTTAGGCTAAATGGCAGGAAAAAGGGAGTGCTTTGCTGACATACTGGGCAACAAAACGGGGGGCTGTAGAATGGGCACCATAAGGGGCTGAGCCTTGGGCTGGGCCTTTGCCACAGCAGCACCATGTGTCACATAGTAGGTAGAATGTCTCCTCTCTGGACACAGCTTCCACTTCTCTAAACAGACCTTCTAGGTGCTGCAATGCTTTGAGCACAGCTTGTGAAGAATAATATAACATCTTCAGCTGTAATATCATACCTTTCACTCCCCTTCATTGCCCCCTTGTCAGCACTATCCCACCATCACCTGTTTCAGCACTGGGTTGCACAGCATTGAAATATTTATGAAGCATGTACAAGGAGAGAACTAGACAAAATCTGAGCTTGCAAAAGAGACATCAGAGGTTAGAGTGGAACACAAGTTTCTGGGGATGTCAGAGCAACGGAGTATTTGGGGGAGCACAGGCACAGGGAAGGACTTACTGGAAGGTTCAGGGGTGATGGTGACCTGGGAACCTGTATGAGCACAGCCCTGTGCTGTATGTCATGCTGTTGTGTTGGCAGCATTTGCAATGCAGCCTTCTGTTTTCCCCACTGCCACAGAGTAGTTCTGGACAGAATCTTTGGGCATTTCCAGTTGTCTCCCTTTTGTCTTAGGGAACAGGCAGCATACTGATGAAGTAGGGCTGTGACTTCTTTAGGACACAAGTCATTTTAGATCCCAGCTGGAAAACACCACTTCTGTTTGTGTTAGGAGGGTATAACTCAAAAACCATTGATGAAATTTTTCAAGTCTTTCCAACATTTGTAAGAGCCCCTTGGTGGACATGAACCAATATACAGTTCTTTTAACCTTTTCTTTCCTTGTGTGCTTTGACTTGAAAGTGCAGGGCTAACAAGGAGAGTTGTGCCCTACATTTAGGATTGTTACTGAAAAGTTCTCCTGATCTAATGGACTTCCTTAACTGCTCAGTGGCAATGCTGGGATAAGATCAGCCATTCTCAGTGATCACTGTCTCCCAGAGTCCAGGAACGTGGAGGTGTGGGGCTAAAGGTGTGTCAATCATAAGTTGTCAGAGCCACGGTTGCTCAGGCCAGGCCAGGGGCTGTGATGGCTGATGTAGGTTTAGTCAGCTTGGGTCTGCAGATGTAATTTCTCTTAGATGTTCCACCAGTTTGATAGATTAGGGCCTGTCAGCCTGGCTTAAGTCACAGGTCTCCTTAACTGAATGAGTTTTGGAGCTTTGTCTGTCCTAGGCATGGTCTTATTCTCTCATGGAAAGACTTGGCCCTGTAAGGATGTTTGGTTTAGGTGGAGGCCCTTAGCAGGCTGGCGGTGTCTATTTGGCTTGGAAGCCTAGCCCATGCAGAGCCTTGGTGGCGGGGACAAGGGGTGCCCTTTGCTGAGAGCTTCACAATTGCTGTGCAGATTTCTGTAAGCAGATGATCTTCTTTACGATCAATTCTCATGTCTGCTGTTCCTGCCTCCCACAGTACGAGTCTCTGACCTTCAGGCCATGAGTGTGAAGCCACTTGGTGATGACCATGAACTGGCATCAGTGGACAATACATATGCAGGCTGTCCTCACACTGGCTGTTTCAGAGCCGTGGGCTGAGCGCTGCATGAATGTTTCAGTATTTGGTTTCTTAGCCTGGCAGCATCTACATTTACTGCCGTCCTACCTGCATGCAAAATCTGCCAGAGTAGTTCAGGTTCTACTCTTTTCACCTCTGCTGGAGTCCCAGCTTCCCTGCTAACGGGGTCAAGGGAACACTGGTGAGTTCACCCACATGCTGCAGAGGGTATGTTAAGGCCATCAAACTATGCCATTGCATACTTACCATTTAAGGACTTTTTCTTCCAATTCTCCCAGAATGTCTTGGTGTAATTCATAGATTTCAGGGAGTTCACTTAAGCCCTGCTTGAGTTTAACTTCTTCCTGTTCATTTTCATCTCCTCCTTCAAGCACTTTCAAGATACGTTCATAGAAATCCTGTGAACAACAATACAGAAATTAGGCAAACAGACTTCAAGTCTCTCCTCTGAAATTATCATTACAATTTCTTGACTCCTAATCTATGCTTTCTAGAAACTAAAAGATATGACAGCTGTAGTGATAGAGTGGGCTCAGTATAGCAAGAATATCACAGCATATGTTTTCTTCCATCCATTAGTTCATTCAGATTTTCAGCTGAACTCCACGATGCTGTCAGCCCAAATTTGAACATTTCAGTTGACCACGCCATCAGACCTTTATGTGTACAATGAGTTTGGTATCTTTTTGTTGCCCTGGCTTCCCCCCCCCCCCCCAGCTTTTCTGGGTGTAATTGGTCTCATTTTTGTAGTGTTTCTTAACCAGAAACATGAGTTTTTTAAAAAAGGATGAGATTCTCCTGTCACTTCATTGGGTCCAACAGCTTGACATGAAAAACATGTCTAAGATTTGCAACTCTTGTCTCCAAATCTGATCTTAAAGAGAGGAAGAAGCTATGAATTTAAGCTATGGAACAAATAGTTTTTCCCATGAAACCTAACTTAGACATTTTTTCCTCATCTTTGAAATGGTTTTGATCCTGAAGTGATTTATAGCTTATGTGGGCACAGGTGCAATTTCCTCTGTATTAAAATGTAGCCAGCTTGATACATAATAGGGCAGCTGTTGAAGAGTGCATAGATGTTTCTGCAGCTTTGACTCAGAAGTGAGGAATAAGGCCACCATCTGAAACTGCAGTGATAATTTGTATTAGACACCAGGCATTAGAAAATCATACCACCAACAGCCAGCAAATACTTTCCATGCAAAACAAGTACATCCCAGTTTGTGATGAGAGCAGAAACCAGGCATTCATGTACAACTGCTTCGAAACAGATTGTGTGAGTGCCTTTTCCAAACTTTTTCTGCATTGCAGTAAGCTATGAAGTGTACAGAGTTTTTATTGCACAAGATGAGGAAAAAAGACGTGAGAGTGAAAACTAGTAAATAATCAAAACAGCAGCTCAGTGGAAAGGCCACATTAACTGTAAGGGTTGAAAGCTCCTGACGAGCATCTAGTCACAGCATAGCTGGTGTTAAAGCCCTGCTTGCATCCTGTCAGCCCAAGGCCATCACACCAGGAGCTGTTCTTCCAGCAGGTTCACACTGAGCTCCGCTTCAGCCCCAGAACTAGAGTGAGGGCAAGCTTTAGTGTCTAACCACTCTGGCCAGATCCATGCTTTGAATGTATTTTTCCATGTGCTACTCTGCAAACAGTGCATTATCATTCAAACCAGTGTTTTTTCAAAGATACATTAACACACTTTGTGAATCCATAGGAGCCAATTAATCAGAAGAAAAAAAATGCAGCTGCTTTAACAGCCACTGAGGTGGTGCTACTGCATGAGGTAATAGAAATGGCAGCTGGATTGTTCCACCCAGAGACCATTTCCTGGCCTCTACCCCACTGTATGTGATGTGGCCACATGTGCTGTGACAGGAAGCAGGGGCTTGATAAAAACAAAACTTCTAAGGTTGCACAGCTCATTGAAAGATGCCAAGCTGCTTTCATCTGGCCCTGAACCAGGATGGGATAGGTTGATTATCTTCCTCTGTGAGGACCTAGTGATCATGAAAACTATTGCCAAAAAGTCAGATTTTGTTGCCTGAACTTTTAGGGACAATCTTACAAAGTTCTCTGGGCCATACTGGGATTTACCATGGCATTTCTCATGACTTTTCCTTCTGTCTAGTAAAGTATTGTATGTGGAATAATTAAAGAGGAGTCTGAAGGAAATTATTTCCATGAAGCTTGCTGATGTTACAGGTATGAGCAACTCAACAGAGTATGATTCACTGGGGATCCATATCTTACATTAGATGGTCCACTTTAGTTTGATTAAGTCAAGGTAGCTGTATTGATTTCAGTGGGCTGAGGGTCTGGTTGGTATGACTGTGGTCAGGCTGAAAGGTTCTGTCAGGAGCAGGAGAGGTTCTGGGCAAAGATCTTCAACATTTCTCTCACCTCACCAGCAGGAGCTGACTCCAGGCAAGAGCAGTTCTTAGTCTCCTCAGATTCAGTCCTGGCTTTTCTGTTGTAACACTGTCAACAGCAATGTACACAGTGGCTCACTATGACCCAGAATGACTGGAATATCTGATAGATACTAGCCAAAGGAAAGTCACACACACCCTGTGGGGTTTTAGCAAAAATGAGAGAGGAAGCATTTTTTTGCTGAAAGCCACTAGAACTAGGTTAGAAAAAAAGATCATGGTGACAGTTTTGGTTTTGAATAGCTATATACTGGATAAAACAAGATCATAAACATTTCTGAAAGCATATTGTGTTTCCTAATTATCTGGGTCTGATTTCCATGTATCCTGCCCCAGTACCATAAATAAACCCAATGTTGTGCTATTCCAGCTCCCATTTTTTTCTGATGTGTGAGTGAGCCTAGCCAACTACCTGCTTCAGCCAGTGTACACTACAGAGGCTTTCCACCCAAGCCAGTCAATCCATCTTCTGGATGCTTTTCCCAAGTCAAAGGAATCTGCAACCTTTCAAAGTCCTCAGTTATCACAATTAATCAAGACTGGGGAAAGGGAAAGAATCCAAAGGGGGCTTACAGCTTATTGTGCCTGGAGAAGTGAATAGATGTACTAAGTTCACTACTGATGTGCTTAGGTAACCTATTATGTTACAGACATGTAATCTTTTCCAAATGAACATGGAACAGCTCTGAATCTGTCCACTTCCCACCATAGCTGAGCAACAAGATTAACGCTCCTTTCCCACAGCATCTCAGTGAATTGAATTAGTCATTACTTGCCTGTGCCTTTCACTCTAGTTAATTCTCAGACAAATGATTTCATTCCACTTGCCTGGATAGCCAGCTTCCTAATGATTACCAACACCCTGCAGCATGACAGGAATCGTTATAAATGTCCATTAAAAAAAATAAGAATGGTGTCACTATTGAAAATGCTGAGTGCCTGGGAAGCCATAAATCAAATGCAAAGTGTTTTTGCAATCTCATTAACTGTAATCAGTCATGGTACCTGAAGGTCCTCAAGTCTGTCACCCAAGCCACACATCCAAACACAGAAGGTACCAAACACTGGGTCTGTATCGTTCCCTGCTCGGTCAAAACTTGTTTAGAACAGCAGCATGAATTGAAGCTGTTCAGTTCAAGGCTCTGGCATGGTGGTCACAGAGCTCAGCCTCATCCAAGGGTGTATGAGCCTATGATCTGACTCCGGTCCTATGTCTACACCTGCACCAGTCTACATACACCAGTTTGTGTGTGCATGTGAAAGCATAACTCAAGCTACCGAGTGACACAGAAGGTTTGAAACTGTGGTATAAAAATGCATTTTTGAAGCATAAAACTTTTCATTACATTTTAGACACCCATATATAAGCCCTTTACAGGCATCCAATGGCCAAATCCCTAACATGCCTGAGATTCAACGTCTGTGTGAAATTTGATATTCTAATACAAAGGCAAAAGGGGTAGTTAATGGGACAAAGTTAGTCCTGGGTTTTGCTTCCCTGATGTTACGAGCAGGTACAGAAACAGTGAGGCTGTGTATTAAATCTCTCCAGTAATAGCGCTGAATATGCTTTGAGTCCTTTGAATATGCAAAATTCAGTTGTTGCAATCCTGTATGCACATCAACAGCCATTTTGCAGGATGGATACATCCCATACGTATTGTGGTCCTTTCTGCATTTCAGCCCTGCTGCCGGTTAGCCTTTATTAACCTAAAAATATTTAACCTTGCAGGACTCTAGTGAAAAGAGTGAAAACTAATCTCTTGTCAGCTAAACCACTGCATCAGGCGTGTAGTTTACCCAGGAGAAAAAACTGCCCATATCTATATGCCTAAATATATATATACATATACATATATATACACACATACACACACACACACATAAAGGGCATGTACAGAGCAGATGCATTAGTGGAAAACTATGGCCATTTTCCTGCCTCAGTCCCCAGGTGGGGATGTTGGCACTTCTTCAGCTGCAGACATCAGGTCTGTACACACCATTTACCTTGTGCACACAAATCCCCCTTGGCATCTGTACTTCCATACCCTTCAGTAAATAACAAAGCCTACGTCCAAAAACCATTTTGCATGTATATCTAGAATTGTAATTGCTTCCTGAGTCGCACTGACATTTTAATGAACTGGTAATGTTGTGAAGCAAGCATATTTGAGCCTTTGTGAGTGGGCCAGGGAGGACAACAGGAAATCTTACTGCAGCCCGAACTTTATTCGACTGAAATCTCCACTGGTCGTGTAAAATGGTGCAGGCTTTAACTTTCACTTCTAAAATGAAGGTGGATTCAACAGATACTGCATATTGCAAGGATCCAGGGCTCTTTTGGACATCTAGGCATTACACCTGAGGGGATGGTGAAGAGTTCAAAGGGCAAGAAGAGAGTCTCCATCTTGAAGCTGACTGCAGGAATGATGTGCTGTAGAGTATGCTGTGAGCCAAGTCTGACTCATGGGTGGTTCTTGGAGGCATCTTCATTAGGGCCAGCAGCCTGTCTCCTGATAGAGAAAGTCAAAGTGGAACCCCTGAATTAGAAAGTGGCACATCTCATGTTGCAGAGTGAGTGACCCCTGATCTGTACTGAGCAGTGATCTTCCCAAATCTCTCCTCCTGAGCTCAGCAGAAATGCTGCCAGGCAAATACCATCGCAGCAGACACAATTAGTCTCTTATCCTGCCATTGCAGGGCACAGTATGGGTCAGGAACCCTGACCTCAGCACACACGCACAGGCAGACAAGTACACAAGATTCATCCAAAACACTGCAAATGAGTTTTAGAACTGGCAAGGTGTAGAGTATGCATTGCAAATACTGTATGAGCGGGGCTTGTTACAGGGAATTTTCCTGATGCCAAATATGCTAGGGTGTCTTCCCTCTCCTTTTATATGCAGATTATCTGAAGGCTATTTTGGCTCAGCATTCCCAATGCAAAAGCTGCCTGGCCAATACAGAGCTATTTTCCCACTGCTGATGGAGACAACAATGAATAAATAAAATAGGACAAAGCCCCAGCCTACTGTAAGTGAGGGCAGGCTATTCTTTTGTAGCAGTGTGTCTTTAGGCTTTGATAAGAGCTTCAGAGGGTCTAACAGCCAGCTACCCCTTATTTGTGTGCTCCAGGCACTAAAGCGTTCCATTAGGAAAGTAATGACTTGATTGGTCCAGCAGAACTTTGAACATCATCCAAGAAATTCACAGTAGCAAAAAAGGCTCAGGCAGTCATTCCCTGCAAGTGTAAATAATCTGAAAGATGGAGTTCTGTTTTGTCTAACATGTAATAGTGGCTCCTAAATTAGATGTTTATTGTTTTGTTCTTGAGGATGTGCTGCCCACAAGATTTGTGAAAGTATAGAGTTTAACCAGCGAGCCTGACTTCATGGTAATCTGCATTTAGATATCTTTGGGTTAGGGACTTGAGTGCCAAGATGATTGGTTCTTTTTTATTTCCTAAGATATATTTTTCAGTCCAGCGCAAGATTGGATCCCAAGCTGCTCCAGAGGCTGGGGAACCAGCACATGTCTATTCATATCATATTCTTATTTATATCTTCAGATGCTGAAGAATAAATCTGGGTCTTGGTGTTTCTAACAATTGTGGCCCGTTGTTATGAGGAAAATGCAAACCAGGAAACAGGATCAACTTCCTTTGAACTGGGAGGTGTTGGGGCTGGTAGTTTTTTCAGTGCAGAACTGTCCTTTTAGGTACCTTAATTCACTAAATGCCTTGGAGTGGAGTAAAAATTACTTCAAAGGGCTTTATGTGCAACAATGGTGATTTTATGTACAACAGCTAAAGACAAAATAACTGTGAGCACGGTACACTATCAAGCAAATGATTGATCCTGTACTGACTGGGATCCTGAGGCAGTCAGAGTCACTCACACACAGTTTGATTTGTGTACTTCTAGTGAAGTCATTTAAAACAAACGGGCTGAAGGGAAGTAAATACACCTAACTGTTGGTTCTCGGAGGTGATGTGTGAAACATTAGGCTGAGAAAGCAACTTGCAGCATTTTTGTTTAGGAGCAGGCACTAAGAAAGAGATGGCAAGCGCAGCCTGCATTACTGGGAAGAAAAATGGGAGGAAAGAATGACAACGTTTGAGGATTAGATGATCCTGAAGAAAATGCAAAGGCTAACCAATTTTTGAAAACTAAATAGTAAGTACCAAGACATCAGGGACTTGAACTGCAAGGCTCTGACAGTCCCATCTGCTCAGTCCAGAATGAGTTCTAACTCCCTGCTCCAGAGAATCACGTTACCTCTGACTAGGGCAAATAACAGCTAACCCTTTAGATTATTATCACTACTACCACACCAACTGATACTGGGTTTGTGAGCTAACACAATGTTTCCACTCTTTCAGTTCAATAGCAGAGTGGGTGTATGGAAATGTCATCGTTCTGGCAATCAATCAATTTATTAAAGTCTCCACTGAAAGGGCAAACAGATTCTGTTACATTGAATGAATAGCAGCTCCAGCCAAGCCTGGGAACTAGATGGGAAACTGCTTTTGCTGCAGGCTTAAGAAAAGCCTTTTATTTTCGTTTCTGAGAGCAGTGGTGTATTTCTGTGCCTTTCTTACCAGCATGTAGGTTTATAAAAGATGAGACTTGAGACTTGAATATGAGCATCTAGAAACTGTTCTCTTGACAAACTTGGTGATGAGAAACAGAGAGAAATGTTTGCCTGAGCTGAGATATGCTGTTGAGGAAGCCTTTGGTCCTAACTGGCTGTGAATAGGGTGTTGTACCTTGCGGGCAGTTTGGTGACTCTGTGGTCACTGTGGTTGCTTGTGACATCTGCCAGTGGGACCTGTGTCAACAGCCAGTGCACAGTGAAGCACAGTTTTTTACTGATGCGACTATTCCTAAGGCTATTCAAATATGCAAAAAAGGAGCAATTGATTCGTTGTAACTTTTTGCACTATGATAGTATTGAAAAGCCTCAGCTAGGCAGTAATACTCCTGTAGTATGAAGGACTTTGACATAAAATTGGTAATGGTTTCTCTAGATTTCTGGAGTAATGCACTGGGCAACAGCTGAATATAAAGATGCAACAGCAGTTGGGGTGGAAAAGGTAACTGTGGGACTGTGGCTTTCTACACAGACATGAACCCTCTGATCCTGTTGCCATAAAGATTTTTGATCTCTTCTAAACTAAGGAGTGTCTGAACTAGCAGTAGTGTGAAAACAGACTGGCTGCTGCTCTTTCCTCTCAGTCTCCAACCCAGGTGCAATTCATACTTCCTCACTACTTTGAAAGCCAGCTCATAGTAACAATTAAATCTTATTTGAGAAAATTGCTTATTGAGTATGCTGAAAGAGCCCTCCAGGAACCCTAAAGGAGTGTGTGCTGGGGCAAGAAGGATACTTTTCCACTGCAGAAGAAAATCATTAATCAAAATTATGCACCCAAGATTTCATCCTCAAATTGATGCAGATCTTTCTAAACTTTCTAACTTGAGACAATGAGAACTGGGACAGGGAAAGTGAAGAGTGTATGGTTACAGTGATTTTGATATTTCACAACTTAGAAGTGGCTTAGCTTTGCAAACCAATGCATTCACTCAAGGGTTTAGTTTAGCTGTATCTCTTATTTTAATTTGAAATTCTAACTCCTCTTTTGGTGCTCTGACTTTTGTAATTAATGAAATCATGAGCATATGCAAAACACTCATGAGATCCCTCTGCTCTAGTGGGATGGGCAGACAGGGAAACAAATCTCAGCAAAATAGGATTCAGTGAAAAATTCTGTTACAGGACTGATACATAAAATCCAAACAAATGCTTCTAAATAAAATTGATGACTGGCAGAAATAGAAGAACTTGCTCAGGTATAGGAGTGCTATTACTGGTATCTTTTCTCTGGTAAATTAATCAGCTGATGCAAACCTAATGATTAAGTATGATGAAACCAGACCAAATTTCCCTCATGCCTCAACACTTTAATTCCAGGACTGCCAGGCCATGCTCCAGGTAATGACACTTATTTTCTGTAGTAAACACATTGCTGCTCAGAGTGTCTGAGTTTCCCAACAGGAGGGCAGGGAGTAGTCGCATTTTTGAATCAAGCCAGGAAAAATCTGTGTTTTCATTCCCTGGTAGCTTGAGCCAACTCCGGAGCACTGAGGCAGATAAATTTAGCAGTCAAGCAGAGGTTTTCCCTGACTAATCTATGAGCTGCAATTTTTATGAAGATTCTTTCTATTAGGGATTACCAACAGTTTGGAGTCCATCCAGCTGGAGTCCAACACTTGCATCCATAACCGTTTTAAAACAGAAAAATTTAGTACAGATATAAACCAGAACCCCTGTCCCATGTTAATGCTGTCAACTTGGAAAAGAGCGCCAAAATGACATTTCCTGTTTCTTTCAAATGTTTTCTACAGGCAGAAAATAGAATTATTGTAAAAATGTATAAATTACTCATTTACACATATAGCCTCAGAGGCAAATTCACCACACAGGGTTTTACTAGAGGAAAGAGGAAATGGCAGAGTAAGTCCTGAAGGCACTGGGAAAGTCCTGAAGCATCCCTTTCCTGGCTCAGCAGCAGCATAGGCAAGGCACCCTGAGAGTACCGTGCTACAGCAGCCGGGAGGGTGTGCAGCCAGATTTGGATCTATATTGAGGGTTTTTCAGGCCATCTTAGTGAGCCGGTTTTATCTCCTAGGGGTATACGAGAAATGCTAGGATAGAAGGCAAAGGAGAGGCCTTTCCTAGACACCTCCACTAAATACTGTGCACTGTACACACACTCTAGTTCAGCCCTGAATTTACATGCTGTCCATAATGTACCAAAGTACAAATGCACTTGGAAATGGAAAATTAAATACATTAAGCATATTTTAATCAGATGCATCTAATGAAGATGCAGAGCGGCTAATACTCTCTGTGCATGGTAATTTCATGTGTGTATATTTCTTTCTGTTTTGATTCAGAAGCTGGCAGATGGTTTTCTCCTTGGTTTTTTTCCTCTATGATTCTTTTGGAAATCCAGAAGGACTTTGCCCAGGGGAGAGTGAATAACTACAGCTATGGCTTTGCTGGTGTCAATGTACAGTAGTGTCAAATAATGCAACACATTACTTTTCTCCCCATCAGCATTCCTGCCCACTGCTAGGGATTGAGGTGTCCTCCAAAGAATAACTGGGGGGTACTTTTTGCCTTCTCAGGGTATTTCTTTCCAAGCAGCAGCAGGCATGCGTTGTGTGGCGCATGTTATTTCCTACTGCTTGCAGCTAACAGCCGAGAAAGATATTGAGAGCAAGGCTACCTAAGCTGTGTACCAGTCTCCAGGGAAAGCAGTGGCAGTTCTGTTAAAGGGACACAAAGTCTTCTGCGACAAAGCCACCAGTAGGTTTATACCATGCAAGGGCTCTCTGTCAGGAACAACAAGTGATTCTTGATGTGTGCTCCTTCATGAGTTTCTGACACCAGAGTCTGTATTTTGCCCATGGTGACCACTTGTGTCAGAGTGAGGATATCCAGGACACACTTGATATTACTGATACTGCATTATCAGAAAAAAGAAGCTTAAAGGAAGCAAACAGAATCAATTCAAACCAAATCCCCATGCTTCATAGCTCTGCTCCTGTCTTTCTGAAGACAGTGGGTTCATCCCTGTTTATCACCATCTCCTCTGCACTAGGCTTATTCTGCATCTTACACGAGTCTTAGAAGCCCAGCAAGCCCTGCTGGCCAACACTCTTCTGTGAATGACAAACACTAAATTTGAGGATCTGTAGCAAGAGCAGATTAGTGGCAGATGTATTCCTTTGCAATGGTTCACATTAAGACATTCCTCCTCAAACTCATCTTAGCCCCTTCAATGCTTTTATGTCTTCTAAATTGCAGCTAACCAGAAGGGCAATTAGGTTTCAGTGATTGAAGTTGTTTCCTTACCATACACAACAGCTGGAGCATCTCCACATATCTGGGGAAAGAGACAAACCTTTATTAATTACTGTCAAACCACTGCTGAAGGGTGGATTGCACAGCTTCAGCTTTAGGAGAACAACAGGTAGGTTTGTAACAGTTCACTCACGCTTTTTCGGAAGACATCAGCTCCTGGGCAATGAGGTAAGCTCTGGACTGGCCTTCTTTCTGTCAACAGCAAAAACCAGAGACAGTTAGAGATGTCTCGTTCCAAGAAGCAAAGCAGTGTTAGAGAGCACTTTGAACTGACATATTCCTTCAGTAAAAATAGCAACCAGGCTTTTATTCTTTGTGTCTGGCATCCTGGAGTCCTTTCCATGACAGGGTGTTTCCGCAATTCAGATTCTAGCAATATAGTACGATATACCAGCTGCTCAGGCAGACATCGAGTTTGAAAAACATATTCTTATTGAAGGAGGAGAGAAATTTTCTGATGATTTTTACAGGTCCAGAATTTATCAGAGAGGTAGAAAGTGCTTAGCTTTGAACAGGTTAGCTTCATGGCTGTTGAGGCACATACCATGTGTTTAGTACTCTTAACTACATGGAAAAGGGAGTTCTTGGTCATATTCCAAACTGTTCTCACTGCTGTGAGATATGTGGAAGCAATTGGCACAAAGGGCTTTATTACATGCTACTCAAAATGTCTAAGCTAAATGGCCATAGATATTTCCAGAGAGCAAAGAGTTCTGTACTCCAGCAGACAGCGTTGTTTGAAATCTCAGAGGCATCCACTTCATTGGTAGGCATCTTGGAAGACACAGAAAACTGTGACAGAAGCAAAGTGTAGGGCTCTAAGGTGTGAGCATCTAATTAGAGTATTTTGCTCCTATTTCATGACTCAACCTTATGTTAAGAAATGACCAAAGCATGGAAATATTTACTGAAAAGAATCTGCTGGGAAAAGTTTGACTTACTTAGCAGTGTTTAAGTAAGGAACTAAAAGAGTGGTCTAGTAGTAGTAAAGAAAAGCAGCCCTCAAGTGACCTGAAGTGGACTCAGGGGAGATGAGCTCAACAGCAAGAGTGCATGACACTGTTTGCCAGACCAGGTATGCTGGAAACCTATTGCTTACAGATCCTGCTTCTGAAAGCCTACTCAGAAGAGACTGGGACTTTCTGAGATATGGTGAAGTCCCTTGGTATAAGTCAGGTGGGAAGTTTGTGGCTATATTTCTTCCACAAATTCTGCATAAGGGGGCTGGAGGGGTCAGAGAACATGAAGCTCGATTGGAAGCCCTCATAAAAAGTATTGATAGGACCCCAACCCTAAATTTACATAGCAGATCTGAGCAATAGAAAATGTCTAAGCCAGTTCAAGATGAATGCATTATAGACTTTTTACTCTCTGTCCTGCCTTCTCATTAGCATTCCCTGGGGATGCAGGTGTTGTGGCACACAATACAAGTATCTGAGTTGCTCAAAGTCCCATTACATCATCCTGGTGAATACCTTTCGTATCTACAGAGGGATCAACTTCTGGATTTCAGGAGGTTTTTTCCCTTTTCAAATTTTATGGTTCATTCTGCCTGCAATACACTGAAAAAAAATGTAGGAAAGAGTGAAACATTTCCTGAAGTGCTGGAAGCTGAAATACTGTCATATGAATACTTGGACTGTAAAAACTCCAGTAGCAAGGTCAGCTGAGACATAAAGCAATTTCATTGCCCAACATCCATAAATTAAGAGGAATATGTGACAGAAGTTACATTTGAAAGATTCTTCCAGTTTTAGTAACTTTAGGTATTCATACAAAAGTGAGGAACTGAAGCACCAACAGGTGGATTGACCCCTGCTTATTTCAGGGGAACTAAGGACCAGTCAAAACATGTTGCAAAGAGATGTCAGTATTGACTGCACACATGAGCAAAGGAAGGGTCACTGTTTCTGTGAGGAGGCTAAAGGTCCCTTGCTGCTTTGTGAGTTTTCATGCTGGGGGTGATAGACCCCCAAGGAGGATTACAATCCAGTCAGTAGTGAATACAAGTGAAAAAGTTCTTGAACACCAGTGATGATGAGCTAAATCAATGAGGCTTCATGTATAGAAAACAAGCAGGGTCACAGTGACTTTTCTTTCATCTTTATTCTATTTCTGTTTACTTTTACTGGGAGGCAAATGAAGACTGCAAGGGTCAAACAAAATACAGAAAATGGACTATTAATCAGTCTCAGATGTCTAATCCATCTCTCCTTTAGAACCAGGAGTCTGAGAGTACGTTCCCTAGTGCTTTGTGTCTTTTAGCTAATGGGTGCCAAAAAGCATGCTTTGAATCCCTTACTTGTGGAGAACGACACTACAGTTCAATAGAATGCACTAGAAAGATGTTTTCCTTAGTTTCATTTTCTTTCTGGGAGCAAATACTGCTGAACCCAGGACACCCCCTTCCCCCTGGTTCCACTTGTGAGCACCTCTTGAAGATGGTAATGATGTGCTTCTCCTGGTTGTCCCAGCTGCTGCAGGAACACACTAAAGGCACCAAGTTCTATTCTCTCCCATTTCCTCTATGCAGGCAAAGCAAATCAGATGAAAATGAAAGGGGGTGTGTATCTTTTGGGGTCACCTGGCCCAATGCTGGTGCCCAACTCGTCCTCTCTGGACGAGCAGTGCCAGGAAGCAGAGAGCATTTCCCCCAGGAAGCCAGGCCTATTTTCCCCTTGCATACACACATTGTCACACTCTGCAATTCCTCCTGTGATTAACATGTCTTAGCCAAGAGCCGGAGCACAGGGACCCCAGTGTCACACGGCCTGTCTAGGGTGAGTTTGAGACAGTGTCTCTAGGCGTTGCCTGTCTTGTGTTACTTAATTGCTGTTTGTTTAACCAGGAAATGAACTCCGAGATTGACGACAGTGTCCGGAGACAGACTTCTGGGAATAGGGGATAGGGGGGGTGCCAGGCCCTCAAGCACCAGGTTTCTGAAATAAAGTCCAAGTGATTACTGTAACACTGCCAAGCTTTTTAGTCACCCTTGCTCCCTGCAGCCTGCGCCCAGCCCTGCAGTGCAGTCCCTTTCCAGCTCCCACTTCAGAAGCTGCACTCCAGTCCTCACTGCATGCCTCTGCTTAGCAGATGGAGGCCATGCAGCCATGTGGGGACCCTTGGCTTTCAGCTTCACTGAGTCTCCTCATCCCACAGTATATTGTATATGCTTGCAATATACAATATGAAATTGCCATATATAACTGAAGTATCTCCCTGTTCTCTCAACTCTGAAAAATACAGCTCAGGTGATCAGCATAACTTGCAAAGCAAAGGTAATACTGTGCAATCATCTCTCCATTGGCTGACAAAACTAAGCCCTACAGCCCTCCTCCAAACAGATACCAAGTATACTGATGGAAAACTGAGACCTGAAGATGACTTGTGACTTGCTTATAGTTTCTCCTCCAACAGCTCATGATTCCCAATGTTTAATGAAGAACACCACCATCAGAAAGATTTTGTTTAGAACAATAAAGACCAAAAGTCCTGCAGCTGTTTACAGAGCACATGTGTGAGCACAGCTGAAGTGCTAGTCTTAAGAAGTTCAAACTGAGAACCTTTAGGTTCCATGTCCCTTTTGTGCCTTCTGATAGAACAAGCGTACTGGCTGAGAAGGCGCAAGTAGTGAGCAGTGGAGAAAGATGGCTAATGGCCCATGTTGAGTGTGCTGATGTGGCACTGAACTAGTGCAGGATTCCCTCTCTGTGTGGTAGTGATCCCATTAATGTAGGGCTCACGTCACCATACTGAGTCATTCATATGCTCTGGCTTTGTCCTGAGCAATGCCAAGGCATCTGATGTAGGCCCTACCAGGCTGTGCTTTGATTAGATGGTACTTTGATGGTGCCAGGCACTCCCCTCTGAGCCCAGCTGTTTACAGGACCTTGATCAGAACCAGACTGGCTTCCTGATCCAGCTTTAAAAACTGTGGGCCTGGGGCAAATCTGTTTGCATGGGGCTGGAACAGAGTTTGTATGGACTAACAGCAGCACAAGTAGGTCACAGAACACTTCACTGAAACTGGAGTATTAGTACTGTGCAAGCCACTCATCTGGAGCACTTAGGGAGTAACCTGAGTTTTGCATTTCAGAAGCAGGGTAACTGATCAAGACAGCAGCTCCATTCTTGTGCGTGCCACTCTCTTGCCATGCTGACATGGACAAACTGCATCTCTCTTAGCCTTTTCCTATGAGTGTGTCTTATTTCACAGATTCCTCAGGGTAGACGCATTGTATCTGGATGGTACCCAGCACAAGAGCACTAGTGTCCTAGGGTCTACAGCAGTTTCCAAGCTTCAGCCTCTGAGCTGAGTGACTTCATAATGCCCCTTTTGTAATTATTATGAACTATGTAGCAGCTCACAGTGATGTCACAGCAGTGCCAACAGCAAACTGAGGCATTACAAGAACAAGTGACATTTTCAGGCTGGCTCTGCGAATCAGCAAGAGAGAAGGAAAAGCTGTTCACATCTCCTGTCTCCCAGGCTGTATAAATCAAGAGCTGTCTCTTGAAATATGTCTGAATCAGGTGCTTCCTCAAGGCACACAAATCTGTCATTCCCAGCTCCAGCACATTTCTTGTGTGTGTGCGTGTATTTTAATATGTAAAGGTTAAAGGTTTGCAAAACAGAATGATTAATGGAGTCTGGAAACCGAGCCCACCCACTGGAAGTGGATAAGGAGCAGCAAAGGCAGCTGATGTACTGCTGCCATGAGTCAGTAGCTGCCCTGCTTGTGGTGAGATTTTTTGTGGATTGGCTTCATGTTCCCTGTTCTGTGCACAGGTCCCCTCCATCTGCCATACTGGGTTGTTGCCCCCCTTTTTGTCCACTGCCTGTTAGTTTGCTATCTGGGAGAAGGGTGAAGCATCCCACCTCGCATGCTGCCTTCTCACAAGTGCAACATTAGGGATCCTTTCTATATGAAGTTCCCCTTCATGCCAGTCTGGATAGGATTAGCTATGTTAGACCTATGTCCTAAATGACTAGCCAGAACGCTTTGAGTTTTCAGTGGCAAAACCCCAGCCACATCTGGTCTGAATTCTGGTCTGAATTTTTTATGCCATTTTGCTCTGGTTCCATGCTATTTGCCTCGCTACAGACTTTCACATTTTGCCACCAGCTAAGGTCACATCTCTCGTATACTGTCTGCATCCAGTCCCTTGTAATACAGTGCTGGGTTTAGGCT